AGGTGAGGTGTGGTGAAATGGGGTTTAACGTAGCAAGGTGCATGTGCGTGTGTGTGTTTGTGTGGCTGCTTGTACTAGTCCGGACTGATGCCAATTTATAGTGCTAGCTCACTGAGATACCATGCCGCAGTTTAACATGAATACCCCACTCAGACACAGTATACTGACTCCGAGCCGACCAGTCCTTGTTTTAGCCCCTTAATGCCGAGTGCCAGACAGGGTAACAACAAGTACAATCTTTTAACATCTTTTGGTATGACGCGGTCGGGGATCGAACCCCGGACCTTCCGCTCTCTGGGCGGACGCTCTACCACTAGACCACGGAGGCAGTCTGTTATTATTGTAATGTCATTGATATTGTTAATACATAACAAACATATATATATATTGAATTTATTGTCAGTCAACAGGTCCCGTGAACATCCAGGATAAAATAGGTCTTCAGCAACCCATGCTTGTCGTAAGAGGTGGCTAAGGCGATCGGGTGATCAGGCTTGCTGACTTGGTTAATACATGTCATCGTATCCAAAGTGCGTGGATCAATGCTCATGATGTCAATCACTGGATTGCCTGGTCCAGACTCAATTATTTACAGACTGCTGGAATATTGCTGAGTGGGGCTTTAAACAATAAACAAGCAAACAAACAGTGATCAATAGTATATTACAAGACAGGAAAACAACTTTAAACAAACAATAAGACAAGCTAGTGAAAGACTTGGTAGTGGAATCACTTCAAATTATCAACTATACAGTCAACATTTCAAACTTAGGCAAGTCACCTGGTCCTTATCTGACCAGTAGCCATTCACTGCAATGACCCCTTGACGAGTCATGGTTTGTATTACCATAGCATTAGTTTTGTGATGATTAGAGACATAATTTCTAGTTGACAGCCAGCAAGAAGTGATGGTATTGTTACCCCTGACATCATCCCAGAGAGCTGGATAATAAATGACAGGTTGAGGTTTGTGTTCCTGTATTAATAGAACTTGCATACACCGACAGAAAGCCATGGAGGTGAGGTGAGGTGAAATTGGGTTTAACGTCGTGTCCAAGATTATTGCACTTATATAGCGACGTGCATGCATGTGTGTGTGTGTGTGTGTGTGTGTGGCTGCTTGTACTAGTCCGGACTGATGCCGATTTATAGTGCTAGCCCACTGAGATACAATGCCGCAGTTTAGCATGAATACCCCACTCAGACACAGTATACTAACTCCGAGCTGACCAGTCCTTGTTTTAGCCCCTTAATGCCGAGCGCCAGACAGGGTAACAACAAGTACCATCTTTTAACATCTTTTGGTATGACGCGGCCGGGGATCGAACCCCGGACCTTGCGCTCTCCGGGCGGACGCTCTACCACTAGACAACGGAGGCGGTCAGAAAGCCATGGAAGCCCCTTTAAAATAATTGACACTAATCGTAGCGGGTCATTTATCTGCCTCAGCAGCAACTGGCAACTGTGTATCCTCCATGACCCTCTAATTCTTTCTGCACTAACGTGGGACGTTCAATAATACCACTTTTAAATGAAGTCTGGGCTGTAGGGTGGGTGATTTAACTGTACAGCCCAGACTTGGCCCCCAGTGACTATTTCCTGTTCTGGCACATGAAATCTGCCCTACGTGGAAGACTTCTGGGATGACGAGGACATATAGGCTGCCACAGAGGCGTGGTTAGAGGTTCTACTACACCAAATCAGTACCAGTTTGGAGAGTGCGGTTTTCGTAGGGAGCCTTCAGTGCAGATCGAGAGATATCTGCAGGCTGTGATTGGAGGATATTCTGTAAGATTTTTATGTCTTTCAAATGTACATCCATCCAGTTATTAAAACTGACCATGTTCTTCTATATTTAGTACTGTCTTTTTCAACATGATGACTTATGCTGAATGTGACCACAGCTATTTTCAAGTAGGTGACATTTGGTGCGAAACTGGGGGTGGTGTGTTTAGCTTCCGGTACTCGGAAAAGGAGCTGGGTAAGCTAGTCATTTTTATTTTTTTTATTGCTGCTCTAAGGCCAAACTGTGCACACACGTACAGGTAATTGCTGTTGAATGCTTAGTTATTTAAAAAAAAATCATAACGTTACTATAGAAGTCTATGGGAAAACATTTGGTTGTGTGTAACCTGTAGGGTGAGTGCACATTTCAGTAATTCATACTTTACATGCTTTTCTGTTTATATTTCACCATGGATACACCATGGAGGCAAATTTAAAAATAATGACAGTGAAGTTGGGGACATTTTGGGTTGAATGGAGCATTTGGATGGGCTGGAAATGAATGTTGCTTCGTATTGTGGTCGAACTCAGCACGAACCCCCCAGGGTACCTCTGTCCAACAAGCCCTCCTCCTGCCTTCTGAATTTGTTGAAACTGATGAATTTGACAACAAATTAGGATAAAGTCACCACTGCCACAACAATTTCTGCCTTGTGTCAATCGCTTGCCAGTCAAGTTACGCGATGCCGTTATCTTGAATATGAAGCATGTACACTGCTGACAGCAGAATATGTCAAACATCCCCTTATTTATAGTAAACAATGTAGCATACCAATATGTCTTTCTGTTAGGTGCTCTTGTGTGAATGAATGATGCTATTTTTCTATTAAGTTTCTTAAAACAGACTTATTTTTCACTCATATAACTTTCAAATAATTATTTTGTCCCCTCAAGAACTGACTCCTGGCTGTTATATCCAAACTGGTTTGCCATTTGATATTGTCTGAACACTTTTTTCAGCTTTTCACATGCCTGATGTTGACTGGGGAGGTATATGTGCACTCATGCAGAAGAAGTAGGAGTTTCGACATCGAATTTGGCATTTGGAGAAGCTGATCCGAAGTCCGGTGTTGGCAGTGTGTGATCGACAACCCTTGTTTTGCCTCGCTGCGCTCTATTACCTTGTAGAAGTTGTGGAACTTGGACATGTAGGTACAGTAAGTACATTTAAGAACCCCAGTCCACTTGAGGCCCCTCTGTTGCTCACTATCAAGTGCCATAATAAGATCACCCTCATGCACTAGACATTTCTGACAGTGCTCCCTTAATGCCTCACTGTGCAGTTTTTTAGTTTGCAAACATGAAGTAAGGGCTATACACCAGTCCCAGAACCTGCTTAGATGAAAATAATATCCACTGGCTCTTTTGGAATGTAACATTATGGTTCTGAAATCATCTGTAAAGAATGTGATAGTGTTCGACAAAACTAAATTATCTCCCCTGTTTAGTAAAATGCATTGTATCTTTCATTCCCCTATAAACCCATAAATTATTGGAGAGAAACACTATTTTAAGCTGGTATTGCATGACACTGTTAATTGTGAATAAAAAGAATTACATTTATGTCAGGATAAGCTGTACATTTTCATAATTATATGGAATTTTAACTTTGTTTCATTGAAACTGGCAAATAACTGAAATAAGCAAGTTTAGCCACCTTGAAACATTAAACAGTAAGAATGTTTGATGTCCTGTGAGTATTTTAAAGTCTTAACTAAATAAATCAATAGAGTTAAGTGTAATTTCCTTCCATGTTGTGGTTTCAAAAAGCTTTTTTCTACTTGAGGGTCCATTTCAATTTCTCGGCTTTAATAGGCGGTATGGTTCACTGGTCAGCATTTGAGATTGCTGTTAACAATGCACCCCTTTACTTCCTATTTTCTGGTAAAGTTCATTATCCAGCCTTACATATATGATGACTTTAAAGCTGCTTAATGTGTCCCTTGCTTATTGTTGGCCTGAATTCCATGCTCTCTGTCCAATTTTGAGATTTTTTTCTGATTCCTTTCCATGTGTACTTATGTCATCAGCCTATATCATAGAGGATTATACTTTTGATTTTTGGAGTATATGAAAGCACAAACATTTGTGATAGCCCCTCCATAGATGATTTACCAAATGCTGACAGCCATTTGAGTGTTTAATTATATAAACAATGGATGGTGTAAGTTCGAGCAATCTCAAACAATATCAATCGCATCATGTCATGAGTGTCAAAACCATATTCCATGAATGTAGCAGACTCTGCTATGTTCTGATGATGTCAGCAAAGGAAGGCAAACAACAGACCACTACTCAATTTTAAATATGTATTGTAACTGGTTTTGAGGTTTAAAGATTTGTTCAATTTTTTTAGTCGAAAAAATATTTTAGGGTGATATGATCTATGCAGCCTCAATCATTTATAGAATTGACCCCTGACCACCATCTTTTATGAAATATAAATGAACTTCCATGGTCAGTGCATGAAGGTAAAAACTTCTTTATTAATACAGAAATACCTTTTGTAAAACATTGATGAAGTGTACACCATTAAACTCTCACAACTCTTTCTGTGCATCAAAACTATGTATTCTGGTGCCATATAGACATGCTGGATAGGAACAAGTAGTGAAGTTTAATCCAATTTCCATTTTTTTTCTGAGAAGCTACATATATATACAATATATAAATCACAGATTTGACAAGTGCAAATATATTCTGATTTGTCTACAGGTTCTACTACACCAAATCAGTACCAGTTTGGAGAGTGCGGTTTTCGTAGGGAGCCTTCAGTGCAGATCGAGAGATATCTGCAGGCTGTGATTGGAGGATATTCTGTAAGATTTTTATGTCTTTCAAATGTACATCCATCCAGTTATTAAAACTGACCATGTTCTTCTATATTTAGTACTGTCTTTTTCAACATGATGACTTATGCTGAATGTGACCACAGCTATTTTCAAGTAGGTGACATTTGGTGCGAAACTGGGGGTGGTGTGTTTAGCTTCCGGTACTCGGAAAAGGAGCTGGGTAAGCTAGTCATTTTTATTTTTTTTATTGCTGCTCTAAGGCCAAACTGTGCACACACGTACAGGTAATTGCTGTTGAATGCTTAGTTATTTAAAAAAAAATCATAACGTTACTATAGAAGTCTATGGGAAAACATTTGGTTGTGTGTAACCTAGAGGGCCAATCTGCGGATTTCTATAAAAGTGGTATTAAAAACTTGAAGGACAAATGGAATAAGTGTATTGAGGTGAATGGATATTATATTGAAAAATAAAAGTGCAAAAGATATTCTGCAACTTGGTCTAATATTGAAGTTGCAAAACATATTGAACGCCCCTCGTATTAATGACTAATGATCTCTATGCATTATGAAATCATTCTTATTTTTGAAATATTCTCTCAAAACATTCCAAATCTTATCATAAAAATATTTTTTTAGATGCTTCTAGAATGCCAATCAAATAGTTATAAATGATGTGAAAATACCATCTTTAGGCCAACTAAAAAATAGAAGCCTTGACAAGTTAGACAATAAATATAATTTCTAATTTCGTATCCTGCAGTTAGGATTTTTGTAACACCACACACCAGTTCCCCTGATCATAGTAGCTCCTCACGACCCGTGCCCCGCCCACACTCCGACATAGGTCCTGTAGCTCACCCTCTGTAAACACATGGTAGAATCGGTGTAACGTACTGGCATCGGCACTTGTCTTAACATTAGAATTTGCCTTCTGATTTTTCAACTGCCATGGCACGAGTAAATCTTGTTCCTTGAAGTTTGTCCTATTCACATGAACAGGTAGTTTTTTGTTTGTGGTACTGCACTGATTACTGAAATCTACCGATACATCTGACACGTCTGATTCACAATGATTCATTATGGCTTCTGTACAGTCTGTACCAGATATTTCAGTAGTTCCTGACACAGTGGATTCCCAAGTTCTCTGAACCGACTGTTCATGACGTGTGGAACTATTGCCTAAACACCCATTTCCACAGGATTCACCAACCTGGCTCTTTCTTTCACACAAATCTACATCAGCTGTGGTTTTGTTATCTTCAATATTCCTATCACTATTACCATCGTTGGGCCCAGTCATGCCCTCATGGGATGTGTTCTTGCCCCCTAGAGGTGAAGTCTTGCCCTCAGGGGATGTGTTCTTGCCCCCTAGGGGTGAAGTCTTGCCCTCTGGGGGTGCAGACTTGTCATCAGGGGATGAGGTCTTGCTCTCTGGGGGTGCAGACTTGTCATCAGGGGATGTGTTCTTGCCCCCTAGGGGTGAAGTCTTGCCCTCAGGGGATGTGTTCTTGCCCCCTAGGGGTGAAGTCTTGCCCTCTGGGGGTGAAGACTTGTCATCAGGGGATGAGGTCTTGCTCTCAAGGGTTGTGGTCTTGCCGTCAGGGGACGTGTTCTTGTTCCCAGAGGATGTGGTCTTGCCCTCCTTGAGGTACTTGGACTTGACCTGTTTCCTCTCCTGTTCCATGGCCCACACATATATAAGCAGCTGACCCCCGGGGCGCAGGATCCTGAGCAGCTCACCCACCGCTCTCTGTCTTCTGGCCTGTTGTAGAATAACAACATGGATATTTGTTGTTGAGAAAACATCATTATTTCCTTGGCTCATATTGTCAATATCTAAATCATTGTTCACTGGATTTTTTTTAGCAACATGACAGGTTCTATCAGACATTCCGTCACATGAATCTAAAAGCACATGACTGATTTTACAAGTAATATTATCTTCCAACCTTAGAAAACAATGTGAGGTGAGGTGAAATTGGGTTTAACGTCGCGTCCAAGATTATTGCACTTATATAGCGACGTGCATGCACGTGTATGTGTGTGTGTGGCTGCTTGTACTAGTCCGGACTGATGCCGATTTATAGTGCTAGCTCACTGAGATACCATGCCGCAGTTTAACATGAATACCCCACTCAGACACAGTATACTGACTCCGAGCCGACCAGTCCTTGTTTTAGCCCCTTAATGCCGAGCGCCAGACAGGGTAACAACAAGTACAATCTTTTAACGTCTTTTTGTATGACGCGGCCCGGGATCGAACCCCGGACCTTCCGCTCTCCGGGCGGACGCTCTACCACAAGACCACGGAGAAAACAATGTGTGTGTGTGTGTGTGTGTGTGTGTGTGTCTGTCTGCTTGTACTAGGCCGGACTAATGCCGATGTTATGGTGCTAGCCCACTGAGATACCATGTCGCAGTTTAACATGAAAATCCTACTCAGACACAGTATACTGACTCTAAGCAGAACAGTTCTTGTTTTTGCCCCTTCATGCTGACCACCAGACAGGGGAACAACAAGCACCGTCTTTTAACGTCTTTTGGTATGAAGCGACAGGGGACTGAACCCCCAACCTTCCGCTCACCGGGCGGACGCTCTACCACTTGACCACAGAGGCAGTCTTCAGTGGTAAGAGATGGTGTTTATCCTCTGTTACTGAGCTCTACTTACCAGAGTTGAGAGATGGTGTATGACGGCGATACACAGACAAACGTCGAATGTGTCAGAGCGGAGCGGAATGGACAGAACATCCCCCACAAATACAGGGAAGTTCCGTGCGTGACAGATGCTGGCCAGATTCACACTTCTATCAGAACCAAGCTGCAGCAGAAATCAATCCATGGAACACCTCTATGAGTGAGTGAGTGAGTGAGTGAGTAAGCTGGGTTTAACAGCTGTTTAATGCTACTTTGATTTATTTATTTCATTTATGTAAATAATCAATTCTGGACCAGAAAATCCAGTGACTGACATCATGAGCATCCATCCAAGCAAGCCAGCAAGTCAGCAAACCCAATCCCGATAGTCGCCTCCTACGACATGATGGTTGCTGAAGACCAATTCCAACCCGGATCTTAACAGGGCCATCTTGTGATGAATGTGTTTACTGGGGTATGTGGAATTATTTACAGAATGGTGGAACATTTCTTATAAAAAAAAGCTATCAAATGGCTAGTGGCTGGACACTAGTGAGCGGGTACAAAACGTCTGTGATCACCTCGTATATGTTGGTGTTGACGCCCAGGTATTTCCCGTTACCACAGCCAATGTCGGCCAGAAGGGTACCTGTCGGCTGTGAGTGGATGAAGTCAGCTATCTCGGGCCAGGTAGAGTGTCGAGTACCGCTGAAGTGATCAGCTATATCATCATAAACCTACACACACACAAAAACATTCATAATCACATTCAATCTCATTAAAATCAGACCTTAGTTACACCAAAACTTCTTAATGTCTCTCAAAGAAGTTGACCATCCTTAAACGACCTTCAGTTCTCTTTCAGATGCTCTATCCACTAGACCATGGAGGTTGTCAATTAGTGTCGGGAACATCTATATATAACTAGTGCACATTACTATCTTCCAGAATTCATTAATCTGGAAATTTATTCACCTGGACCATTTTTGTCTCAAGCCTTAACACATCACATGATTAAAGAATCACTTTCCAGTCTATACTTAGTTATTCATACTTGTTACATTTCTATATCTAAATGTCAATCTGACTTGCAACCAGTTCCTTAGGAGTTATGGAAACCCTCACATCCGAGGATCTTGAGAAAGGCCTGACCACCTATGAAGAGGAGTGAGTGAGTGAGTGTATGGTTTTAAGCCGCTTTTCGCAATATTCCAGCAATATCACGGCGGGGGACACCAGAAATGGGTTTCACACATTGTACCCATGTCGGGAATTGAATCGAATGCTTTAACCACTAGGCTACCCGACCGCCCCCTATGGAGAGGACTATCTGCATGATGTCTACACACCTGGTGAACATGGTCGTGCTCAAGCTGGACAGCAGCAGCCTCAGTGTCAGGCAAACATGGGCTGAAACGTAGAATATCCAGAAACGTATGCACAAACATATCAATAATAATTTCCAAATTGCTCTATGTTTTTATGTAATATGTTAAACATGTAAAATGAGTACAAATAAACTTTAGATTCATAATTTTACCAAGTACCTTTCTCTTTGTTCCTCCTTAATGGATTGGACATCAACTCCTACAAATAAACAAATAAACAAAGTTTGAATATTAACACAGGGTAAAATAGTCAGAATCCATGTGTATCATATGATATTAGTCTACAATTTGTGAAAATAATTAAACCAAAAAATATAACCCACTGGTTATCATTTTGTCATGTTAATGCCTCTAAAACAAATTACAAAAGTGACGAATGTTGATTTACTGATTCAACTATGTATTGTTAGCATGGTCAAGCAAGACATGAGTTACAAAACAGTTAAAACAGAAATATCTCATTATCCCTATCCAAAGTTGACTAGTACCCGGTATATTTTGTTACAAACCTGCATGTGCTGTCAGTTTCCTGAATGTGAAGGATGTCCGCGTCCCCCTGTTGACAAGTGTGAGACCCCCATCAGGGGTGGGGACAATGTCAGACTTCCTGGGGGTGATGCCATGTGACCAGATGTACCGAGAGTCCCCTGTCATCACGAGCAGGCTCCGTCGGGGAAGTAACACTGACAGGTGCCGACCATCAGGATGCCGAAAGTCCATAACTGCCTATATTAGGAATCACTGATTTGTACATTATGGCTTTTCCTGGAAGATCCATGTGATCAAATTTCTAAGGAAATATTGTTTAAGCAATTTAGCAAACAAATTGTTTGGCTGTGGTTACTTTCTGACAAGACATGAAGACAGGCAGGAATGAAAATCTAATTACATTTTCACACAAAAAACATCAAGATTTTCATATGGATGGATGCATATGACAAAAAAAACCATGAAATTATGAACATGGGTTGTACTGCAAAAATTAGGATTTTTTTTCTCAAGTAATTCAGTGAAACCTAGTAAGCTAAATCTCCTGGTGACCAACAAAAATACAGTATATATTAATTTACCTGTAGTTCTAGGTTAGCAGAATGCTGATATTAGACAACGGTGGCAATAAAGGTATAAATGGACCACAAAGTGACATTGTTCGAAATTTTAAACAATATTTCAGTATATCAACATAATGTTGTTCTAACTCTTAAATGGTATTCCTTATATTAGCAAAATAGTGAGTGAGTGAGTGAGTGAGTATGGTTTTACGCCGCTTTTAGCAATATTCCAGCAATATCACGGCGGGGGACACCAGAAATGGGCTTCACACATTGTACCCATGTCAGGAATCAAACCCGGGTCTTCGGCGTGACGAGCGAACGCTTTAACCACTAGGCCACCCAACCACCCCTTCAGCTAAATAGAGCTGCATGAACACAGTACATGTAGTATAAGATGTTTTCACTTCAAATGACTGCTTGGGACTCATCCCACTATTCACTTTCTCCCCTATGAAATGTACCACTCTGCCATGTTTAGCTACACCAGACACACACCATGAAGTGTGAAGTTGCCATTAGTTTACCTGGGAGCCGAGACTCAGTGACATGAGGCCGTCTTCAAATGCTGGAGGGGTGTCCACATGGGGAGGGATGCCTAAGAAACAAACATCAACACCTTCACAACTAGTCAGACTCTCAGCGAAAATGTCATATTCCTTCAGCGCTTATGTCGTTCTTGTTTCTTATATAACGCAACACTCAGCAATATTTCATCTATATGACAGCTGCTTATAATAATTGAATCTTGCCAGACAACCCAGTGATTGATATTATGAGCCATGATCCGCACTGTCGAGGTACCATGACATGCAATGAAAAAAACATCAAGCCATGACATCTGATCCATTAAATCACCACTTATGACCAGCGTCTAACCCGGAATTTATATTTGTTCTGAAGTTAGTGAGTGAGTACGGTTTTACGCCACTTTTAGCAATATTCCAGCAATATCACGGCGTGGGACATCAGAATTGGGCTTCACACATTGTACCCATGTCGGGAATCTAACCCGGGTTTTCGGTGTGACGAGCGAACGCTTAAACCACTAGGCCACCCGACCGCCCATATTTGTTCTTATTAAGATTCACACACAGACAAGTGTTTATGTGTGTGAAACCAAGTACTGTATTAACGGGTTTATAGATATGCTGGGAAACAAATAATCAGAAAGAAAAACACTTTCACATGTCCTGACTTAGTAACCCTGTTTTAATTTCCATAAGGAAATATGAATACAAGCTACTTTTTTACTAAAATTGGTGAAAAGGTCAAATTAATTACTAGCTTTTCCAAAAGTGAATGAATAATGGACCTAAATTTGCACAAAGTGTTAATAAAAGGTGCCATCCATGCTACTTTCCATTTTGTTGTATTTCAATCCCATAGTGTATCTGACAGGCTTGTTTGTTTCTAACACTGTCCATGTATTTCAGTTCTCGTCCTACACTAACCTTGCCCTGGTTCATACTGATTGACAGTCAGCTGATCAGGGTAGTGCTTGACCACACCGATCGCCATGGCTCGTGAGAGGAACTCTCTACAGGATTCTGGGACAGCATCGGGCAGTGGGTCGTTGGGGTCAACATTGTTGATGCCATACTTGAACTCATAGCCATAATGTGTTACTCGACGATGCTTCAGTGTTCTCTGAGCTGAAAGGAATATGCACCTTAATAGATGAGGTGTGGTGACATGGGGTTTAAAGTCGCGTTCAAGATTCATGCACGTGTGTGCGTGGCTGCTTATACTAGTCCAGACTAAAGTATGTTTTATAGTGATAGCCCACTGAGACACCATGCCACAGTATAACATGTATACCCAACTCAGACACAGTACTCCAAGCCGACCAGCCCTTAGTTTATCTCATTACTGCCTAGCGCCAGGCAGGGAAACAATAAGTGGCACCTTTTAACATCTTTTGATATGACGCGGCTTGGGATCTAACCACCAACTTTCCGCTCTATCCACTAGACCAGAGAGGCAGTTAATTGTATTGGTAAGCATGTCTGATAAAATCAAAAGTCAGTCTACAATATCTGTAATTGGTGAAGACAAATCAAGTACCCTCATTGGCCTCTTCCTTCCAGTTGATCTCGTCAAGGAGACGCGTCTCCCATTCCGGTGTGACAAAGTCTGGCAGCATGACTAAACCTGTGGGCATCTCACTTGATGGGGCAACACTGGCTGGAACTTAATTACAGAAAATAACTTTGATATTATTTGAAATGTGAAATTTAATGCAGAATGACAGAAATATAGATAGAGAGGTTCTATTTGTAATGGAGGCCAGAAGACCCATAGTACAAATGTATATTCATACTAACATGATTAATGAATTGAAGAAATACACATCTTGTGATGCTGTAGAGTCATGAGTTGCTCTCAAAGTTTAAAGACATGTGTAAGTATTTTGCAAATTATATAACTGTCTCCGGCTGAGAAGGTTAACAAAGAGTGATAATTCCCAGATATCAGTTATCATGCCTTCTGGGGAGCACCAATTCCTGTTCATTGTTTTACAAGTAACATTTGTAAAGTATATCATGGTTTATGATGTTTGTCCTCAGATTCCCTGCATCTTTTACACAAAGTATTGTTGTCATTGAGTCGAGATTGACATCACCACAGATCTAGATAGATGTATCATATAATCCCCTGCCAAAGTCCAAAATTATATCATCCATTTCTAAATTTTGATATTATCCTTTGGTATGCAAGAGAGGCTACAAGTAAAAAAATGTATGTACATCATGACATTGAGTGATTTGAATGATCATGAAGCAAACCAAATCTTTGACTGAAAGCAAGTTTTGAGATGAAACATAATGATACTGGTGAGGTGAAATGGGTTTAACATTGCATCAAGATCATTGCACTTATCATGCTTATATAGCGACATGCATGCACACGTGTGTGTACATGTGTACGTGTGTGTGTAAGTACTTTGCCACAGTTAAACATCAATGCACCAGCAACCACCACCCAGACACATTATACTGCCTCAGTGCTGACAAGTCCTTGTTTTATCCCCTTAATTGTGCACACCAATTTGCTTAACAACAAGCACCATCTTTTAACGTCTAATGGTATGACTTGACCCTGAATCAAACCCCTGACTTTCTGCTCTCCAGTCTATTCATATTGGTTTGAAGTCATGGATTAACTTTTACAGACATTAAAATTATCAGCAACAGAATTTGTGAGAATTATTTCAGTAAAACCATGGCAGGACAAATAAATGTGGGAGGAAAGCCTAAATGTTTCAGGCGTTTACCACAATGACATGTGTATGAGCATGGGTTTTGGTACTGAGAGACCACGGACCTCATGCAGGTTAATTTGGGATTTGAACCCACTGGTACAAGGTCCCAACAGCTGAGGAATGCAACTCAGCACAGAATATTGCAGCATGGTAGAATGTGATAGCCACATAAATTTTGAATTTGATTCAACAACAACTGTAATCAATGTCAGAGGTTTTAACTTACCCTGACTAACGTATGAAATGTAGAAATACACATCTTGCGATGAATTTTGTCCTTTACGAAACAAAAATCCATTAACAGCCTCAAACGCCTCCTGAGCATCACTCGTCCTCGAGAAGCAGACAAAGCAGTATGGTTTCTGTGGTAGCATGATGATCTCAGTAACTCTTCCATGTTTGTTGAAAACATCCAAGACTTCCTGTTGGGTAACGCCATTGTCTAAACCAGCATTACTGACACACAGAATCTGTAACAGAAGAGTGAGTGAGTGAGTTAAAATTTCCCGTCACATCGGCAATATTTCAGCCATATCATGATGAGAACATTAATAATACTTAAATTTTGACGAATAAAAAACCTGTCATCGACGGACAGTATAATAACTAGTTTATCACTAGTATATCGGAAGAACAGCAGATACAGCAATGACTCATTGTTGTTTTACGCCACAATCAATATTCAGGCTATATCATATCGGCCTGGGTTCGGCAAACCAATTGTTGACAATATCATATGGCAATGATTCACACCGTTCGGGCACAATAAGGGAACCCACTTTGGTGACTTGTATTGATTTTATGACTCCGTATGAAAATAAATACTAATAACGTATAATATTTTGCGTATAATAATAACCTTTGTTGGACACTCTGATGTACAGATACCATCGTGTTTAAAAAGAGTTTGTCGAGATTTAACTTGCTTCTTTAAGATTTTTCGCTCTGTTTTCGATAATTTCGCGTGTTCCATGGGCGCAGCCATTTTGTTTTATTTTTAAAACCGGACGCTCGTAATTTATGTTTTTTTTTAATGTTGAAACAAAATTTGATTTTCAAATAAATTAGTTGCTATTAACTCAACGATACTATGAATACTTATTCTTCCAATCTTTGTTAATTTGTCTCAAACCAAAGATATTATCAGTTTGAAAATGAAATATTATTTTGTTGTCCGGTTGTAAACATCCGTTTGCAGGTTATTGCGTACTCTCAAAACTCTTAATTCGATTCAACCCGGCATTGCATAATTATGGAAGATATCTAATCAAACTCCAACCAACACCGAGATCTATAATCTATTTTAGAATTATAGTCTTAGTTTATCAGCTTTATAACCTATGGATTCCTGTGTATAACTTAAATGATTATTAGAGGATATTCTCAAGTGACGTCATTGACGAAATTTCCCAGAAGAAAATGGCGTCCATCTGTATTTCGGCGGATGCTTGCAAAGCTTGGGAAAAGACGGGCAAATCAGAATTGTATGCATTTAAGGTCGCATTTTTATTGTGTTTGTCAAATATGTATGGGAGATATCATTGCTTACTTAATTATTTGGCAAACATTCGTTTGAAATTTACTTGTTGATTATCGACATGCTCGCTTATATTACATTGCGATTGCAATACAAATTATATGCCTTTCGGGCACCAACGTGTTCAGTGTTGCTGTTAAAAAACGTAAATAAGGTTAGAACTACCAAACGGGACCCCAATTTTGGAGATAAGGTATTGACTAGTTTCAGGTCCTCTCTCTGAACCGTGTCATTTCGAGGGGCAAATCACTTGTCATCGCTTGGTTGATAAAAACTGATAGCTTACTAGGCCAGTACTGACAGTAAAATAATCGAAATATAGAATTGACGAATCTCTTAACATTTTACATGTATTAATAAAGAACATCTTTGCTTGCTTATCTCTTAAGAATTCTAATAATGCTGAAAAGGGAAGTGATTAATTTTTAAGACCCAAAAAACAGCAATGTACCGGTTTTATTTGACAGCAACCCCCAACTTAAAGTTTATTGACCATCTGCTAGCTTAGATTAAGAAATCAACACGAGTTATTTGGTCTGTAACACTTATATTTTAACTCCCACCCAAGTAACGATCATGAGATGGCATGGAAATATCACCGGAAATATGTAGATTCTACACGAAGTGCACATGGCAAGCACTAATGAGGAACAGAAATGTTGAAAATTGGGATATTTATTTTTTAGTTATTTTAACTTAAGTTTTAGTTTAAGAATCATAGTTATCTTAGATACACTACCCCACAGAGTATGTATTTCACTTGATTCTGAAGCCATTATTTTATCTTGGTGTTTTTTCCTATTTTCTGGTAACGATAGATCATATATAGAAATGCAATATACCCAACAAATAGTTTCAACAAATTATGTTCTTCATAATAATAATGTGTTTTTATGAAGTGCTTGCCTCCATACACACTGTGCATGCTTAAAGCACTACAGTCAGCACACAATACTCACAAAACAGATGAGTTTAAAGCTGAAATTTGAACTTGTCCAAAGTTGACAAGTTTTTGTCTTTTTCTCAAAACATAAACAACTTCTCTCATTGTACACACACATTAGTGATTGGTATTGTCCTGACTTTTATATTGCAGTTTATTGCAATACATTCCACAATCTATTGCATGCATTCTTTAATCTGTAACTTATGAACCAGATTAAAATGAACCCATACATCAGACTTCCCCTGCATATTTTCGTAGTCGTTATCTATTTTTTAGGGTGTTGTCTTGGTCACAACATATGCATAATACAAATGTTATATACAGGAAGCAGATCTCGAATAGTTTCACTTTCTCGATCATAGGTATCAGTTGCAAATTTTATAATTTCAATTTGATTGCTAATTTCATAATTTCAATACTATTGCCATGGCCATCACTGTTACTATTATTATCACATGAGACCCATGAAGATCCGGGTTAGTTAGAATAGGCCTTCAGCTACCCATGCTTGTCTTAAGAGGCAACTATGCTTGTCATAAGGGGTGACTCATGGGATCGGGAAGTCAGGCTTGCTGACTTGGTTTGTGCATGTCATTTTATCCCAATTGCATGGATCGATGCTCATAATATCAATCACTGGATTGTGTGGTCCAGGCATGATTATTTACAGAACGCCGTCATATAGCTGGAATACTGCTGGGTGTGGCATTAAACAAACAAATATTCATCCACTTGGCCTTCAAGCTCGCTTAATGAAAATATCAGTTTGTGTTGTAAAACTAGAATGTTAAATTTCAGTGTAAAGCAATGCCGAAAACTACAGAGCGAGAACAGTGGATTATGGGAGCCAGAGAAGAATGCAATGAAGCGAGCAGTGTACGAACTCTGCTGGAGTGTTCTTCGTGGTCACCTGAAACAGGACCAGGCTCTGGCAGCTCTTGCAGATCTAAATGTGAGTACACCAGCTTTGACTGAAGCAGGGATTCAGATCAGTTTCCTTTTTAGGACATTGAAAAAAGTTTTTACAAATTTCATATTTGGTAATGATATAGAATAATGTTCCATCAAAGTTGAAATTTCATGAAAATGTCCTAATGTCAATTGTTTCTTGCAAATTGCTGATTAAGCCAGAATAGAAAAATGATGCGTCAGGCACTACATCTGCAAAAGATTATATTTTCCCCACATAGCCTGACACTATATCATGCAGCGTTAGAAATATGCAGAGATTAAGATTACCGTGTGTATTTTCTCAAAAAATAAGATGGAAATAGCAATCAGCTGTGCAAACATTTCCTCCCAATCTACAGGTGATTCAGTATAAAAGTACCCAATAATACAACTTTAAAGAATTTTGATGCAATATCAGAAGAAATTGTATATAATATTATTATTTATCAGGAATAATATATTCCAACATTGTGTTTTTATTTTAGTTGCAGCTTTCACTATATATACCGTATTCAACGTAATAAGCGCCCACGGAGATATTTGCTGATATATTGGCTGGTGAACAATCCCAATTGGCACCCCTTCCGATTGATCAATGTGCACAAGACTTATTTATTCGCATATAATACACACTCGTGTGTTATATGAACCCTTAATTATGGGCAATAAAATTCTGGGGAAATATATATGTCGTACATAAACATTTCAGGCTGTCACCATAAACCACGAAATTTATCTTTCATCTCTGTCTTTTTTCACCAATATAATATTCTAATAAGAGCCCCCTATTTCTAATTTTGAGAGCGCCCTGGGCGCTTATTACGTCGAATACTTTGGTACAGGTGATTGCTATTGCAGGATATTCTTACGTTTGGAACAATTTGACCAGTCACTGTAGGGACTTCCCACGCTACATGTATTTTGATTGTGAAAATGATATGTTGGCATTTAATAGTCAAACTGCCTCAATATGACTTTTAACAAATAAAAGTATGGCATTTATGATATATGTATCCATTCTTTTGCGACCAAAGTTTGTTTCAAGGCGTCAGTAGCGGTAATCTGACCGTGGTTGCTGTAAATAACTGTGAGTCGTGCGATCTACCGGTCACTTCACTCACGATTTTGCCGAAATTAAAGTAAACATTATTGAATGAAATTTTGAATAAAATATATTACAAACATAAGCCCAGATAAACAATGATCACCTTTTTGTAACCAGATTGTATAATAATGAGATTAAATTGCATGCTTCTTTTGGGATTTGTTTACTGGTATTTCTGGTGTTACGTGATCCAGGTCTCATAGCAAACCCAACCATTTGATGGTATTTGTGCCTCAGTAGACAAATTACACTTTTTAATTTGCCAAACATTTGTAGGACTTGGGATACTTTCATGCCCTCTCCTAGTGTCCAACCCAGAATTGAAAATCAAGGGGGGACTTGTCCCCCCATCATGTAGGAAATAGGAGGGATTTTGAAAAAGTAGGGGGGGTAATTGCATTCTTCAAAAATGTCTTATTTTGTATTATGTACTGGAACATCATCATATAAAAGTGTAACAGATCAGAATAAAGAACTGAAATGAATAACAATGCTTTGTGCTTTTTTCTATTTTGATTAAAAAAGTCTGTTATTCTTTTGTTTTTGCGCGACATGGTCATTCACTATTCAAAAAAAATCGTCTGCTATGACAGTCGGCAATTCATATTGTGTGATTTCAGAAACGAAACTAAAACTAACTAAAATGCTCAAAAATATTTTCAGAACTATTCAAGAATATTTATTGTCTTAAAACATCTTGTCAAAGGTTTTTGATTACTAAACAACAAAATACAACATAATTTTGATCAAAGTTTTGATACGTTTTCTACTAAAGTAAATCAAATTTCGTTTCCTATGCCAATCCTATCAATAATTTATTCAGCAACCCAAGGGACGTCACTCGTGTTCGAACTTCCGGTTGTTATCGATTGGTCTTCGACAGTTGTTTACAATGTTTGCTGTGAACTGTCTTTCTTCGTTAATTGATTAAAAATTTAGTGGGTATTGAATGTAAAGGTAGGGATATACAGCTGATAAAGTAAGTGACTGTACAAGAAATTACTGTGTGCGACAGATCACGCCTTGATTTTTTATGAGGGGCGATTTGATTTTTTAAGCGTGAATCGCGCAATCACGCGGCCTGGGTTGGACACTGCTCTCCCTCAGAACTGTACATAAGTGATCGAGGATCTTTTTTTTCTTATTATAATTGGGGGCACAAGTGGCCCAGTCATCTGAGGCGGCACGATTTGCTGTGCAGAGTTTCTGTGCCAGAAACCTATGATTGTGGGTTCAAAACCCGGTTTGCCCCGATTATGTTTCTAGGTTTGTCAGCACCATGCCCATGCTCGTGGGTTTTACCGAAGTGGTAAACATCTGAAACCTGCATCACTTCAGGCTTTCCTCCCACATTAAGCTGACACGCCGTGATACAACTGGAATACTGTTAAAAGTGGCGTTAAACCCAACTCACTCACTCTAAACATAATTTACTAATTTTCAAATGGGTCTAGAATTTGGTATTATATGACCTTGCTTACAGCCAAGCAACTTAGACTTGTTTGAAGAACAAATTTTCCAGTACATTTAATAATCTCACAATCAAAGCAATGTGTGGAATAAGTTTCATTGGTCAGTGATGAAATTGTATACCTCTGGTTTTCAGGATCACATGAGAAATGTGTATTCACTCCTGGCAGATACAATAGCTGTGATTGGTAAGTATTGTTTACCAGATAATACTTTCATAAACATGCATCTGTGAACTGTCGATGGATGTGTGCCTGGTTTGTAAATAAACATTTTTTAACTTATCCTGCATTACTCCGTATTGCATTTACTGCTATGTTTGACAGAGAGACGAACTGTGTGAGATCCAGCTGCTGAAGAAAGTTGTCCCAACCAGCCCAGGAGGCAGCGCCCTCTCACAGTCGGCACGTGACCCGGAAGTCATGACGTCACACCAAAAGACATAACTGCTTTGTCACCTCCACGGACGGACGTACTTTGTATCCCTTGTGGAAATTAAAGCTTATTATTTGTTTTTTATATTTTGCGTGTTTCTACATTCATTATATGCTGCTACATTGTTACCAGTTATGGGCCGTGACCTTAGGGTCTTCCCATTCGTAAATTGTAACGTTTATCGCTCGTCTGTGGCTCACGTCACAGTAATTTACGGGCGCAATGTTGTTCCCGCCATTTTGTTTTCTTTCCCGCCATTTTGGCCATTCACCACGTGGCCACGTAATGTCGTGTTCTGCGTTTTGAATTCTCTCTTTGGCTTGGGTAATACATTACATTTATGTATGTTGTTTTGGTGTGCTTAAAGCCTTGCCTTTTCGCTACCTCTAAGCGTAATTGTTTCTTCTCATAAACTTCAATATAATACGAAGTTTATGAGTTACATTATGTCTCCCGTACTCTGTGGTTTTGCCACATGGTTACGTGTTTGCTTAAGGCTTTGCCTTTTCGCTCCCTTTTAGCGTACTTGTTTATCTCATAAACTTTAATAAAATATACTGTTTTTGAGTTACTTTATGCTTCCCATACTTTGTGATTGGCCACACATTATGCTTCCCGCACTTTGTGGCTTTGCCACATAGTTATGTTTTGCTTAAATTCCAGATTTTCTGCCTCGCTGCACTTGTTGCCGCGGGAACAAATCTGGCCGGGGCCGCCCCTTTCTGCCGTGATTGTACGACACCCTGTACTTTCACAAGGCAGTGCCGATGTTGCAGTCATTCGTCGCTGTGATCCTTCAGCTCATGCGAGTATCCAGGACACACCTCGCTCAACGTGCTCGTCGACCCCCACCTACGTTGACGGCAGCAGCGCTCAGCGGAGCTTCACGGCGGCTCCCAACGTAGAGTCTGCCTCCCATGGCACGACATACGACCGTTCACGGTCTCCTACTCCACTGGCGGCTCCAGCGCTCCCAACGTAGAGTCTGCCTCCCATGGCACGACATACGACCGTTCACGGTCTCCAACACCGTCAACGCTGATGTCTCCGGCGCCCCCGGCGCCTCCGGCGCCTCTGATGACAAGGCGCTCCCGGCGCCTCCGGCGCCTCTGATGACACGGCGCTCCCGGCGCCTCCGGCGCCTCTGATGACAAGGCGCTCCCGGCGCCTCCGGCGCCTCTGATGACACGGCGCTCCCGGCGCCACTGATGACGCGGCGCCTCCGGCGCCTCTGATGACACGGCGCTCCCGGCGCCTCTGATGACGCGGCGCCTCCGGCGCCTCTGATGACACGGCGCCTCCGGCGCTTCTGATGACTCGGCGCCTCTGACTCGGCGCGCCCGGCGCCTCCGATGACTCGGCGCCTCCGGCGCCTCTGATGACTCGGTGCCTCCGGCGCTTCCGATGACTCGGCGCCGCTGATGTCTCGGCGCTCAACAAGCTTCATGACTTGTTCATGACAAGCTGATGACTCGGCGCTCCCGGCGCCTCCGATGACTCGGTGCCACCGGCGCCTCTGATGACTCGGCGCCGCTGATGTCTCGGCGCCTCTGATGTCTCCGCGCTCCGGCGCCTCCGCATCCTCTGATGTCTTCGGCGCTCAACAAGCTTCAGATCAACAAGCTTTATCAAGCTCAGATCAACGAGCCGACCATCCGATCTTCTACTGCGGCTTAAGGGGCACCATCGGCAATCGCCTCCCCGGCGCCACTGCCCTCTTCTCTTGCTGCCGTCTCATAACTCGTCACACGGAGAAGCATGGTGAAACAACTGTCGCCGCTCCTGTCGCTACTCTCCCGTCGGTCTTCGGGATCGTGACTATCGTACTACTTCCTGGGTGGAATCATTTCAACCAATAGACAGTTGGTCTGATTCAGCTTGCCCACTGAGACGTTATCCATAATCCCGTCGTTTAAAGCGCTATGATTCCGGAGAGATGACCTGCGGGTTTCCATCGAAACAGAGCGCCATGTGAACAGCGTCTGTATCAGATTCGATGACGACATCCACTTACAAAGAGTTTACTTCGTCGACATCGCAGACATCAACGCTGTTCTACCCTACCCTAGCGCCAGCGTTCCTGAGAGAGACTCTTCCTCGGCGCTCCCCGGGTTTTACACGACGCCCATGGGGTTCCGTGTTTTATCGCAAAACTCGGGTACACCACTTGATCGTCTCTCACACAGTTCATTGAGGATTGTCTGTGTGTGGAGTTTGCACCTCAGTTCCGACTCCAAGGCGGTTTTCTCGGCTACTGCGCAGAGTGATTTACATGTCACGTGTCAAGTACTCGGACTGTCAACAACTCCGACCGGATTTAGGTCAACTTACCATGGCAAGGGGTGCCATGTATTTCTACAGATTGGTTTCCATGTCTACCTGTACGCTTGGTGATACCACTCAACCAGGCGCCTGTCGCAGTCCATCCATGCACGGATGTTGGAAACAATAGACCTCCTCTACCAACACGGCTGTCACGAGGAACCTTGTTTCATCAACCCTTCGCTATAAGAACGATAGCGCCTATAGGCGTTCAAGGGATGGAAAAGATCGCCTTCCTTCGTCCGGTTTGATCTTTTCGACTACGACACCTTCCTATCTTCCGCCTTGACTACCGGACACAGTGTCGATTTGATACTTAAAGTCCCTCGGCCGTCCCACTGACCCCTGTTGCATACCTGCCTCGTATCGTGTTGTCGTCCTCCATCGTCACCTCGATATAAGAACAGGAGTACTTATACGCCGCTTCAGGGATGAAAACGATCTCATTACTTCGTGCAATGGCCATATTGCCTCGACTTCCTACTACCCGGTTACGTCGATGCCCCGGCGGTCGATTGTGAAGCTAGTTTACTTCGTCTACTTGAGGTTGGCTCGCAGGCGATCACACCTTTTTCCGAATCGTACCGACGGTACGCAATCGCAGACCCCTGTTGCTGACTACCTCCCCTGCCACCTTGTCAGTGGCTAGTGGCCCACGCCAGCCCACATTGTGACCACCTGTGATCCAGAGATCAACACCATAGGCACAGCAACAGCCTCGAGATAAATGCTTATCCAGGACGGCACTTGCTGACAGTGCATTCTCGGTCACGCCCTGTTGATCGTGTCCACTGACGACGTCACCGTAGTGTGGTGTTTGCGGACCCAGAGTTCTCGCCCCTCTCCCGGCGCTACAAACTCGACCGGCGCCCCCGAGAATCACCATCTTAGGCGTTCCAGGCGCCTCAAGCTCTCCGACGCCTCACGCTCTCGTCTCGGGCCAGACTATGTGAAACGGTCGACACCCCAACCCTAGATCTGTTTGCCTCATATCTGAATGTGGCCAGCAGTCGTCTTCCATTCCACCTGTGCCGGATACGACCGCTGTGGCAGTCGAAGCCTTCCATCGTTCCTGAGAAGGATTACGCGCGTACGCTTTTCCGACTCCGGTTCTCCCTCCCACGGTTCTTCAGAGATCCAGGCCACTCGACCCCTGCCATTGACTTTGGTCTCGCCTTATTGGTCAGCCAGAAGTTGGGTTATCGACCTCCGAAACATAGCCAGAGACAACCCCTGGAACTTCCGGTGTGGTCCAACCTTCTGCTCCATCCACACGGTCTGTTGCCACACCCTCATACCCGCATGTTATCGTCTGCACGCCTGACACACATGCAGAAAGCCAAGGGCTATTCGGCTAGAGCGACCAAGGCTATTGCTTCAGCCCACCGTCCATCTACAGGGGGACTGTATGCTGATAAATGATGCTTGTTCCAGGCATTTTGTTCTGACAAACACCAGGATCCGATGACAGCGTCACCGCAGATCCTGGATCAGTTCCTTCTGTACTTGTGTAGCACCCATCGGTTGAAGGGCTTACCACCCCCACATACCTGGTCGCCATCTACTCCTTTCTGGCCATCCCGGACGATCGGAGAAAGACGAAAATTCCCGACCTACGGGCCTGGCTGCGCTCGTTCAGTCTTGAAGACCTGAAGACCAAGTTCGGACCGCCTGCGTTGGATCTGAATGTGGTCTTCAATGCCCTTCGAACCACTCCCCTCGTCTTCCTTCTTCGACCTTAAGTAGAAGACGGGTGTTTCTACTGGTTTTGACTACTGCCGCTCGAGTCCATGTACAGCACGCCCTCGACGTCTCCCATGCCCGGTTCGAATGCGGTACCCAGGGCGCCGTTCATCATGGACCGTACTGGGACGTCAGCGTAAAGACTCAACGCCCAGGACGGCCTGATAGATCATTCCTTGTCCCCTCCCCCCTCGTCCAGTGTGGGTGCCGAGGATGAGGATGAGCGTCATTATGCCCAGTAAGGGCACTGAAGGTTATTCTACGATCTAAAGACTGCCGCAAGTCTAGGAAACACCTTTTTCTGCCGGTCTCCCCTTCGTCGCTGTCGTTGGTCAGCCGGAATACTTTTCCCTGTGGCTCCGGGCGGTCATCCTTAAAGCGTATGAGCCGCCGGATTGGACCCTCCCCCCAAAGGCTATTACCTGAAATAAAATGAGATCAGGGCGATCGTATTTACACTGGTTCTTCACGGTATACTGTTCCATCCCGTCGTTCAGGGAAGCCTGTTCGTGGCGATCGGACACCGCCTTCACCAACCACTACTTCCGTGATGTAGCCTTGAAAGTTGTCGCCGGCGTTCACAGTTTTGGTCCCTGGTTGTAGCCCAACAGGTCATCTATCTCCGACGCCACTGATTCTCCGATACCCTGAGCGGGGCCCGTCGACCTTTCTGGTGTTTATCACCCCAGACGAGACGGCTCTCTTGCGTTCCGCATTCGCTCTTAGGTCAGTTTTAGTTTTGGGTTACCCGACTCATTCTATTGCTGTCACCTATCCGGGTTTTACTTTTTGCATCAACTCTCGTTTCCTGACGACAGGAATGGTAGTAGATGTGGACACCGGCGCCGACGCCAACGCCGCTGCTTCTATGGTACCTGAGCGGTGCCCGTCGACCTCACCGGTGTTCCTTGCCTCCAGCCTAGAGGGCTCTCCTGCGTTTCGCATTCGATCTTGGGATTGGTCGTAGATTTTGCCGCCGACGCCGCTGATTCTTCGATTCCCCGAGCGGGGCCCGTCGAACTCTCTGGTGTTTATCACCTCAGATTAGCTCTAGGTTCTACTGCGTTTCGCTTTCGCTCTTCGGTAAGTTATATATTTTGGCTACACGCCTCATTGTATTTCGGTTACCTATTCGGGCGTTTCGTTTTTGCATCGACTCTTGTTTCCTGAAGACAGGAATGGTCGTAGATGTTCCGGTCATCACTTGTATGCGGTGCGGATTCATCGGACCTTGACGAGGGTTTAATATGGTTCACATCTGCAAGTATGCCCACCGGCCAAGCCGTCTGATAAAGATGCAATACGGAGTAATGCAGGATAAGTTAAAAAATTTAGTAAAATCTAAATATTTTTTACATTTGTATACTTATCCTGCATTACGAAGTCTAAGTTCCCTCCCTTTCGCTACGCTACCTCCCCACGAAGTTTCAGATGTTATGTTTAAAGCAGTTATGTCTTTTGGTGTGACGTCATGACTTCCGGGTCACGTGCCGACTGTGAGAGGGCGCTGCCTCCTGGGCTGGTTGGGACAACTTTCTTCAGCAGCTGGATCTCACACAGTTCGTCTCTCTGTCAAACATAGCAGTAAATGCAATACGGAGTAATGCAGGATAAGTATACAAATGTAAAAAATATTTAGATTTTACTAAATTTGTCATATGGGAACTTTTTCTCAGTTTGATTTTGAGCTTTTTTATGACCATTTTGTTTCCCCTTGACAACTATTTACGATACACAAAATGATGCATATCTGATAAGTGAAAACTCTGAACTTCTTCTCACTTCTATAGCATTTATATACGCCACTCAACATGACATTACACAGCCATGTGTGCTTGTCAACTGAGCGAGAAGAACACACAGACAGACCTGCTACGTCACAAAGTTAGAGGTACATTGATAGTTAGTAGGTCAATTCCTCAGCAATGCTCAGTGGAAGTATTTTTTAGTGATTATTTTCAGGAATGTCTTCTCAATACAAGGATGAAGTGTTCTTTGTGTTTTGACTTTAATTTGAGCAAATGTTTGTTTTAGATGTGGAAACAAGTTGCAATGAGGACAAGACACAGAGAGATAGATTTATAACATTTGTCCGAGCCAGCGCTGTGAGTAAAACATGGGGCTTTTCACTGATTCTAGCTAGTTTCATCATCGTCATCATGCTTAAGTACTGAGGAATATTATTTTCAGTGTTCATAGCATTGTTGTTACTTGAGAAACCTAACCTATAGCAGGATCAACTGATCATGACTGGGTTCAAATCTCAAGGATGGGTGGCTCCTTCATCCTGCACCACTTTGGGATTTCCTCCCCTACTAAGGTGACAAGTCACTATTTTACTGAAACACTGTTCAGTGTTGTTAAACAAACTCACTCACTAGTATTTAATAGACTTAGCCTGCTCCTGTTCAACAAAATATATCTAATTTGAAAAATGAAGCCTAAACAGGCCTTATTTTGGTACTAATCTAATTAAGCTGCCCTCCTAAAATGCTTACATTGACAAAATGTACAACTATGGTAGAGAGCACCTAAACTGAATCCTTTGTTTCTACACAGGGTTTGATCACTGAGCCTGTACTGAAGGAACGTTTAGATCAGGAAACTCTGGAAGCTGTTGGCCTTATCTTTTCTAAGTTGCAATTCCAGCAGAAATATGTCAAGACCAAGACAAAGCTATAGTAAGTGATTATATTTCTTACTTGTCATTCTGTAACTGCTTTTCAAGTATTCTGGGGCAAAAAGGTTTCCAAGTAGCCATTACTTGTTCAAGTTGTTATAAAAGATGACGTGGAATGTCTTACTTGGACCTTTAATTGTCCTTTGATTGGTGACTTGATCAAACTTGAAGCTGTGATCTGGCTGATTTGGTCACACTCTATTGTCCCTGTGGGGATTCTGGGTTGGAATAGGTCCCCAGTGACCTATGTTGGTCGGAAGAGGCAACCAAATGGTTCAGGTGGTCAGGTTCATTAACTTGGTTGATTGTGTGTCATCATACCCTGACTCTGTGGATCATTGCTCTTTGGATTGTCCTGTCCAGCCTCAATGTTCTTTTCTACCATGTCTACAGGCAAATAAACATTGGTTCTCTTGCTCAAGCCCTGTGGCTGTGAATATATTGACTTATAGAATGATAGTCCTATTTTGTTGTTTTCGTCCCCAGCTATAAGCAGCAGAAGTTCAACTTACTACGAGAGGAAAGTGAGGGCTACTCAAAACTGGTGACGGAACTCAATCAAGAAGTACCCACAAATGTCACATATCAACAAGTGCTAGAAAACATCAAGTCTCTTATAGGTATATATACATGATAGTCTCATAGAAATTTTACACTTTGACTACGACATATACTCACTGACAAGAAACACAAATACTATACATGTTGGTTAATATATTGAAGAATTACTCATATTCATAAGAGATTAGATTGGTCGACGCACAAACGATATACTGGTATGTTGTGTGAATCGACTCTCATGAATGCATCACATGTGACGTCATAGACCCGTGACTCCAGTTGCACCATTTGTCTTGTTCAAGATTAGCGTGTAAAGTTTGGAAATCATGTGTAGCATAACATGATAAAAATAAGGACACTATTCTACCACTTTACTGATTGTTAGTTTTGTCATTAAGTGGTACAGATGGAAACATCTCTACTTAATGTATGTACTTCTCTATATGTTGCTATGGTTCACATTTCTTTTGAAGGGGAGTATCTATACAGCATTAACATGATTTCTGGTATCTGTGGTGAAAAAAACCTGCAATTATTACAAGGTGGAGGATTTAATACTTCAGAATCATGTTACACATGTGTCTTTTATCTTAAGGGGGCACGAGTGGCCCAGTTGCCTAAGGCGCCACAATTCGCTGTGCAGAGTTGCGTCCCTTGAACATGCCAGAAACCTATGATTGTGGGTTCGAATCCTGGTTCGCCCTGATTATGTTTCTAGGTTTGTCAGCACCATACCCATGCTCGTGGGTTTCACTGAAGTGGTAAACGTCTGAGACCTGCATCACCCACATTAAGCTGACACGCCGTGATATAACTGGAATATTGTTAAAAACGGCGTTAAACCCAACTCACTCACTCACTCACTCACTCACTCACTCACTCACTCACTCACTCTTTTATCTTAAACTGGTCAACATGCTGAAGGGCCATTGTGTGTCATGATGTATGATTGTTTGCAGGCTGTTTTGACCTGGATCCTAATCGGGTGCTGGACATCATGCTCGAAGCCTTTGAGTGCCGCCCAGAGCAGGAGTCATTCTACATTCCACTTTTCAAAGATTATGTAACAGACAAACTGACACTTTGTCATATTCTGGGATTTCGATTTCATGAGGTATTGTTTTTTTTAATATTTTTCATTGAACTGTCAGTGTCATTTAGGTATAAAATATTTTGTACGGGAATGTGATCTAGCTGATTTTTTTCATTGTTTTCTGATGGCATTGATTGTTGCTCATCATATCAACCACTGGTTACCTGGCCAACAGTTAGTTAATTGTAGCCCCCGGGCTGTATTATTAACTGTGACTTAAAACATGTACCAGTAAACAGTTGTTTACACAGACCTGGTGACTAAGAACTTTGATAAACCAGACTATAGCTGTCTTTGGTGTGACTCATTCCATTTAATTTGTTTCAGCAAAATCAAGAAATTGATTCCACTGCGTCTCTCTTCCGAGTCGCAGCACTGCTGTTGAGACACAACTTGGTACATTTAGAAGATCTCTATCCACATGTATGTACAATTTATCAGGAACAGTTTTAGAAATTAGTGATGAAAATTACACAGTCCTTGTCGTACCCCAGAAGTTAAAAATTAAGGATTTAGGGTGTCCCTTATCCTCTCTTTCAAACATGGCGGAATAGATGTGATAGAACAATCATGTTATGTTTTTATCATCAGTGGGTACATTGTGTGAATCCCGTTTCTGGTGTCCCCCGCCATTATATTGCTGGAATAATGTTAAAAGCAGCATTAAAACATACTCACTCAGTCTCAAAGCGTTTTGCAGAAGCATTTAAATGGACACCATCTGTCCATGCAAGATGTCATTTCCGGAGCAGATCTTGAGAACAGTCAAATAATTTCTTCACCAAACTTGGCACATAGATAGTTAATGAGGAGTAGTTATGTATTCATTATGAGTTATTCATGACAATTATTTACCATTGTGTGGGATATCAATGACTTTTCCTCTTGTTTGCTAATATAATGTGTGTAAGGCTGCATCAAATGTTGAATCCTTATGATGTTACAGTGTTAGAAACTCACAGTTTTCATCCACTTGTCCTTATAATGATAACATATAGCAAAACCCTTAAAAATGGCAATTTTCTACTAGTCCTTATGATACCTTTACCATTGGGCAGTTTGGCAAGGACTATAGGACTAGTGCCAATTTCTAACCCTGTGTTATATGGTAATTTGCTGTCCTTGTATATAGGGAATTCTGATTCTATTACAGCTTCTACCATCAGACTCCGATATAATTGCATTCCACGAAAAAGAGTTGGCTGATGCTAAGGCCTACCAGCGTAAACTAAACATTGTGTCGTTGTCAGACCGTAAAGATGACGACAAGGATAAGGATGACATGGTCAATATAGACCTGGTAAGTAGCAAGTAATAATGTCATACAATGCTGTCGTACCAATTTCAATAGTCTTTCAGTAGATTTGAGAAAACTGCCTTTATCACAATTCAAGTTTAGAAACAGTCCCCGGTTACCTATGCTGGCCATAAGTGGGAACTTAATGGGCCTAATGGGCAGGTTCAGTTGATCTTGTGTCATCTCCCAATGACGTGCAATGTTTGTCATAATATCAATCTCTGGATTGTTTGGCCCAGTCTTGAATATGTACTGGCCCCCATCATAGAGCTGGAATATAGAGTGTGGCATTGAACAACAAACACTTGGACAGAAGAAGTCCTCAGTGTGTCATGTTTGCCTTGACAGTTGATTAGACCCGTAGTTAGAATAGGTTTTCAGCAACCCATGCTTGCCATAAAAGTCGACTATGCTTGTCGTATGAGGCAACTAACGGGATCGGTTGGTCGGGCTCGCTGTCTTGGTTGATGCATGTCTTCACATCGATGCTCATGCAATCAATCACTGGATTGTCTCATCCAGACTAGATTATTTACAGACAGCCAATTAAGGGTAAGGGTTAAAACAAAAAAACAAATAAACATAACAGCTGATTAAAATGGGGCTTGAGGAAGCCCAATATGTTTCTGGGCTCATTGTCAGCGTTCCCTGACAGTGTAGATTGTTATGATGATATCAAGAAACAATCCATGGATCCTGAGTACTTGTACAGATGAGCTGAGATACATGGGTATTCTGATCCTTGTTAAACTTTTACTGTTTGAAAAATATTTGATGGAAGATGCATGAGGGATAAACAAATGACCTCATAATCGGAATTAATATTTGACCACTTTCATAGTGAAGTGATCCGGTTTAGAATTGGTCTTCAACCTATGCTCGTCCTAGGGAGGGACACACGGGATCGGTTGATCAGACTCGCTGATTTGGTTGATGCATGTTATTGTATCGCAATTGCCTAGATTGATGCTCATGATGTCATTCACCTGATTGTCTGTCCCAGATTTGATTATTTACAGACTGCCATCATATAGCTGGAGTTTGGCTTTAATCACAAACAAAACATAGTGCAGTAACTATGGTAACAGGCCATGGATTTGTTGGACATCTATGAAAATTAATTGCCTTACATAGCTGGACATCCCAAACCAGCTTAGTTGACATCAGATCATTCAAATAATTACAAGCATGTATTTCAGTGTGACGTTTCTTTGTGCGTTCTGTGTTCACCTGTTAATGTTTCAGCGCACAAACAACCAGAAAATTGGCCTGTGTGAAGCCTTGCTGGCTATTGGAGCATGGGACAATGCGAAGGCCGTCCTCGACCGAATGCCAGAGTTCTTTGCCATGTCAAACACGTCCACTGCCCAAGCCTTGTGTCAGCTGATTCACTCACTCGTAGAACCTCTTTATCAGCAGTAAGTACCCATGTTCTCACAGACTTGATAATCTGTCCATTGAACACATGGAGATTCCAGGTTAGAATAGGCCTCAGTCACTCCATGCTTGTCGTAAGAGACTAAGTTGAGGAAGATGTGGTCACCTGGCTGAGGGTGTGTCAGGGTAAGCTGACTGTTGATAAGTTGCTCATGTTATCAACAATTGGTGTACTTGGCCTAGTTTATATTATTTACAGGCTTTGTAATATACAGTATGGATGGTGTATTGCTGACTTTGGTGTACAATAACATTCTCAGTCTGCCGTCTGTTAATGCCATCCAGAGCTTAGGCATGTTAGGTGGAGCTTTTCGTTTTCTTCAGAATGCATTACCTCTCAGGGTTTCAGATTGGTTTATTTCCAGGAAATTGACAGATTGTATTCCAAAATGTCTTAAAAATTGTATTCAAATTTGGTTAAGACATGTAACAATGTCATATCAAAAATTGATAAAATCATGAAAATGGCTGATTACCTTTTGTCTCCAACAAAGTCACTACCTCTGTGAGCTTGTAGACCATCTTCTTCAATATTCATGATTTCACCTTAACATTAAGCAAGTTAGTGCTATAACAAGAGAGTCATCAAACGTGCTTGTCTCTCTAATTTTTTAGCAACAGTGGTTTATCAAGAGTTTTGATGAAAAAGAGAGATCGAAGATGGAAGGGAAAGATATCCCCTGATGCTGTTACAACATTTCTACAACTACACCAGCGAGTCATGCCCATGTTTCTCTACCTGGGACCACACGCTTCGCGAGATCCGATACTCATCGCAAAGTTCATCCGACTTGGCAGGACCTTTATGACAAAGGTAACTGGCTTAGTGCTCAGTAAATTCTTAGTGTCTTTTTGGTCATTTTGAAGACATGAGCTATTTCTCCATCTCCTGACCGCCTCTGTGGTCTAGTGGTAGAGCGTCCGCCCGGCCGCGTCATACCAAAATACGGTATAAGATGGTCCTTGTTTGTTATCCTGTCTGGCGCTCGACATTAGGGGCTAAAGCAAGGACTGGTCAGTTCGGAGTCAGTATACTGTGTCTGAGTGGGGTATTCATGTCAAACTGTGGCATGGTATCTCAGTGGGCTAGCACTATAAATTGGCATCAGTCCGGCTAGAACAAGCAGCCACACACACACACATGCATACACATTGCTATATAAGTGCAATAGTCTTGGACGCGACGTTAAATCCAATTTCACCACACCTCATCTCACATCACCTCACCTCACCTACATGACCTTCTCATGGTCGTGGGTTTCACCAAAGTGGAGAAGACAAAGGACCTTCATCACTTTTTTCCCACACAAAGCTGACATGCTATGATGTCATAGGAAAAAAAGTTACACACCGAGTTTAATAAAATATTCGCTCACTATCCTGCCACATAAAGCTGAATGTTTGATATAGCCGAAATGCTGTCAAAAAGGTCATTAAACTCAACTCATTTGTGATTATCCGGCTTCAGCGCCATGAAGGTGGCGTGGGTCCAGAAGACGATGTTGCGTACTATGGATTCCTGAACATCCTGGATGATGTCGTCCTGCCCAGCATGTGTCTCCTGCCCTGTAATTGCTGTCTCACTGAGGAACTGTGGGGACTCCTGAAGCTCTACAAGTATGAACTCAGGTAAGACTTGAAACTTTCTGCCTGCGGTCAGTGCGGGTTTCAATTGGTCCCAAGCAGCCTAAGCTGGTCAATGAGGTAACTTAATGGATCGGGTGGTCAGACTCTGTGACTTGGTTGATGGCATGTCATCATACACCACAGCGTGGATCAATGCTCACAATATCAATCTCTGAATTGTCTGTCCAGACTAGATTATTTACTGGCCACCGTCATACAGCTGGAATATTGCTGAGTGCAGCTTTAAACAAGAAAGAAGCACACACACTGAAAACTTCTGTATCCATGTTCAGTATTTGACAAGTAACTCCAGTTGTGCTTCATAATCTTCTAATGTGATACATGAATTATTTATGATTCAAATTCAAATGATTCAGATTTCACTTCTCATTCTACTGTGAAACCCTGTAAGTCTGGAGAGAAAAAACTTCTACACAAATACTATTGCGAATGTTTGTATATTACGAAAGGGACATAAACAAATACCAAAGAATTATCCATCTGGATATTTTAACTTGTTAAAATGCGGTCCGGATCTACAGACACGGAAGGTCAAATTTCTCTATGTATTAGAGACATGTTGTTGATATGTTCGGATGTCAATCATCTTGATGTTTCAAATCATTTAAAACTGTGTTATGTCCTTTCAGATACCGTTTGTATGGTCACTGGAAGAATGACTCCCATCAGCATCATGCAATCCTGATCCGGAGGAGGGCGGACTGTCTGGAGCGGGCCAAATACATTATGAAGTAAGTGTGTCAGGGGAGACAACTGTCACTGGTTGGATGTTTATGGAGATGTCTTTTCTTGCATAGTCTTGAACCGCTCTTGATGTCTTTCTCCATTATTTTTTCTGCAATGGACCATTTGAAGCAGATTTCCTTACCTGTATTAGTAATGTCTGTCCGCCAGTGGGAAATCTGGGTTAGAATATGTCCCCATTAAACTATGCTTATAAGAAGTGACTAAATGGATGGTGTTGGTGGCTTGGTTGATTGTGTGTCATTGTAGCCAGGCAGCATGTGTTGCTAATATTATCAATCACATGTTAACAGACCATTTCATTCTCAAGCAGATTTCCATCTTTTCATGACATTGACATATGTGTTCCTCATTTTTTAGCTATTTCTCTGAGTGGTCTAAATTCTGCAATTATGTACATCTTGTTCACAGACGTTTGTCCAAAGAAACAGTCAAGCCATCTGGAAGACAAATTGGGAAACTAAGTCACAGCAACCCAGGCGTGGTGTTTGAATATGTAAGTGCTTTGATTATATCTTATAAAAACAGGCGGTCGGGTAGCCTAGTGGTTAAAGTGTTCACTCGACACGGCAAAGACCTGTGTTCGATTCCCGACAAGGGTACAATGTGTGAAGCCCATTTCTGGTGTACTGTTTTTTTCTATTGTTGTATTTTTTATGTGACAATTAAAAATTGAATGAGGTTTAAAAAGCTTTTACCTGATTTCATAAATTGTGTTTGTATAGATGTATACTTTGGTGTTTTGATTTGGCACATGCAACTTTGAAAAGCCCATAGAGGCTGGTATGTTACATTTGTATTTTGTGTTTTTCAGGTTCTGTCTCAAATCCAGCGCTATGATAACTTCATCGGCCCAGTGGTGGACTCACTCAAGTTCCTCACATCCTTCTCCTATGACGTCTTAGCATGTATCCTTTTGTGTCACGTTAACCATGGCAACCTGAAATTGCAGTAGTCTCAAACTTAAAAGATGAGGAATTATGAAAATTTGAAAGTGAGCTCCTCCAATTTCATTATCATGCAGATATGTGAGGACTTGACGATATTTAGCTAGTGTATGTATTGCCACCACAATTTGTTAAGCATAGCTGTGCCCCTGTGCTGCCAAGACCCGCAGGTCATTGGTCCTGATAACGATCCTTGCTAGGTCGGCTTCAAACCCATAGGCATGGATTTGATTAATATCTTAACTGTCTATGACCTGCACAATTTTTTACGCTCCTTCCAAAGTAAGCTGATACCCCATAACTGGACTGAAATACTTATAAAGAGAAGCTCCATCAGTGTAGCATGACATATGTTAGTCATGTCTTTGTTGTGGGGTAACATTTGTGGATACAAAGTTAAATCTTTCCTTAACTGTACATGAGTCTGTATAATAGAAGCCGTGGCAAGTCCCGAGAAGGAGAGAATGAAGCATGATGACACAAACATCTCCCTGTGGCTTCAGAGTAAGTTGATGAAGAACCCGTTGAGAATAGAGTTGAAGGCTAAACATCATAATGACATCATTGTTACCCTATAACTATCATGCAGGGATAGACACCATTGGTCATCTCTAACAAGTCTGCAGACAAGTTTAACATCACTAGATTTTGGAAGATAAAAACAAGTCCTCTAGGTTTTCTTTCACTGGTCTCAAACTAGTGCTCTTGTCTATCCCTGTTATGGTTACTATACTAGATATAAGTAACTTATTTACATATGAACTATTTATGAAGCATGTTGTAATTAAACAGTCATTCATCAAATTTATTAGGATTCAAAGTAAGATGAACTAACAAACGATGCAGCAGAGGATTCACGAGATTGTTTTGGTTCCAGGCCTGGCCAATTTTGCTGGGTGCATTTGTCGCAAGTACCAGGTGGAACTGGCTGGGATCATGCAGTATGTGGCCAATAAACTCAAGGCAGGCAAGAGGTGAGGACACTTGGATTATTACTGGTCTCTACGCAGTGTTGAACATCTTGTCAGCACTGACAAAACTGAAACAAACTTGATTATCCAGAGTATTATATCGCCATTCTGCTATGGTAAATACCTTGGACCCTTTTGCCGAGCCCAATTTGAATGGCACAAGGCTTTAAAAAGTCATCCAATCAAATTGTTCACATGAGCATGATGAGTGGGAGAAACGGAGACTGATGTCACTTTCCCCCAAAAAGAGGGGTGGGCGGGAAGCCTCGTGGTTAAAGCGTTCGCTCGTCATGCCGGAGACCTGGGTTCCATTCCCGACATGGGTACAATGTGTGAAGCCCATTTCTGGTGTCCCCTGCCGTGATATTGCTGGAATATTGCTGAAAGTGGGGTAAGACCACACTCACTCACTCACTCAAAAAAAAGCTATGGTAGTGGTGGCAAGTAAGCCCAAGGTTCTGATACTAGAATGGCAATGTTATGCTCAACATTTATCTAAAATGTAATGTTTTTCACATTTATACCTTTATATCATTGTAGATTCCATTATGTTGTTGCAACTTAAATCCTTGGTTCTACAGTGCTGTGGCACTATTAGAGTAGGTGATGTGTTTGAGTAGGTGATGTGTTTGAGTAGGTGATCTGTTTGAGTAGGTGATGTGTTTGAGTAGGTGATGTGTTTGAGTAGGTGATTTGTTTGAGTAGGTGATGTGTTTGAGTAGGTGATGTGTTTGAGTAGGTGATTTGTTTGAGTAGGTGATGTGTTTGAGTAGGTGATGTGTTTGAGTAGGTGATCTGTTTGAGTTGCTGATGTGTTGTTTTAGTTGCTGATGTGTTTGAGTAGGAGGTGATGTGTTTGAGTCAGCGATGTTTGAGTAGGAGATGTGTTTGAGTTGATGTGTTTGAGTCCATGTCATGAGTGCTGTCTGTGATGTTGCAGTATTGACCTGCTGCTGTTGAGGGAGGTGGTACAGAAGATGACAGGTGTGGAGATATCAGAGGAGATCACCAATGACCAGTTGGAAGCCATGACGGGAGGCGAGCTGCTCAGACAGGAGGTAGGCATCTGAGTCAAATGACAATAAGTTTAGACATTTTTTACAGTCAGTGTTTCACATTTGAAAGAATTAAGAACTCCCAAGCAATTTATAGTCCGGTTCATTTCAAATTTGGAAAGTCAGCTGAGTGATATTTCATGATCTATTTGATATGTGGTATAAACTTCTATTAACAATTTGCTGAAAAATACTAAACCAGGTTCCATTTAAGTCATTAAGAAATATATGCCAGTGTTTCTGTTACTTTTAACTAAGTTTTATGAACCAGCAATATTTAAATACTAGGGGTTTCAAAACGTTAATTGCTGACATCACACCTGTTGTTGTTATTGCTATCATGATGACCTTCTGTGTTTTGCAACTGAAGGAAGAAATGTTCCATTGGTTGCTCTGGTTGCAAGTAGTTGTGTGCAATGCCTCCTTGTAAGTTAGTTACTTTCCTTTGCTAGGGAGGCTACTTTGCCCAGGTGCGCAATACCAAGAAGTCATCGACTCGTCTGAAGGAGACGCTGCTGGAACACGACCTGGCTCTGTCTCTCTGTCTGCTCATGTCCCAGCAGAGGAACTGTGTTGTATTTAAGGAGGGATCCAACAGGCATCTCAAACTCGTGGGGAAACTCTACGATCAGGTATGCCGGGGTTTGTTTGTGTCATAGTTCAGAACATTCTGTTTCTTATAATGTCATGAAGGGATACCAGTGTCCAATAAATGACATACTTGATCTAAGACAGAATATGTCATCTAGTCAAATGTTGTTATTAGTCAGTTTTAAGATAAATTTTCCATGCGGGACATGCATCTTAAATGGTCACGCTGGATATGATGGTTAATAAGATTCAAAGTGATGATGTTGCAAACAGAAAAGTGATGATGATGATGATATTAATATTTTCTCATGCAGGATATGCATCTTAAGTGGTCACACTGGATATGATGGTTAATAAGATACAAATTGATGATGTTATGTATAGTATTGATGATGTTACGAATAGTATTGATGATGATAATGATGATGAGAAGTATCTGAAATTAAAAGTGTTATTGCCACTCCCAGGACTTAGTTTGTTATTGCCAATATTTCAATATTGCCAACTGTGAGTTGAATCCAGCTAGATAAATATAGGAGGGATGCTGCAGATTAATTGTGTTCCATTAAAGACAAGATGTGTTGTTTCCTTTTTTCCCAGTGTCAGGACACGCTGGTTCAGTTCGGCAGCTTCCTCTCCATGCAGCTGAGCACGGAGGAGTTTGTGAAGAGGCTGCCCAGTATAGATGTCCTGATGACCACGTTCCACCTGCCAGCTGACTCGGCCTTCTTCCTGTCCAGGTCTCTCTATGCACATGGGATCAATGTGAGTACAGCTTGCTATGATAAGAGGTATACTTCCCAAACAACGTTATCAAGGACCACCTGATATTTTGATACGACCATAGCTAATCTGTTATGGCTTTTGTAATATGAAACAATCATGGCATATTAACTATAATAATATGAAAAAATTGGGTGGTCCTTAATGAATATATGTATGAATATATGGCACTTTTTATGGGAAGCAACTTCTTTTATTCTTTGTCATGGCAATTCAGAGCTACTTCCTGCTCCTTCATCAGGTGAATGCTTAGTAAGTGCAAAGACATAAAGTCATTGAGTAGTATATGTCACCTAATTTGCCTGGTGCAAACTCAATTATTTATAGGCATTTGCAAAATACCTGGCAAATTGTTGATGGCAGCAAAAACAACATTAAATCTCTCATATAGAATTGGGGTATTGGGAATGCCTTGTGGTTGAAGTGTCAGCTTGTCACTCCAAAGTCCCAGGTTTGATTTCCAACCTGGGTTCAAAATGTTATTCCCATTCTTGGTATCCTGTGGAATTTGTCTTAATAGAGTATGTACCAGGTATGTACCAGGTGAGGTGCCTTGCATGGTGTATACAAGCAAACAAAGGAAACAAAGAAACAAACAGAATTTGGACAATATGAGTAATAACCAACACCTCTTTTTAAAGTACCAAACAAGCCAGGTCATACCATTGAGGTGATCCTCCTAGGAGCCTATCCAAGAACTATCCATTCTCAATACTTTCACAACCATCCAATGATTGGCCACCTATTGCAACAAGCGTGGTTACTGGGTACAACCTGCTTGGAGTAAATGATTGTGATACTTCTAGAGGTCATGTTTTATCTTGTTTTGTTCTCGTTTTTTCCTAGGCCAAGTATGAAGAGAAGAGAAAGAGTGATAAAGGCCAAAAAAGTAGTAGCCAGACAAAGGTATGTGTTGTTTCTGAGACTTACTTGAGACAGATGCCAGGACAGATTAACTGTAGTGATATTGAAGATAGCTATTGCAAGATATAATGAAGAACAAAGCGTGGTTTATTTCACGATACACCATTGTTCTATCATGATGTCATTTCAGGAGATTCAAACCTGCTCTCACAACTTGATGACATTTTTCAGGCGGTGCTTGTCTTTTTTTGGTGCCAGTATGTATTGTCATCACTGGTATGGAGGATATTCCGACTTTGTCTCTTTGATTTCTGCCAAAGCTCTAACATACTAGAGATTATGATTTAGTTTAGTTGAGACATATGCAGTGCAGGATAGCCATGGCGATAAAATATGTTGTAGGATTATCCATCCTGGAATACAGATTGATGTACATGTGGCTGTGTATCCTTCACCTATCAGCTCCGGAGCCTCCCGTGTTTGCGTTCTTAGAAGCACGACCCTATTAAGGCTAGTCTCTTATTACATGTATAAAGCCTGTTTGTTCAGCATTTGATCTTTGTTCTGTGTCTACAGATTCAGCGCTATATTGAAGCATCTGAAGAAGTCCTGAAGCCCACCATTGATCTGGTCCAGTCTCTCTATCCAGGCAAAGTGTGGGAAGACATCAGGTACAGTTTTTTCAGTGCTTTTATGAAAAAATTGTTCTTGCTTCTCAGACAGGTCTGTGTTGGAAACTCATGAAGAACTTTCGGTTTAATGCAAGAAAAAGCACAATTCTGAAACCCTCATATCTCACAATGTGAAGTGCTTCATATGTACCCTTTTACATTCAGAACAAATACTTTCTTTGGTTTGCCTAAATGGAAATATGCCTATCAGATCAGGAAAGAGGGAAACATTGAAGTAAAGAAAACTAGTTACAATTAACAGTGTTTGATGCTAACCAAAATTGTCAGTTGTCCAAAGGATCTGCATCAAAGAAAAATTTGCTGGTCCTGTTTGATCTCTACTAGACACAGTATCGCTGATTTCAAAAGTCATACAAATTGAAATAACCACTTGATTCATTTTACTGGTCCTTAAGAAAATATACTGGACTCAGACCAGCGGACCAGTGCAGTTTTTCAAAGGATCTGCACCAAAGAAAAATTTGCTGGTCCTGTTTGATCTCTACTAGACACAGTATCGCTGATTTCAAAAGTCATACAAATTGAAATAACCACTTATATCATTTTACTGGTCCTTAAGAAAATATACTGGACTCAGACCAGCGGACCAGTGTTAGTGTCGAGCACTGGTTAAAACTTGTATGTTTTGCTGTTGCAGCCCTCAGTTCTACTTGACATTCTGGTCTCTGTCGATGTACGACCTGGCAGCACCGACTCCAGCATACGAGAAACAGATCCAGCAGCTCAACAGCCAGATCAATGCCATTGATGATAACAGGGACATGGTAAGCCTCGACCATGACCATGACCACTAGTACCGACCCGTGAAGATTCCGGGGTAGAATAGGTCTTCAGCAACCCATGCTTGCCGTAAAAGGCGACTATGCTTGTCGTAAAAGGGGACTAACGGGATCGGGTGGTCAGGCTCGCTGACTTGTTTGATCCATGTCATTGATCCCAATTGCGTGGATCGATGCTCATGATATTAATCACTGGATTGTCTGCTCCAGACTCGATTATTTACAGACCGCCGTCATATAGCTGGAATATTGCTGAGTGCGGCGTTAAACAACAAACCAACCAACCAATCACTAGTACCACCACCACTACTGCTACTGGGCTTGAAACACATTTAAACATGTGCTTTATGTTTTCAGTATTATCCCATACCATTATCATACCAAAATTGGCAATATGTTTTGCCTTTGCATGTCACACTTTGCCATTTAGCTCAACTGAATCATTCATCTGCTGTCTGTCGGCTGTCTATTTTACATTCTCTTTCTGATTAAATCCTCCTTGGGGCACTTATTGCATTTTCCTTGCTCAAGAAAATCTACATGACATAGTTGTAACCATTTTCCTTAATAAAAAATGTTACCACACAAAAAACTTCGTTTTTGTATGATATACGACCACCCTTACGGGGCCTCACCCCCAACGGCACCTCACGCCAGGGGGAGCAACTCTCACCCAAATCACTTTCCTTATGTCATCTGTAAGAGACAGACGTGTTGATTTTTTCACACAAGACAAAAATATGAGAAATCTATCGTTCGACAAGAACCATGGCTGACCAAACTGTATGTATGGTACATTTCTTTCATTGCAAAGGCGTAATACCTCGCAATGTGAAGTTATAGAGTTGTAATAATACGCCACGTGCACGGTACCTTTGAATTCAAATGGCCGTAATGGCGTCCATATTGTAGTTCCACGGGCTGATACATGTTACACCAAGGCCATTAAGAAACGGCTTGGGGTTTTGTTATATCATTCAGCATTGGTCTACAATTTTTTCCTTTACAAAACCCAAGGTGGTGTGTTAATTCATAAACTACACTTACCTTTTTTACGGGTTTTACACCTTAGCGCGTAACACGCCCCTTTGGTGTTATACTACGACATTGGCTATTAGTATCGCGTTACAATTCGCATTCTACATTACGCCTTTGCTTCTAGTTTCACAATTTATGCACGTATCTTTCCGATCTTTATATCGCACTGATACACGTTGATACCCTTCCCGCCCACCTCAGAAATTACGGTCTTGTTTACAAGACCTTCAAACTGTGTACGGGTTGTTCTAAGACAGGCGCGAACGCTGCCTAATATGTCTGGCGGAGGACATTGCTTTTACCCCCCGGGGCCCCCAAAAAGAGACAAGTTGACTTGTTCCACTTTAAAGAGGTCTATTAAAGGCAGGGGAAGATATCAGATCTACTTAGACATCCCCCCCCCCCCCCCCTCCCCATCTAAAAAGGGTAAAAAAGCTGCCGAGATTGTCTCCCCCGCTCCCTCTCCGGGGGCCGGGGGAGAAGGCTCGAGGGTCCCCGTAGTAAGCACTGCACCCTCTCCTGCACTGTCTTTGGCAGACTTTTCTGTGTTACTTAAGTCGCAGATGGCGTCGATGATGGAGGAGGTAAAGTCTCAGCTCCGAGAGGAGATGCGGACCGAGCCTTCCCCGTTGTCGGCGCCAGACGTGGCTTCGAGACCTTGTGATATGCCCGGCGTCGGCCGAGGCAGGCCACTTGGTCTCGGGGACGATCTCAGACCGGGCTTCGGCGCCGGCTCGAGGTCGCTCCCCAGCGGAGGGGTGGCGGGCGCCTGCCCGTGCACTACCGACGCACAATTTTTCCCTAGCGGAGCCAGACGCCTCTTCCGAGGCCGAGGCGTTCACTAGTGGATTCGTAGCCCAGAGCCAGGGGGGTTCCCTTGGTCTCGGGGACGATCCGAGACCGAGCTTCGGCTCCGGCTCCGGCTCGAGGTCGCTCCCCAGCGTAGTGGTGGCGGGCACCGGCCCGTGCACTACCGACGCACAATTTTCCCTAGCGGAGCCAGGCGCCTCTTCCGAGGCCGAGGCTTCCACTAGTGGATACCTAGCCCGGAGCCAGGTTGGTTCCCTTTGTCTCGGGGACGATCCGAGACCGAGCTTCGGCTCCGGCTCCGGCTCGAGGTCGCTCCCCAGCGTAGTGGTGGCGGGCACCGGCCCGTGCACTACCGACGCACAATTTTCCCTAGCGGAGCCAGACGCCTCTCCCGAGGCCAAGGCTTCACTAGTGGATACCTAGCCCAGTGCCAGGTGGGTTCCGTTGAACCTCCGGCACCTCGGCACCGGGACTTGGCCTCGGGTCGGGTGCAGAGACACGTGCGGGACACGATTGTCCAGGTACTGCCTCAGGTGGCTGCGCCCATGCCAGAGTAGGAGACACCCAACTTGACTAAGGTCAAGCAGGGCCGGCGGTTGCCCCCCCCTTTCCCGTGTGCGGTGCGGAGTTGAAGGCTGCTTACATATGCTTCGAGGAGCAATATCATAATGCATGCCAACAGCTCCGTGTGTCCGTACACTCCGCGTATCTGTCGGCTGTACAGAGGGAGTTAGCGGGAGAGGGGCCGGCCGACTCTTCGGAGTTGGCCGCGCAACTAACGGAAGTTCAGTTATCTTGCGCGGGACGCTATTCGTAGCTGTGCCTCGCAGATGATGTGCGCTGTTATGGGCATGCGCAGGCGGTGGATGTCGGTATCTAAATACTCGACTTACACACGCCAAGACCTACTTGCTTTGCCGTATAAGAGGGTGCCACCCTCTTCCCTGGGGCTCAGCAGGTGGTCCGAGAGGCTGCTCAATTGTATACTTCCATCATTAAAACCGCGTAAGCGGGCCTCTCCAATTGTCCCCTCCTACGCTAACGCATGGGTCAGACGTCCACACCTGCTTGGAAGCCGCCGCTTCCTTCAGGTATAAGGGCGCCGGGAGGAGCAAGAGAGGCACGGGCCGGGGCAAGGCAGCTGGTCGAGGCCAACAGCTTTTTCCCGGGGCTGGGAACGATGGGTTCCCATTAGCGCCCGAAGAGCCCCGGGTGAACCCACAGTCGCAAGTTATCGAACTGCCGACAGACGGGGTCCACTGCCTCCAGCCGGATGTCCCCGTAGGCGGCCGACTGGCTCTATTCCTGAAGGAATGGGAGACAGTTACATCACAATCCCCGGACCCCGTTCATTTTAAGGGATGGCCATTTGCCTCGGTGGAAAACTCATCCGCTCCTCCACTTTTCCGGGATAAAGCACACTCCGGTGCCTGCTACCCGAGAGAAGACGGAATTCCTCCGTGCCGAGGTCGACGCACTTCTTATGAAAGCTGCGATCGAACCTGGTCCCGAGGGACAGGAAAGCGAGGGCTTCTACTCTACTTGTTTCCTAGTCACCAAACAGTGATCTCAACTGTCGAGACAGGAGAATGGCTAACGTCAATAGACTTAAAATACGCCTATCTCCACATACCAATACACCCCAAGTTCAAGAAATACCTGACGTTTTCTTTCGACGGGAGGTGTTATCAGTTCAGGGTTCTACCATTCGGGATCTCCACGGCCCCGAGGGTGTTCACCAAGCCCAAGTGGCCAGGTCAAAAGGTCGGTTCTGCCATCCGTACCTCGACGACTGGTTACTAAGAGCTCTATTGCAAACCCTGAGTCAGATAGCTACACAACAATCTCAATCTCAAGAAGTCAGATCTGAGCCCCACTCAGAATCTAGTCTTCCTAGTGGCTAATTTCAACACGGTGAGAGGACGTGTATCTCTGTAACAAGATATCAAGTCCCTTAAGCGCAAGTCACACTGCTCGTACATGGCTCGTACATGGCTCCAGTTACTGGACAACATGGCGGCGACAGTGGATTTGGTCTGGCGGGCGCACTTGAGAATGAGTCCCATTCAACAAGCGCTCCGTCGACTTTGGGCGAACTCGGAAGATCTCGAGACTGTGCTCGAGACTCCGTAGTGGCTCATTACACACCTCCAGTGGTGGACCGAGGTCGGGAATCACTCCCGTTCCGTCTCTCACAGTTCAAACAGACGCGTCACTCTCCGGCTGGGGAGGCGTTCTGAATGATCACACTGCCTCGGGACTATGGTCCCAGCAGGAGATCAAACTGCATATCAATGTGCTAGAACTGAGAGCGGTCAGGTTGGTGTTCCAACGCTTCCCGGATCTGCTTCGTGGCCAAGTGGTTCGTCTAGAGATGGACAACCAAACGGCGATGACTTACATCCGGAAGCAGGGGGGAACGGCGTCTCCGTCGCTTCGACGAAAGACGTGGCAGTTCCTACTATAGTGCGACTCTCACGATATCAGGGTGCTACCTGTTTATCTCCCGGGGGTGGACAACGTCCGTGCGGACGCTCTGTCTTGCCGGATCCTCGCTCCTCACGAGTGGAGGCTCGACCCGGGGATATTCGGGATTTTCTCCCTGTTATACAGGTCGTTACAGGTGGATCTGTTTGCGTCTGGGTTAAATAACCAGACACCAACGTTCTGCTCCCGAGTCCACGACCCGAGGTCGGTGGCACCGGACGCCTTTCAGCTAGATTGGACGGACAGTTCTGTGGGCATTCTCCCCAGTACCTCTGATTTCCAAGGTCCTGTCTCAGCTAGGCACTCAGCCTGCGCAACTAATTGTGCTCCTGGCACCTCTTTAGTCGGCGCAGAGTGGGTTTCCAGTAATACTCAGGTTTCTGGCTCAGCCTCCTGTTATATTACCTTTACGACCGGACCTCCTATCCCAGAACGGGGCCCTCCACCCGAATCTCAGGATTCAATGGGTGGCTTGGCCACTGTCAGTAATCGCCTCCAGAAGAGCGGTATTCCTGCACGAGTTGCAGACACAATACTGGCTTCGCGGAGGGATTCGACAAACGTTCAGTACGATAGATAGGCCTGCTATGCGCCCTGGTGTGTCGATAGAGGGATTGCAGATCTTTTTTCTGCAGATCTCGTATCCGTGCTTGAGTTTCTCCAGTCGCGACTAGATGACGGCCTGGCCGCATCAACAGTCAGAGAGTACGCTACAGCTATCGCAGCTTTTCACGTCCCTGTCGACGGGGCACTTCTGGGTGCACACCCATTAGTGCAGCGCTTTTTAGCAGGTGTGGACAGGATCCGACCGCCAGTCCGGCGGATCAGTCCCCCTTGGGACTTGTCAATCATTCTCGATTGGCTGTCCGGTCCTTCCTTTCGGGATCTGTCGTCTCTCTCTCTTCAGCTGTTGAGCTGGGAGACGGCGTTCCTTGTGGTGGTAACGTCCGGCAGACGGGTAGGCGACATTCGTGTTATGTCAGCCGATCCCAAAATAACTGTCTTCCATGGGGTCGATAAATATCACCGGGACAGTCAGTTTTCGTCTACCGGACTATTACCGTCCTAGGGTCGCACACGATTCCACGTGAACGGCTCCTATTGAGCTACCTGCTCTTTCACAGCCTTCCTCGTCGGGGACCACTGCAAGACATGCTCATGTCTTGGATGTCCGCACGACTCTCAAGGCCTATATCAGCAGAAATATGGGTGTCCGTAAGGATAACCAACTATTTTGCTGTTACTGCGGTAGGAAGGTTGGCTCACCTGTGAGTAAACAATCTATCTCGAGGTGGATAGTTTCAACCATTTGTACAGCATATACGCTTACAGGCAGGGACCCCCCTGCCAGGTTGAAGGCTCATTAGGTTAGAGCAGTGGCTGCGTCAAAAGCGTACGCCGCGGCTCTGCCCATTGAGCAGATCTGCTCCGCGGCTATTTGGAGCCAGCCGAGCACGATTCATCAAACCTTACCAACTCGACAAACACTCAAGCGAGCGTACTCGGTTTGGTCAGTCAGTTCTCCGAACTGGGCAAAGTTCTAATCTCTAGCTGATTGAGCATTCGAGATTTTAGACAGTCTTCCGGTTATACTGCTCAGTAATGGTCCGGATTTTATCTTCTGCGGTCGATAAATATCAGTCCTTACTACTCGATAATACTCGTATTTTGCGCACGCACTCCTTCGATCCTCGGGGACCCTCTGGCCTAGCTCAGCGCTGGTTATGGTCTCTCGTGATCTACGCCCTTATATCACTTGTTCAAAAAAAGTGTGGGGGGGTGGGAGGTGTTTCGAGTTCTCAACTTATGACAAGCCGCAAAAACAGGCTTTATCATAATATATGGTCGACCACGCCCTGTCTCTAGCCCCCGCCTTTCGACGGTGGTGCCTCACGATAAGGTTGGTTCCATTTATTGAACTCAATATTTTATTCTGTTGAATAATCAAATACGATGTATTTATTTACGCCTGTTGCTGACGGATGCCACTTCCTAGATTATCTTTGGGAGTCTGTCTTGATGCAATAAGTGCCCCAAGGAGGATTTAATCAGAAAGAGAATTTTACAAACCTGTAGAGGTTATGAATTCTCTGATGAAATCCTCCTTGGGGCACGGCCACCCACCTCCCCACATTCCGTCAGCATTTGACATATGGAAAGTGATTTGGGTGAGAGTTGCTCCCCCTGGTGTGAGGCGCCGTTGGGGGTGAGGCCCCGTAAGTGTGGTCGTATATCATACAAAAACGAAGTTTTTTGTGTGGTAACATTTTTTATTAAGGAAAATGGTTACAACTATGTCATGTAGATTTTCTTGAGCAAGGAAAATGCAATAAGTGCCCCAAGGAGGATTTCATCAGAGAATTCATAACCTCTACAGGTTTGTAAAACTTTATCATATTTCACAAACAAAAATTACAAGGCCTTTGAGGCTCAAACTTTGCATGAAGTATAAATAGTATGCCTCAAAAGTGCAAACAAAAGCGTAGTCTTTTTGAATGAAGGAGACCCTGGTATGATATATGCCATAGACCTTGAACAGGAAAGGTCCATGTTCATACTGCGGAATAGTCATTTTATTTATCCTGTTGCCGTACCCTTTATCTTGACATCCCATTGCTCCTTGCAGCCCCAGAGCAAGAAGAAGAAGGAGAAGGAACGTTGTAACAACCTGATGGAGAAACTTAAGGAGGAGGAGAAGAAGCAGAACGAACATGTCAATCGAGTTATGGCTCGACTCCAACATGAACGTGATCACTGGTTCCTGTCACGCGAAGGTATGCCTCATTCACCAACTTCACCTATATCCCCTTCAGCACATGGTCACAACTACTGCAGACATTGGATAGAAGGAAATAATACCACTAAGGAGACGTTAAGAAACATCTGATCCTTTCATATTAAATTTTGTTTTGTAGTATATTATGCTACACATTACAGTCATTGAAATTAACCATGAACGTCAAAGGGTCCTTTTCATAACCCTGATGTTAGTTAGAGATTTAGTGGGTCCCTAGATTCAAATAGATTCAAACTATCCATTGCTGGTGCAGGAACCAAATCAAGCATCAAAGATTAGTTCAATCTTGTTAGGGAAGTATTTATGGCATAAGCCATTGACCGTATCTTTTGTTCATACTCAATTTGGGGGGCACGGGTGGCCAAGTCGTCTTAGGCACCGCAATTCGCTGTGCAGAGTTGCGTCCCTTGGGCACGCCAGAAATCTACGATTGTGGGTTTGAATCCCGGTTCGCCCCGATTATATTTCTAGGTTTGTCAGCACCATACCCGTGCTCGTGGGTCTCACCGAAGTGGTAAACGTCTGAGACCTGCATCACTTCCGGCTTTCCTCCCACATTAAGTAGAGTCACTCACTCACTCACTCATGCTCAATATGCATGATGATGTGTCACAGCAGTTTTAAAATGTAAAGAGATTTTATATGCTATGCATTCACTGAGTTTGTATCCTGGATACAAATTGGGGCAGTGGGGTAACGTTGTGATCAAAACGATTCCACACATGGGTACATGAGTGAGGCATGAAAAAAAACATATGCACGCCAGATACAAATAATTCGTTAGCTGTGTGGACATCACCATTTCCCGATCTTTCTGTGCATTGCAGGTTCCAAGAGTGAGGCGATCACAGAGGTCCTCCAGTTGTGCATCTTTCCCCGATGTTGCTTCACGGCCAGTGATGCCGTCTTCTGTGCCAAGTTCATACATGTGCTGCATGAGCTGAAAACACCTCACTTCTCAACACTCATCTGCTATGATAGAGTAAGACACAGATTTAAACTTCTGTTGTTCCCTTTGTAGAAGCAAACTTCAGAGCCCTTCCCAGCCCTAGGGGATTCAGGATTAGAATAGATCCCCAGCAACATCTGCTGGTTGTAAGATTTGAACTTATGTTGTTCACTTTGTACAGAGTATGTTTACTTCAGAACCCTTCCCAGCCCTAGGGGAATCAGGGTTAGAATAGATCCCCAGCAACCTATGCTGGTTGTAAGATTTGAACTTATGTTGTTCACTTTGTACAGAGTATGTTTACTTCAGAACCCTTCCCAGCCCTAGGAGATTCAGGGTTAGAATAGATCCCCAGCAACCTCTGCTGGTTGTAAGATTTGAACTTATGTTGTTCACTTTGTACAGAGTATGTTTACTTCAGAACCCTTCCCAGCCCTAGGGGATTCAGGGTTAGAATAGATCCCCAGCAACCTCTGCTGGTTGTAAGATTTGAACTTATGTTGTTCACTTTGTAGAGAGTATGTTTACTTCAGAACCCTTCCCAGCCCTAGGGGATTCAGGGTTAGAATAGAATCCCAGCAACCTATGCTAGTCGAATGAGGTGACCTTGTAGTGATTCAGGGTTAGAATAGATCCCCAGCAACCTGTACTGGTTGTAAAAAGCAACCAAACAGATTGGGTGGTCAGGCTGTGTGACTTTGTTGATTGCATGTCATCGTACCATGACGTCGTGGATTGGTGCTCATAATATCACTGGATTTTCTGTCCCAGTCTTGATAATTTACTGGCCACAGTCACATGATTGTAATATTGTGGAGAATGATGTTAAACAACAATCAAATTGATATTCAGAACTTTTGTAAAAACTTTTATAATTACTCAATGTGTCCTAGGCATGCTAGGAGACCAGCTTTGTGTTGATTACAGTGAAATTGTCAGTTAAATGCCAATGAACATTAATTCATGATGAATGTTATTCGAGACTATCATGGTTTCCCTATTTTCAAGTACAATATTGTTGTATGCTATCTGGGTGTTCAACACAGATATTGTGTCTTGTGTTTTAGATCTTCTGTGATATTACCTATACTGTGACCAGCTGTACGGAAAATGAAGCTAGTCGGTATGGCCGTTTCCTCTGTGCAGCGCTCGACACCATCATGAAATGGCATAGCGATAGTGCCATCTTTGAAAAGGTCAGGATGTACTATTAACTCTATTTGTGATAGAGGTGTCAAAATATGACATGTATAACACAGCTATTTCCTGAATTATCAAAATTCTTGCTGTCTACTTAGCTTCTAATTAATTGTGAAATATACAGTTACTTTGTGTCAATAAAATATTCAGGTTTAAATACAGGTTTTGAATTAGCCGTAACCTTATCAGCAATGACATCTGAACATGTTTTGCTACCAGCAAAATAATGGCAGAAAATGTTTGCTGATTTTCAAGGGTAAGGGTGTTTCGATTCCATAGTTCTTGTTCATTTAAAGTTATTTTGGTGTGTTAATGGATATTTTTTAGCAACGTGGTTTGAACATATCAAAATGGCTACATGATAATATTGCCTGTGGGATCCAGGGTTAGAATTTTAATCCAAACAACAAATGTTTATCGTAAGAGGTGAAGCATAGAATTTTAATGAACAATCATAGAACTCTCGGGGTAGAGTTGATCCCCAGCAGCCTGTGCTGGTCGAAAGAGCAACCAAATGGATCCAGTGGTCAGGCTGCTTGGTGACGTGGTTGATTGCGTGTCATTGAACCCCATTGATGTGGATTATTGCTCACAACATTGATCACTGGATTGTCTGGTACAGACGCGAATGTTATCTCTGTTGTATAGCTGGCATAATGCTGAATGCGGTGTTAAACAAAAACAAATATAATGTGAGAGTTAACTTAAGGATCGGGTTGTTGGTTATTGACTTGGTTGAGACATTGCTCATAATATTCATCACTGGTTTGTCTGATAAAGGCTTCATTATTGACAGGCTGTGATCTTGTTGTCTGAATGGTAATGACTGCTGTATTGTACAGTGAATAAACAACCCAGATAAAGTAAAAATGAAAATGGGATACCAAGTATTGGGAAATATCCCAAACAAATGTGTTGACTGAAAAGGGTAAAGCTGTTGTGCTTGGTCTTGTTCAAATGATTTGACAGAGTGAGTGTGTATTGTTTTACGCCGCTTTTCTCAATATTCAAGCAATATCACGGCGGGGGACACCAGGAGTGGGCTTCACAAATTGTACCCATGAGGGATCAAACCCCGATCTTTAACGTGATGAGCAAACACTTTGACCACTAGGCTACCCAACCGCCCCCTGACAATATGAAACTTATGTATCAATGGTGTTGTTTTCTGTAGGAATGTTTTGGGTACCCTGGGTTTGTGACCGTGTTCAGGAAGGCAACCAAGGATAAGGAGAACAGCAACAAGGCCGACGGGTTGGACTTCGAGAACTACAGACATGTGTGTCACAAGTGGCATTTCAGACTTACAAAGGTGGGTCATGGAATCTCTTGGGGGCATTTCAGAAGCATGGCAGATATAAATCTCGATTTCTCAACATTTAAGGAATGAAGTTTGTTTATCCTACATTGAATTTTTGACCTGCCCCCCCCCCCCCCCCCCCCCCCACTACTGTTAAAAATATATCCTTAAGCATGTTCAAAGAAATCCTGTCAAAAGAATTACACTCAAGAAGGCAAATAAAGATTTGCATTGATGTTGCATGGCATTGTTTCAACATGTATTCAAATTTGAAAGATATGCTAGTTTGAATCCTTTGGTTTATGTTCTTCCATAGTCTTTGTGTTAGTCTTTGAGTTTGGATAGTCAAGTAATAATTTTTATCCCCACAGCATATAATGCGGGGGGATATGGCGATCAGCCAGCCTGTCTGTCAGTCCATCTATAATTATTTCCTTTTCCGGGGCAGAACTTGAAAACCTGTTTTTCCTGTTTCCATGGCAACAAGTTTGACTTTGACTCTGTTCATAGTGTTGTGTTTGTCTGGACCATATATCTAAAACTAAAAGGTATTCTTTCTTGAAACTGCACACAAAAAGACCAGGTTATCAACTGGTGCCTTTTGCTATTTAGGGATTTTTAGAATTTATATATATCTGTTTCCATGGCAACAAGTTTGATTTTGACTGACATAGAAATTCAAAGTTCTGAATCCCTATTCCATAGTATTGTCTTCATAGCTCAAAATCTACTCTTGTATATGGACAGACAGATTAGAAATTCTCTCATCGAGTTGGACTTCAGGTGATTTGCTCTTTGGAACTTGTTGGGGCCGGGGGGGATTTGTCATCTTTTGATGACTCTTGTTGTTATGCCTACTGTATTTGAATATGATTGTATTGTCAGGCAATGGTTGCTTGTCTGGAATCCCAAAACTACATCCAGATCAGGAATGCTCTCATTATCCTGACAAAGGTGAGGCCCTATTTGATAGTTTATATGGTTGGAAAAAGTAATGAAACAAGCAGCCAAAGATAACAGAACAAAATATAGCTATATGTTCACTTCACTCGGTAACTGATTATTTTTTGTCTTGTAAAATAATAGGAATAGCTCCTTTAAAATTAATATCAATCATTAATTCAACACACTCTAAATATTATCAACTTTTGTCAGGTCACTGGATGAGATATACATGTTTCACAAAATATTTTGTTATTATTGCTTTTTAGTTCAAGGAAGAAAAGTGCTTGAGTTATGTTTGTGTTTTCAGATTCTACCTCACTACCCTCGCATCATGCAGTTTGGCCAGGCTTTGGAGCGGCGAGTCGATCGCCTCAGCAAGGATGAGAAGGACAAGAGACCAGACATATATGCATTAGCCATGGGGTAGGTATTGTGTGACTTAGTAGATAGGTCTTGTGGATAGAATAACTGGCCGGAGAGTGGAAGATCAGTGGTTCCATCTCTGGACGTGTCTCACCAAAAGATGTTAAAAGATGCACTTTTTATCCTGCCTAGTGTTCAACATTAAGGGGATAAAACAAGGACTGGTCGGCTCAGTCAGTATTATGACTGCACAGACTCAATAGTCCGGCCATAATGTAACTCCATAATACCAGCCTTGTTCGGCAAGGGTGGAAAATGGACTTTTAATATCGGTTAACTCCCTTGCCTCGGGAAGATGTCATTATCTATGCTGTTTTTGTTTGTACATAATAGTCGTCTTTCTCCAATGGGAATGTGCAAACAGGTTTGTGAAAAAAATGTGTAGTTTTCTCTTATTTCAAGGATTGATGAACAGGCATGATTTTCATTTAACAGGTATTCTGGTCAACTGAAAAGTAAGAAGCAGCAATGGATGCCAGAGACTCGATTCCATATCAAAGATGTTGAAGCTGTGAGTCATTATACTTGTACACATGGAGAGATTTGAATAATTGACATGGTTGAGATGATCAACAGATCTCAGTCTCAGTCTGTCTCTGTCTCAGTCTCTAGTTATTGCAGAAGACCAAATTTCACTTTCACTTGATACATGAATTTTGTGGATGATGGCAATACAGCAAACTTAATAAAAAAACAACATAAAATCGCATTCCCTCACTCATCTCATTTGCATGAGTTTTGTCATTAATACCTCTTTTAAGATAATATAAAGATGTCATTTGTCAGTATAAACATTTAAAAAAGTACCAGCTCAAAACCCAGAAAATATTTCAGATAGCATAAGCAACACTATGTTTGAAACTGAAAGATGAATACTTGTGGTAGTCATTGAATTGTTGGTGTTTATTTATTGTGCGACGTACAAAAACTGATGTCTTCTCATTTTCTTCAGAAAAAGGCTGCCCAAGCAGCAGCAGCCAATGGCTCAGGGATGAGGACAGATGTTGCTAAGGATGCAAAGAAACGGGAATCAAATGGTAGGTTACCAAGACAACACATTCTAACCTTTTGGTAACTGGATGTGCTTATTTGGTATGGTTACAGACACGACACATTCAAACATTGGTCATTGTTTTTAATGATTTGGTAACAGCTATGAAAATAGTTACCCCACACATTCTACCTTTCGATCACTGGATCTGCTGATTTGGTAACATTACTATACTGAGACACTGAAAACGCATATTCAACTTTTTGTAATATTTGGCAAAATGACCACAAAAATCCATTAAATTGTCCTAGGTATTTAGGCATGAGATAATCATACATAACAATGTTATTGTACTGGTTTAGATCCCATTTGATGTTTTTGGAGATGGACTTGTGCACAATAACACATCCTTTCTGATTTGGATTAAGTTCATTATGCGTTTTTCACAGTGTCTCAGTATATTAATACAAGGGGGTATAACGATCAGCATGTCAGCAAGCCAGGTGCTTTATACATTAATTGTTATACCCCAGACCTAAAAGGGCGGGGGTATATAGTTATACCAAGGAATTCTGTCCGTCTGTCCTGAGAACATTTTTATGGGTGACCTATCATTTGAAAACTACTACATACATGTTTTTCAAACTTATATAGAAGCGGTGCAGTGCCAAGTTTGATTTCAATATTTGGATTTTATAGAGCTTTTTTTCTTTTCTTTTTTTTTTACTTAGAATTTAATTACTTAAAATTGTGTGACCTATGACTTGAAAACTAATCCGTGGATTCTTTTCAAATTTAGGGAACAGTTTCCTTACTAATAGAAGAGGTGCAGTGCAAAGTTTAATTTTGATATGTCTGTTTTTCTAAATATAAATATCATTTTTTTCATGTTTTGAACTTAGAATATTTTTTTACTTCAACATTTGTGCGACCTGTAACTAAAGAAATACTGCATGGATTCTTTTCTAATTGGGGGTACAGTTTCTATACCAATAGGAGAGTGCAGTGCAGAGTTTTATTTCGATGAGTGTATTTTCTGAGAAAATATTGCTTTTTTCATGTTTTGAGCTGAAAAATATGTTGGAGTCAAAGTCGGGGGTATGAGTGAGCCCTGCTCACTTTTTGTCTTACTATAATTATTCCACAATATGGCTCCCCTTCTTACTGAGTATATCATTAAGGCTGGACTAGTACTGAGGAGTACCAATTTATGAACCTGCTTGTTGCTGATTGATAAACTGAATGGCAGCAAAGTTATCAGCCTCTTATGAACTTCAACACGGGGCCAAATCCAGCCTGACGTACACGTGTAGCTGAACAGGGGACACTGGCTGTCCAGTTGTCAAAGGCGCTGCAAATCACTTTGCAGGGTTGTGTCTCTAAGAAACCTACGTTCGTGGGTTTTAGTCCCAAATGTGACCTGATTATGTTTCTAGTTTTGCCAAGACCATATCTGTTCTCGTGGGTTTCACCAAAGTAGTAAATGTCCAGGACCTGCTTCACTTCTGGCTTTCCTCCCACTTCGAGCATTGACCACACTATTGAGAACTTGTTTGTATATTCAGGCTCAATTATCTTACATTCAACCAAAATACTGGTGTAATATTACAGACTGGGGAAAAACAACATTCACAGACCCTTTTGAGTTATGACAATGATGTGATTTATTACAGGCGGTATGAAAGATGGGAAGGAAAACAAAGACATCAAACAGGGTAAGGAGAGCGGAGAAAAGGGAGATAAACCTGAAAAGAAAGACAAGTCAGAGAAGAAGGAGAAGAAAGATGGAAAATCTAAGTCAGACAAGAAATCCCCAGATGAAGGGAAAGATACTTCCAGGTGAGTTGTGGGGCTTGTCACGAGGGGAATGTTTTGTGTATTCTGAGTAACAGGTTTGGTTAGTTTCTGACTTGAAGTTTCAAACCCTGTGGTGATTCTGGTACAGAATAGGTCTCTACTATCTTATGTTTTACGAGCTGGCTAAACTGGCAATCCTGTGGCTTCACAGAGTGGATTTTTGCTCATGCTGTCAGTAAATGTATTGTCTTGTACAGGGTAAATTATTTACCGGTGTAATACTGATAAAATGTTGATGCTTTTCCTATATATACTACTTAAAGTTAAAGAACATTCATTTCATGTTCTTTAGCTTCTTTCAAGTTGTATACATCAAGAACTAGTAGATAAAATGAGTTAGTGTCTACCCATAATTGTAGGAAAAACCAGCCCAATGTTAAAATTATCCTTCTTCCAAGGAGTGATGTCATCTCTATTTTCAAAAGTTTGCCTATGTGTAATTAGTATTGGTGTGAGAAACATGTTATTTCTGTGTGTCCTGAATGGCAGGTTTCTGGTTAGTGTATGACCTTGATTTAGGTCAGTTTTGAATTTAGACATGTCGTTTAAATATTTTATTCTTCATTGGCCCAATTACTATGGATATCATGTGATGACCCAAATCTGTCTGTAGCTCCAAGTCCTCTTCATCCAAGGACAAGGAGATTGTGAAGGAGAAATCACATAAGGATAAATCTGGGGAGAGGACCAAGGACAAGTCCATGACGAAGGAGGAACGTGCAGAGGCTAAGGCAGCTCGGGAGAATGGCAAGTCGGAGAAGAAGAAGAGTGAGAAGAAGAGTAAGGAGGAGAAGGGGTCGAAGGTGAAGCGTGAGAAGGAGGACGGTGATCGGTCCGAGAAAGAGGAATCCAGGAGTAGCCTGAGCAAGGAGCCTGGAGAGAGAGTGGATGAGCGGATTATCAGCACTGGCAGTTCCCTGAGGCATAGTACAGACAACTCTCCTCGATATGGCGATGAAAGAGGTACAATTTCTGCATGTTCTGTCCAATGATTGGAGTTGAGGTGAAATTGAGTTTAACGTCGCTTCCAAGACTATTGCACTTATATAGCGACATGCATGCACGTGTGTGTGTTTGGGGCTGCTTGTACTAGTCCGGACTGATACTGATTTATAGTGCTAGCTCACTGAGATACCATGCCGCAGTTTAACATGAAGACACAGTATACTGACTCCGAGCCGACCAGTCCTTGTTTTTGCCCCTTAATGCTGAGCACCAGACAGGGTAACAACAAGTACCATCTTTTAACATCTTTTGGTATGATGTGGCCGGGGATCGCAACCCGGACCTTCCGCTCTCCGGGCGGACACTCTACCACAGTTTCCAATGATTGGAAAGTAGGCAGGCAACTTAGAGTAGTCACAACTCATTAAGCAGCCCCCAGTAAGCAAGGAGAAGTTTAATTGTGTTTGCTACATTTGACCTCCACCACAGCTGCAGCCATCTGCTTATGACAGATCTTGGAGACTTCATGCCTTATACAAATCCTGTATAACCCCGGGGAATGTTTCGGACATGTCGTTGGATGACATTGATGGTCAGGGTCACTCAAAGTTCAGTGTTAATGAATGGGATTTGATGAAACTTATAACGATTGTGTCAGACGTCACATTCACTTTGTAGGCCATTCACTCATGAAATTAACTGACTTGTAAATAGTTTCATTCAAAAAGTGGTGACAGTATGGTATGGCATACCAACTTCATGTTTGTTACTCAACTGTAGTACGCAACAAGTGATGTTCTTGCACTTGATTGAATGACATTGAAGGTTAACATCAAAAACTTTGAATTTTTTTTATACCTGATCTCCAGCCAGTTCATGGCTGAGATTGAAGGTCAAGGTCATTAAACCAGATATGCTTTTGGCTTTGTTAGTAAGGTAGTTAGAGGCATAGGACTTTCTGTTTCGAAGTTCTAGCTGATTGTGCATGTGTGATGTTAACTGTCTGATTTGGTCAAGTTAAAATGATTTATGATACATGTACCTGGTGGGAAAATTTTGAGGCATTAAGGGAAAGGTGGGGACGGCATGTCATTCAAACACATTTCTAGTTTTGTACTGTGTGACTTCATTTTGTGATAAATTCATAAAGACTGGTTATAACTGATGGCAAATAAAGAACTCATTGTGACTTTGTGAATTTATTTCAGATTCCAAACGGAGGAAGATTGACGTGTCATCGTCAGGTTCTAAGGTTAGTAGTATAGAGCTTATGGAGGTATGTTCCTAGCAGGAGTCGCTCTCAAGGAGGAGGATACAGTCAGCGCAGGAGTGGGGCACAGGCAGCTGCCTACTAATCAGTCTTCTTTTTGAGTATTCTAGGGAGAAGTTGTGTATTGTCAAGTCCACATGGAGGAGGAGGGAGTGCTCAAGGCATGGGAGCTAATCGGTGATGGAGGGTCAAATAGGAGTAGTGTAGGGGGGATGGAGCAAGCTAGCATATTACGCATGCAGCCACCTGGTGGGGGGTCCATCACTGCATCAACACCGCAACATCGTAGATGTGCACGTCACCTGGCCACAGCTCATCTCAAGTCGGGGCTTTGCATACCCTCATGAGTTTATCAGAAGGATGTCGCCAAATCAAGGTAGCCACTTCTGGCTCAAGATTCGGCCATCTAATTGCCGGCCTGGAAAAGCTGTTTGTCAAATGCTGTTTGTCCAATTGTCTGTGGTAAAGGAAGTCCTATCACTATAGAGTCGCCCTTTATTGAAAAATTTGAAGAAATTTGAAATCGTTCCTCTGTCGGCAATTATGTGAAGAAGAAGCTTTTTTTAGGCTGTGATGTCTAAAGTTATTCCAGATCTTCCCAGTAAAGTCATGGCGCATCATTTACCCGGTTAGGGTAATTTGGTTGATAAAGCTGTAATCCCATGATAAGGCAGCGAGCCAGTCAAGATGTCTATATAAAAGTATGCTCCTCAGTTGATGAAATATATAGACAGTCGTGTCACTTGATAAGTTGCCTTTAAACGGGAGAGACTCTCATGTGTTAAATCAGTGTTTGAAGATGGGATGTAAATGAACACTGAGAAAAAGAACATTGGATGAGATGAAAGCATAATCCGTGTCTTGGAATCTATGTATCCGCCAAATATGCCAAAGTGTAAAGAAATCCAAAATATAAATGAGAAGAAATTCTTCCCTGTTCTGCTGTGAGGATCACCATTGTGAATGCCCTGTTGTGCAAGGATCATCACAAAAAGAGGATGTCGCTTTAATGAAAAGACTTTTCATTAAAAGAAAACTAGTTTGGAAGAAGAGGAGAGAAGCTTGATGACGGAAGCTGCAGAAACGTCTATTAATTCACCTCAAAGATGATGAAGAGAGTATAGTAATTAGTTCTTTGGAAATTGTGATAATAAGCTTAATTGATTCAGTATTGGAGTAAGCACATCAAGGATTCTCAGTCTATCATCAATTGACTACATGCTCTTAAAGCAATGATTAAGTTCTAAGAATATTTTGTGTAAGTCATATGAGGAATTTATCAGGACTTCTACAGTGTATATTAATTTTAATTTCTTTTTGTCTAAGTTGTACAGCAATTTAAAAGAACAAATCTAATGTGATAAATTTTGAAAGGTTTAGAGTCTTGGTTTAAATTGTTTACTGTCAAAGTGACACAATTTGATTTTCAGAATTTATCCTGAGACTTTGTACATCACGGTTAAGCTACAAAAAGATATTTTTAATTAATGATAAGTGTTTACAACCTTTTTCTGATGAGGGGCCGGGATGTGTACACAGGACTATTCAGAGATAAATATGTATGGATGTCAGTGAGCTAATATGGCCATGGAACAAGCCTTATTAACTTCTTCCAAAGAGCGCAAGTATTCCAAGAAGCCTGCCAAATTCTGAATTTGGGCACTAGTTTACAATGATTTTGTTTTCATCACTGGAGCTCTTTACACTCCAGACTTTCAACCACATGTCCAACAGGATGGAAGAAGTGTGAGTTTGTATTGGTGCTTACTCACTGACCAGTGATACCGATTGTGATTGCAAGTGAGTTAGTCCCCTTGTGTGTAAATGAAGAAATCCTTGAAGGCATTCGTCAGTGCTTGACCGAATAAGTGGTGAAATATGTGTGAAACAACGAATAACGACTCCATGTTGAGGAGTCTCACAGAAGTGTCTGAAATGTGTTTGTGAATTTAGAAAGTGTGAGAGTGCCAAGTGAAATTCAATGATGGAGGTTCATTCAAAGTTGTCAACACCTGAAGAAGATGGCCAAAATTGATCTTTTCTCCTTGTTTCAATGCTTTTCTACTCGGTCATTTCGTTTTCAGTTCAGTTGTTTATCTCATATCAATGGGCAATTAAATATGTTTTCATATTCTTTTGTTAATATTGGATGTATATCGATTACAAAAGTGCATGATTGGTTAATGTTTAGCTTTATTTTTACAGATTTTTGATTGTTTGTTTTTGTGTTACCATGGCTACGATTTGTCTTTGTGATACTGAGGTTGTTATGCTGTAAGGTATTCCTGTCTGAGAATGACTGTGGTAATGTTAGGCTTAACTGTGCCTTGTGGAGACTTTTACTTACCTCTCAAATGAAAAATACAATCAAGCTTGTCAATGAATGAATCTCTTATGTATTTATTATGCATATTTTGTTAATTAGTAAAACATTCTTTTTTTCTGTTTTGGATAAAAACAGTATTATAACCATGTTTTGGTCACACTCACATTTAAAGCTAGAAATATAATTTCAGTTAATATGAATAAAAGAATTTTACCGTCAGATAATCTGTGTTAGACTAACTATGGAAATGGTCAGATTTGCAAAATTGAATTCATCATAGTTACGTTTGATCTTATAGTTTGCAATGAATTGATTGTTGTTTTCTATGAGGATCTTGATTGGACACAGGATTAACATGATTGAGGAATCTTTGGTTCTACTATCATGTTACAGTAGAATAAGAAAACCAAACTAAGTCCGTGGAGGAAGATGCAATCATGTGACATGGTTTATAGTTGCTGTTACGTAGCTGACTAGGCATGCACGGACGTGTAAATAATGGATACGAACATAAGTAGGAATGAGGAAATAGAAAATGTGCCGTAAATAACATGCGAGAATAACATGACCATAGTTGTTGGTGTACGAAATGAAATACAAATTCTCTTGAGGCCACACTTTTTTTACTTACTTTGCTTGCCAACTGTAAATTTTGTTGAAATGCAAAAACAAATATATTCAGAATTTGATCTCTTATTTTATCCCACCAATAAGCTGATAGCATGTTGCACCACCAAATACATTTCTAAACAGGGACCCAGTGAAGTTGAAAATATTAAACATAGGAGTCAAATTAAAGTTTTTTGGTTGTCCCTGAAATTGACACATAGATGCACAACAGTAACATGTGGCAAAAAGAAAAAAACCTTATTGTGAGAAATTCGATTTCTTCAATGTGGTAATTATCATACTTTGAATAAAAGGAGACAAGATTGAGAGCAAAGACGAAAACTGTTGATAAAAGGGTGGATCTTTGGAGTACTGGACCAAGTTACTGAAGAGATTGTTTATAGGGCTTCGATTTCCTCCAAATATAAGCTTTGTTTTGAGGCTGAGCATGTCTATCTTTCTCTGTCTGAAACAAAATGTTTATGTTGTCCATTGGGTCAAATTGAATACACTTTGGTAAACTACTCTGTTTTTTCAGACATTCTCAATAGTTTAATTAAAGTATGGAAAATGTTTACAAAGCTTCACAACTGTCCACAAATACAAAACCTCGGAATTTAGGTCTTCTTCACTTGACATGTGACCACTTCTGCTTAAACATATGATTATTGATGTGACAATAAATTACATAATTTTGAACTATAAACAACAAAACGTATATTCAGTTTGTTCCTATGCTCCTGTGATCGACACTCTATAATTACTAGTAATGTTAAGAACAGTGCCAACATGACCCATGTTGGTTTTGGTTATAGATTATGTGATGGAGATCTCACTCAAATCTGTTGTCCAAAGGAGCAAGTTGATTCTACTCCTGGAATCAACAGATCCGAGTCTTTTCTCTGACTTAAACTGGGGGCACGGGTGGCCCAGTCGTCTAAGGTCCCGCGAATCGCTGTGAAGAGTTGCGTCCCTTGCACACGCCTGAAACCTATGACTATGGGTGGAATCCCAGTTCGCCCCGATTATGATTCTAGGTCTGTCAGCACCATACCCGTGCTCGTGGGTTTCACCGAATTGGTAAACGTCTGAGATCTGCATCACTTAGGGCTTTCCTCCCACATTAAGCAGACACTCCGCGATATAACTGGAATAATGTTAAAAGCGGCGTTAAACCCAACTCACTCACTCACTCACTCTAACTTAAACCATGTCATGGTTGATACATTATATATGTATAGTTGGCATGATGATCTATAGTTGCTTCAGTTTTACTTGTTAAAATCCACGTTCAGAATGGCCAGTGAATTCCTGGCTCCGAATCAAGTGCAACAACTATAACATGATGTGACCATAATGGTTCAACAGCAGATAATATTTTTACATAATTCCCTTAGTTATATACATTCATAACTTAAGTTATGAATATGTTACAGTAATGTTGTAATCTTGAATACTTTAACATTCCATGATTGATGTATAGTTGATTACTACCAATGTTATTCGTGTTTTGTTTCATAATCCCACATTTTTATTTTCTAAGCAAACATTTTATGATTGAAATCCAGTTGTGGCTGCATGTATAATGTATAACAGTACAATTGATGAAGATATGGTTCGTAATCAGTATGACCATGAGCATTAACTGCTAACAGTGATAGATATCAAGAGTTGAAATACATTTTGATGTTATTACCATGTAGTAAATGTATGAATTCTATTGTGTGGAGAAAAATGACAAAGTTTAATTTCAAATGTTTTTTGTAACAAAATGTCTTTATTTAATTGCATTATGAAGATAGTGTATTAATATTTCCTGGAATCAGGACCTTGATTCCATATTAGCAATGTCATCCTATCCTATGACTGTGGGTTTGAATCCGAGATTTATCCAGTTTATTTTTCAAGGTTTGTCAGCGTCACACCTGGGTTTCACCAAAATAATAAATGTCATCACTTCCTGCTTTTCTCTTACTGATATTACAGAGACAATGCTTAAAGCAGTCTCACTCTCTATATGAAGTTGTAACAGGTTATGATGACATCTAATTTAGAAAATTAAAACATCTCCATAAAACATAATGTGTAGTGAATGATATGTCATTAAAGTCACCAATTTACAGTGATTTTTGTACTGGAAAAGTTAATAGTGTGATTTCATAAACACTATTAGGGCACTTTTTATCAGTTAAGGTTGTTATTTTCAATGATCTGAGTGAAATAGTTATCAGGGATGATAATAGAAAGAGAATCATGTTTTCCATAGTTTATTTGCATCATTTAGATAATTAGTGACAAACATGACAGTGTAATTCATTCATACATTTCTAAAATTGAAATTTAATTTTAGAATATTTTGTGCAACCCCATTATCAATTTTCCAGAGTATAATATCTCCATTCTATCATGATGAATACCCTGGGCCCATTCCCTACCATAGCTTCATCCTGAGACTGCAATGCTGCAATTAGCAATCAAATGAAATTACACTCATGTGCAAGAGAATTTCTGTCGGATGCTCATGATGAAAGATGTGGAGTTGGCACCAATAGCTATGGTTGAATGTGCCTAGGGTATTTATCATAACAGAGGGGAAATACAATACACTGGATAATCGATAATATTTAGTTTTAATTTGAAAACTTCACAATAAATCTTCATGCTCTGTGAATGTAGGGCTGGGTTTTTTTATCAGGCTTTGCCCCAGAATCAAAGATATCTCTATTCGCTCGTTCTGAGGTTGGGCGGTGGGGAAGCCTTGTGGTTAAAGCATTTGCTTGTCAAGTGGGCACAATGTGTAAAGCCCATTTCTGGTGTCCCCTGCCATGATATTGCTGGAATATTGCTAAAAGTGGCGTAAGACCATACTCACTCACTCATTCTAAGGTCTATTTGTAACCTCTTCCAGTATTACATGAAAGACCCAAACCGAAAAGCCACCCTTGTTAACAATAGTGTCAACATGGATATGGCCTGATTATTTTTCTGATAATTCAACACTATTTTGGAGATTTTGACCTAGTTCCATCTTCAATTATAATTTATTAAAATCTGATACATGTTATGTTTAGGTTTCGTTTATCATTACTCCACAGTGGAACATGGAAGTTACCTGTGTTATAGAACTCAGTAGGATTTGAGATGCCATACTTTCATGCTTACCAATGATAGGTGACGGTGGTCTATTTGTCTACCTTTGAAATGTTAACTTCTTGGACAAATCTGTTTTTACAAGCTTACTGGATATCAGAATGTCTTATCAAGTGAAGCATTGTTTCACTTTGATATTTGAGAAACTGCTTTTAATTTTTGACAATGTTTTTGATTACATTACATTTGTGTAAGTCATTTGAATGTCGCTCCAGAATTTCTCAACCTCTAAGAAGAGGAGAGTGTCAGTGATGTCATGAACAATAAAACTCTGCTTCATCAACCAAGTAACTAATTATGTATGTCAAATGTCTTTTACCTTGTTTCATGTCATGTCGTGTTCACTGTTAATACACTTGATACAATGGAGTGTTACTTGCTGCAAGGAGCATATTTAGCTTGCCTATTCTGGATGGTAATCATCTCAACATTCCCCAGAGCATGTCACTATGAACTAGACCGATGCAGTGATTTATCCAGGCCTGCTTTAAGGCCGATATTCAGCCCCAGTACTGCACTCATGTCTGCAAAAATTCGCAATTTGAATTTAACATTTCCCAATTCCTCAAAATGATGAAAATAAGAACATTAAGAAGGATCCAATTTTGAACAAAGTTACGATTTCTTCAACAATTTGCCTTCCAAGGGCACTTATTTTGAAATCCTAGATTAACCTTGGTGATGCATATGTTGAGAGATCAGTGAGACAACATTAACAGTGTAACAGCTGGGTCAACTTCAGATGGACTCCCATTGTGTTTGGGGGGAGTAAACTTGGCATGTTACACGGATCACTTGAATGAATATAATGAAGATTAAAGTATTTATTGATTCGTTTGTACGGATCAACTATACTTCTCCCTGTGGTCATAAGCTTTGTGTGGTAATCATTCCAATCAAGCATTGATGAAAAATTTGAACTCATTTTAATCTTTTGATTTGCCTTGACACATGATAAGACTTCCCAGATGGCCTGAAAAATTGTTAATCTTTGATTAAGCTGTAAGTAAAAGAGGTTTTTGTAAATCAAATAATGAAATACTTTTTCATCTGTATTTTTTTTTTTTCATATGCGTGCAAGACCAAATTTGTCACAATAATAATCTCACTGGTCCCTCAGCCACGGTAATGCATAAGTATGGTTTGTAGTGGCCTGCTCTCACAAGCAGTAAATTCAAAGATGTGAAGTTATACCTCTCGTCTCCTCCGACAAGCCTGTTGTGGAAAGGGAAAGAAGGTGAATTTGAGGTCAAGAGGGATGAAGGCAGTGATTGAAGACTTTCCATACTGATGAGAAGATGAATCTGCCAAGACCAAGGTTCCCAGCATCTGTCAACAAGTACATAGGGACCTACTGTTTGATTTTCTTGGGGGGGGGGGGGACCTGGGATTTTTTTGGGGAAAAACTTTTTCCAGAAAAGGTGGGAAAATATAATCTAGCCTCATGTTTTACCTCCCAAAATGTTTTGTTCACTCTGGGTGTTCTGAACAATAATGTGTTGTGGTTCAAGTTCCAGAAAAAAAGTCAATAAACAGTGTCAACCAAATATCCCAGTCACCCCCACCCCCTCCTATTCCCCCAAAGAATGTTAGATGGTTGGTTCCTTAGATATGTATTTTAGTTCACCTTTTTGTACATGTTGATGTTATCCATGCCATGTTACAAGCAGACATGTCATACACCAAGCCTTAGGAGGATACACCTGCATTTGAATTCGTCACTGATTTAAAGCTTGAAGTGCTATTTTGGGTCCTTGTTAAATTACTGAGTGTCATGCCAATGCAATTTCAAAGAAGACACTAAAAAATGCCTGATTTGTTGTTTCATGATCAAAGGTATTTGTTGACCCACAGATTTTTTGTGAAAATTAAATCATGTGACGATCTATGATGTATATCAGGTACTGTTGTATGTCATTACATCAAAAGGTGAATCCCCCTTCTGGCCAGTGTAAGGCATTCTTGGTTGAATTGTATCCATCTTGTCAGATATGTTCTCTGTAACACTTCCTGAAGTTGATGTGGACTGTTACTGATGTCACTAATGTGGACATTGCATTTGCAAAGGGAAACGTTATCCATATCACACATCTTACAACTAGAACTTACATTTCAGGAGGCTGTCCATGAGGGCAAGTCCAAACACAAGAGGGTAAGTTTGGTTGCTGCATACATGCACTATACATATATTATCTGATTATTTGACATTCATTTATTTTTGACACCTCAACAGGTTTCTTGAATATGAGGTTAACTGTGGTTACCATACACCCTCATCCATCCATTGTTATTTATTAGCTGTTCTTTATGTGGGGAAGAGCTTATACACTAATGGATGAGGCGATACAGTTACCACAGCTATCACATTGGTTGGCAGTTAGGACGGCCCTCAACCCTCTTTACACCTCACCCAGGTCATACCCATGTGCTTTCATGTGGAAACCCTGACATCTTGAGACTGTGAGACATTTTGAGATACCTACATATCCAAATTATATGTCTCTTGGTTTTACCTCGCCCCTGACCAGGTTTTACTGTTGTCACTGTCTTTGCTGAGCTGCACTGGTGTCTAGGTCTAAAGAGGGATGCACTGGTGTCTCAGTCTTTGCAATACTGCATTGGTGTCTCAGTCTGAGGATGGAGTCACTGGTGTCAGTCTAAGGAGGGCTGTACTGGTCTCTCAGTTTATGCAGAGCTGCACTAGTGTCTTGTCTATGCTCGGCTGAACTGGTGTCTCCATCTGTGCAGAGCTGCACTGGTGTCTCAGTTTTTGCAGAGCTGCACTAGTGTCCTGTCTATGCTCGGCTGAACTGGCGTCTCCATCTGTGCAGAGCTGCACTGGTGTCTCAGTTTTTGCAGAGCTGCACTAGTGTCCTGTCTATGCTCGGCTGAACTGGCGTCTCCATCTGTGCAGAGCTGCACTGGTGTCTCAGTTTTTGCAGAGCTGCACTAGTGTCCTGTCTATGCTCGGCTGAACTGGCGTCTCCATCTGTGCAGAGCTGCACTGGTGTCTCAGTTTTTGCAGAGCTGCACTAGTGTCCTGTCTATGCTCGGCTGAACTGGCGTCTCCATCTGTGCAGACCATGTCTGTTTGTGCGAGGCTGCCACTAGCAAACAGTAACTTGCAGCATTTTAAACATCTTAATGAACATACAGACCTATTCATTTTAATTAAAAAACAAAATTTACACAATGATCATTTAATTGTGTGCTATTGCTCCTCTCAGAAAATGGAGAAAGACAAAAGCACACAGCTCCTATCACATTGACAGACAGATATAACTAATAATGGGTTATGTGCTCTTCTACTGCACACAGATTGTTTTCAAGCTGGAAACACTTGTACATACACAGGGAAATCATTAAAATCATATTAAATTATAAAGGTACTCCATGAACCATGCTCCAGAAACCTGACCTTGACGTTGTGGAACAAGACATTCTTTGGGCAATATTTACCTTGTTCCACATGTCTTTGTATTGTCCTTCCACAGGTATTTAAGTTCTAACCTCAATGCACAGGGGATGTCTCAAATAACCCCATGGGGATTCCTGGTTAAACTGATCCCCAGTAAACTATGCTTGTCATATGAGGCAACTAATAGATGAGGTGGATGGGCTCGGAGACACGGTTGACAATGTGGATTGTTTCTATTATCATTGTTGTGTCTCATCCAGACTCAATTATTTACCTGCCACCATCATATAGCTGGAATTTGCATCAAACACACACAAAAGCCTTGCATCGCTTGTGCCTCTGTATTAACCTGGAGGTACAGATTTTCAAGTATTGCCATTGGTTACAGATGTCTCAGTAATGATCTTACTGCACACATTCACTATTGTTCTTCCAGCAGATATTTCAGTTTTGGCCTTATAACAAAAGTGTCTCAATATTTGCACAATGTCTTAACATTGATCTTATCACAGTATTGACCTTGCAGCATGTTTCAGTACTGACCTTGCTGCACAAGTGTTTCAGTACTGACCTTGCTGCACAAGTGTTTTAGTATTGACCTTGCTGCACAAGTGTTTCAGTATTGACCTTGCTGCACAAGTGTTTCAGTACTGACCAAGCTGCACAAGTGTTTCAGTACTGACCTTGCTGCACACATGTTTCAGTACTGACCTTGCTGCACAAGTGTTTCAGTATTGACCTTGCTGCACACGTGTTTTAGTACTGACCTTGCTGCATACATGTTTCAGTACTGACCAAGCTGCACAAGAATTTCAGTACTGACATTGATGTTCCAGTATTGACCTTGCTGGATAAGTGTTTCAGAACTGATATTGATACACAAGTGTTTCAGTACTGACCTTGCTGCACACGTGTTTCAGTACTGACCTTGCTGCATTCATGTTTCAGTATTGACCAAGCTGCTCAAGTGCTTCAGAACTGACCTTGCTAGACAAGTGTTTCAGTATTGACCTAGCTGCTCAACTGTTTCAGTTCTGACCTTGCAGCACAAGTGTTTTAATATTGGCCTTGCTGGACAAATGTTTCAGTATTGACCTAGCTGCTCAACTGTTTCAGTTCTGACCTTGCTACACAAGTGCTTCAGCATTTTCCTTGCTGTGCAAATGTTTCAGTATTGACCTTGCTGCACAAGTGTTTTGGTATTGACCTTGCTGGACAATTGTTTCATTATTGACCTTGCAGCACACGTTTCAGAACTGACCTTGTGGCACAAGTGTTTCGGTACTGACCTTGCTGCACAGGTGTTTAGTTACTGACATTGCTGCACATATGACAGTGCCTCTGCTCCATACTGACAGGCTTCTTGGGCTGCAGTGACTCTGCTTCATACTGACAGGCTTCTTGGGCTGCAGTGACTCTGCTTCATACTGACAGGCTTCTTGGGCTGCAGTGACTCTGCTTCATACTGACAGGCTTCTTGGGCTGCAGTGACTCTGCTTCATACTGACAGGCTTCTTGGGCTGCTGTGACTCTGCTCCATACTGACAGGCTTCTTGGGCTGCAGTGACTCTACTTCATACTGACAGGCTTCTTGGGCTGCAGTGACTGCTTCATACTGACAGGCTTCTTGGGCTGCAGTGACTCTGCTTCATACTGACAGGCTTCTTGGGCTGCAGTGACTCTGTTCCATACTGACAGGTGTCTTGGGCTGCAGTGACTGTTCCATACTGGCAGGTGTCTTGGGCTGCAGTGCCTCAGCTCTATACTGGCAGGTGTCTTGGACTGCAGTGACTGTTCCATACTGGCAGGTGTCTTAGGCTGCAGTGCCTCTGTTCCATACTGACAGGCTTCTTGAACTGCAGTGACTACTCCATTCTATCAGGTTTCTTGAGCTGCAGTGCCTCTGTTCCATACTGACAGGCTTCTTGAACTGCAGTGACTACTCCATTCTATCAGGTTTCTTGGGCTGCAGTGACTCTGTTCCATACTGACAGGTGTCTTGGGCTGCAGTGACTGCTCCATACTGGCAGGTGTCTTGGGCTGCAGTGCCTCTGTTCCATACTGACAGGTGTCTTAGGCTGCAGTGTCTCTGCTCCATGCTGATAGGCTTCTCGGGCTGCAGTGCTTCTGCTCCATGCTGATAGGCCTTTTGGGCTGCAGTGTCTCTGCCCCATGCTGATAGGCCTTTTGGGCTACACTGCCTCTTCTCCATGCTGATAGGCTTTCGGGCTGCAGTGCTTCTGCTCCATGCTGATAGGCCTTTCGGGCTGCAGTGTCTCTGCTCCATGCTGATAGGCCTTTTGGGCTACACTGCCTCTTCTCCATGCTGATAGGCTTCTCGGGCTGCAGTGCTTCTGCTTCATGCTGATAGGCCTTTCGGGCTGCAGTGCCTCTTCTCCATGCTGATAGGCCTTTCGGGCTGCAGTGCTTCTGCTCCATGCTGATAGGCCTTTCGGGCTGCAGTGTCTCTGCTCCATGCTGATAGGCCTTTCGGGCTGCAGTGCCTCTTCTCCATGCTTATAGGCTTCTCGGGCTGCAATGCTTCTGCTCCACGCTGATAGGCCTTTCGGGCTGCAGTACCTCTTCTCCATGCTGATAGGCTTCTTGGGCTGCAGAGCCTCTGCTCCATGCTGATAGGCTTCTCGGGCTGCAGTGCTTCTGCTCCATGCTAATAGGCTTCTTGGGCTGCAGTGCCTCTTCTCCATGCTGATAGGCCTTTCGGGCTGCAGTGCCTCTTCTCCATGCTGATAGGCTTCTTGGGCTGCAGTGCCTCTGCTCCATGCTGATAGGCCTTTGGGGCTGCAGTGCCTCTTCTCCATGCTGATAGGCCTTTTGGGCTGCAGTGCTTCTGCTCCATGCTAATAGGCTTCTTGGGCTGCAGTGCCTCTTCTCCATGCTGATAGGCCTTTCGGGCTGCAGTGCCTCTGCTCCAAGCTGATAGGCCTTTCGGGCTGCAGTGCCCTCTGCGCCATGCTGATAGGCCTTTCGGGCTGCAGTGCTGACAGCCTTCTCATGGTGTCTCAGGCTGCAATGTCAGACAAGACCAGACTAGACTTGAAATATAATTAATTACACAAAAACACATGTACATTACAGATGCAAAAGAAATTAAGGTTGTATTTTCAAAATAGAAATAAACCTCAGTAGCCACAGTAAAATCAGTACAATCTTCTGGTGGAGGAGATCACTACTCTGTATCACAGATCAGATGTGTGCAGCTCACAATGTGAAAACCTACATGAAATGCATATCATATTCCTAGATTGGATTTGTATTGCGGACACCAAGAATTCAATGTTGGAACATAGGGAAGATAGATTCTGCATGTCTGTACTGATTGCATTTATGTCACTGAAGTCCATGGAGAAGGTACAGAACGAAATGTGTCCCCCAAATCTGAAATGAAATGGGATCTGATTATGAATGTTGGTCCTTGACCAAGGAAGACCAACTCTTGACTGTGATTTGGCTGGTAAAGTGTGTCATTGTACCCTAGTGACATGGATCAATGCTCACCTGATGTGACTGCTCCGAGCCTGATGACACTAGGGGCAGTCGGGTAGCCTAGTGGTTAAAGCGTTCGCTGGTCACGCCGAAGACCCGGGTTCGATTCCCGACATGTGTGAAGCCCGTTTCTGGTGTCCCCCGCCGTGATATTGCTGGAATATTGCTAAAAGCGGCGTAAAACCAAACTCACTCACTCACTCACCTGATGACACTGGGCAGGTCAACGTTAAATAGCTGTGTATATGGTATAGTGTAAGAGCAACGATGAAATGTGTTGCAGTTATATAACAAGGCCAAACTCTACTTTGTATTTGAAGAACACTGATTTACCTGTCATGGATTATCACCTTACGGCCATGCTGATTTGAGACTGGAATGCTTGTACACAGATCTTTTTAGGTCTTTTTTATTGGGAACTTGTCTTGACAGATATATCTCAATGGCAACACTGTACAGATGATGCATTCATAAAGATGACTGAAAGCATGTCATACAGAAAAATACTTCAATATTAACATCTTTTGTGGGCGATTAGGCCACCAAAGCTGTTCTTTATATGTAAGGACTGATGACCAAACTGGAAGTGGAGCACTGGATGTATTGTTCTTGGAGGGAAGTTTATGCCCTCTACTGCATAGAGAAACCTTTTGTTGCTGCCCGTCCATTGTACTGTGAATCGGGAGCTGTCTTCAAGGCTTGATTTTAGATCAGTCTCAGCACCATGGGAGTCAGCCCACAATGTCCAAGCTGAATCACAGAGGCAGGTCAATAATCAAGTCTGGACCCGGCAAAGCACTGACCGAAAGCTTGAGCATACCAACAGGGCATGATGACACACAATCAGCCTTGTCTCAAGTGCTGTAACACCTGATAAATTTCACCTGTTAATACAAGCATTAATTACTGGGGAACAATTCTAACCCGGAATCCCCACGGGAAGTCAACACGAAGAGGCAGACACAAGTAACGTAGCCCGGCAGTAGTGTCCCTTGCACATAACGCTGTTCATCTTTTTTAGAGCCCTTCTTACGAAAGAGAAAAGGAGATATACAGGGAGAAGGAGAAGAAGGAGAGAAAAAGGGTAAGCATGTCGCCTGGCTCAGGAAATCTTCAGTGAGTCAACATGGATCAATCCTAGTTATCAGGGTTAGAACCTAGTGAAAATCTGGAAGGACAGAGTGTTTTCCACAAGAAGCATTTATATAAGATACGTCACTAATCCAAAAATATTTAATGGACAAGTTTGATATTTAAGTTGTGTTACATAGCCCTGTCCAAAATCTTCAAGCTAAAAATATTATTGCCCAAAAGGCTAATAGTCCAATATGTAATATTAATGATGATAATGAGATTCAGATACGGAGATGTCAACACCAAATTGGCCAATACTTGTAGCAAGAAAGATCAACATCAGAATCAAATTACTCCTTGGATACTGAACTATACATCCTTGTAGAGACATATACCACTCAAAAGAAGTTAATGATACCCGATTCTTTCACATTACTATGTGTCAACAAACAATAGGTTCATGTCCCTTTCAAGGTCATCCCTTTCTGAGCATTTATTAACATTACAACTATTTACTGATGATTGAAAACTGGTAGGTATCATCTTTAGCAATTGGTCCCATACTGATAGATTTTTTATCTTCCCTTACACATGAATATCAGGTTCTGATTGGCTTAGACCCGTTTAAGATATGGCTTAGACTCGTTTAAGATAAATTCGTTGTCCACCGGTCTCTTTGGTGACATGGGTTGATGTACCTCGGTTTAAATTAACAGAGGGTACATCATCCTATTTCCTCTCGAAACCAATGGAGACCGCCTCCGTGGTCTTGCGGTAGAGCCTCCAACCAGAACCAAAAAACGTTAAAAGATGGTACTTGTTGTTACCCTGTCTGGGGCTCGGCATTAAGGGGCTAAAACAAGGACTGGTCAGCTGGGAGTCAGTATACTGTGTCTGAGTGGGGTATTCATGTTAAACTGCGGCATGGTATCTCAGTGAGCTAGCACTATAAATCGCCATCAGTCTGGACGAGTACAAGCAGATACACACACACACATACACACACACACATACACGTGCATGCATGTCGCTATATAAGTGCAATAATCTTGGACGCGATGTTAAACCCAATTTCACCTCACCTCACCTCACCTCACCTCACCTCACCTCACCTCACCTCACCTCGAAACCAATGGACAACTTGAACGTTATATCATAAGGTCCACGTCACTGAAGGTCATTCACATAGGAGGTGTGGAAGTTTATGTAGAATGCCATTTTCTGCAGATATTGTGAACTCCAGTGCACAGTAAATTGGAATTTAGTATTTAAAAAGACTGATAGCATGGTATGTTAAAAGCAAAACTCTTGGAAAACTTGTGATTCAAATATGACATTGAGATTTCAATTTTACTGGACCAATATGCAAATTTTAATGCAGATAAGGTTTTGATATTAAGAGTCTGTTCTGATTTCCAAGAACTTTTCTTTTCAAATGGGTCACAAATTCTAAAATATGGCAATTTTCACCTTTTTTAGTACAAAGCAATGGAGAAAGATTATTCGTTCTCTAACCCAACATGACTGTCAGCTAAAAGTAATGTTTCAGCACTTATTTCTCCACACACACATACTGGCAACACAAGGCCTGTGTAACAAAAGCATTTCACTCTTAGCAGAGGGGGGGAATATACCTGTACCCAGTTGTGCGAAAACCTTGGTCATAGATTTAAGAAGTATATTTTAGAATGTCCTGAGAAAATTGTTTTAACAAATATTCAGCTCCACCCTTTCAGAGAAAATAGCAATTACCGAAGAGATTGTATGTCTCTTACAAAAATCTTGTTATTGTAGGAAAACTGTTGTAAACCTTATACTTCTCTACATCTGGCCTTTGTTCATCCACAAGCGGGGTAGTCAGGTAGCCCAGTGGTCAAAGCGTTTGCTAGTCACGCTGAAGACCGGGGTTCGATTCCCAATGTGGGTACCATGTGTGAAGCCCATTTCTGGTGTCCCACGCCCTGATATTGCTGGATTATTGCTGAAAGCAGCGTAAGACAATACTCACTCACTCACTCATCCACAAGCACAGATCGATATACTGTAATACATCTCTTGGGAGACTGACATAGACATCTCTGATCACTAATTATAGAAAATCCGACTATGACCATTGATTTGGCCATCTACATGTACAATGTATACATGTACAACAGTAGCTGGGGGCCTGGGAGGCACCTTAGGCATGCCATGATTTGCTGGAATATTATCATTGGTTTGTCTCCAATCATGTGATTGTGTTCAAGTGGCAACAGTCTAATGTCTGCATAATTTGGTTCTTTCCTCCTACATTATGTTGACACACCGTGATGTAACTGAAATACTGTTCATAGCGGAATAAAACAATTCACTCACTCCCAAGAGCGGTAGCTAATGCATTTCAATTTCATTAAAGAAAGGGTGTACGGTAGCCTTGTGGTTAAAGTGTTCGTTCATCAGTCCGAAGACTCGGGTTCAATGCCCCACATGGGTGCAATGTGTGAAGCTCATTTCTGGTGTCTGTGATGTTGCTAGAATTTTGCTAAAAGCGGCCAAAAAAACCATACACACTCAATCAATAACCAAACGTTTAGTCAATAAATTATTGGTGCATCTGCATGAGGCAATGTCTTTTAAGTAACTTAACAGAAGTTTAGGGGGAAGGGTTGGTTCAACTTGCCCAAATCGCTCAGCAGAGTTGCATCCCTTACCTGCAGTGTCAGCAGATCTTGAACAACCAATTCTTCTTGATAGGGTCATGAGCATCCTACCCAGGCCTACTAAAGAGAGAGCTACGAAACTGTGGAATATGTTAACACTTTAAATAGAAATAGACACGCAAATTACAAACAAAACACAATCCCCATAAAGTTTGCCTCATAATAGAAGACCCGGGCACATTTTCAATGCAACCAGATGCCGTAAATCAAGCAGCGTGTAACCAAGGTGCGGTCTGCATGATTTGCTGTGTTTGGTTCCATTGTACAATAAAGTGTCTTTTCCTGACTGAGTAGTACTTTCATAATCTAAATTTTCTCAGCAAATCTTCATATTCACACAGTCATGGTTTTGATAGTACATCGGATGATGGATATCTTAGCAGTAACAGCACTCTTATTACATACAGTATATGTTGGATAGTTTTACTGTCAAAAACCAGAGATGAAATATAGTCAATCCCGAAAGGCTGGCTGATCCAGGAATGTACAAATATGATCTCACTGTCCCTACAATCACTATGGGTACTTTGCTGTATCTGAATCTGTGACCGCAGCAGCATTGACCCTCCATCTCCCTCTACCTGCACTAATCCACCAGTCTCACTATTCAGGACCATTCGCTGGAGATGGACAACGAGACCAAGAGGAGGCGCAGCGAAGATTATACAAGTAAGACTAAAACAATGAGTTCACATATAATTTCACACCACAGTCCGCAATATTCCAGTTATATCACAGTGGTCAGTAATTTATCAAATCTGGTTCAGGTGAACCAGTGGTTGAAAATATTACGATCCATGCCATTGGGATGCGATGACTCGCAATCAACCCAGTCCCGGTCTGATCCCCATTTTAGTTGGCTTTTACGACAATAATGAGGTACTGGCGACCTATTGACAAGCAACCATGCATATCGGGGCACGAGGACAAGCAATCAGCCAGGTCACTCATACATTATCAGTTGGCTCTCATGAAAAGCATGGATACTGGGGACCTATTGTAGCCTTAAATCCCTGTGTGTAGATATATAATACTACATGTTATAAAACACATGGAAAGATCTGGAGTAGAATAGGTCTTCAGCAACCCATTCTTGCTGTAAAAGGCGACTATGCCTATCGTAAGAGGTGATTAATGGAATCGGGTGGTCAGACTCGCTGACTTGGTTGATGCATGTCATCATATCCCAATAGTGTGCAACGATGCTCATGATGTCAATCACTGGACTGTCCGGTTGATTCTTTACAGACCGCTGTCATACAGGTGGAATATTGCTGAGTTTGGCATTAAACAAAAAGCAAACATGTTATAACCAGCATGGTGGGGTAGCCTGTTGGTTATAGTGTTTGCTTGTCATGCCAAAGGCCTAGGTTCAATTCCCCACGTTGGTACAATTGTATAAAGCCTTTTTCATGTGACCACAGCTGTGATATTGCAGAAATATTGCTGCCCTGTTTTGTTAATATGTTAATTTATTGAGTTCTTATGTGCAAGAAATACCACGCTTCCCTGTGCTTGTTATTTGAAAAATAAACGATGAGGGGGAGTTGTTTATCGCACTATAAAACATGCAGGGAGAATACACATAGAGGGGTGTAGCGAGTTGTTTATTTCTTAGATGAGATATCTACATTATTTACAACCTCTTTAAGGATATTTACCCGTATATAAATAATGACTTCCTACATACAATCCAAAGTTGGACAAGTCCATTTTATGATCAAGTGGGTACTTTGGTGTTTCCTGAATATTCTAACAAACGTCGAAACAGTTTACAGCCGTAATCTGATCCTTTTTTCCATTGTAAGTTGTCGTATCTCGCCCACTTTTGGATGGGATCATTCAGCCATTGCGATTTTCAGCTGCATCCCTACCCTCTCGAAAATAGTGTTGTCCAATTAACACTGTCATCAAGTTTCAAGTAACCTCCCTCCAGAAATTACGTCAGGAATGAATAATGTATTATCATAAGACCACACTCTATGCTTTCTTTTTTTGGGTGATTTATGATGTAGATGTCTTATATTTGACTATAATGAGGATGTTGTCGAGTTAGTTATGCACGTGTGCTCTTGCTGATTTGTATGTCCTGTTCTACGATAGTTTCTCTGTCTCATCCCCAGACTCCTTTGATTACAAGCAACAGTGATAAAGCTGATTTGGGCGTTAACCAGCATTCACTAAAATGCTAAGATACTTCACCCATCAGTTGATAATGGTTGTTATTTCCTATTAAGGCGTGGAATGATAATAACTGGAATACTGTTCAAAGCAGTGTTGGACCCAATTGCTCACTCACTTCTTTTAAGGGGCGGTCGGGTTGCCTAGTGGTTAAAGCGTTTGCTCATCACGCCAAAGACCCGGGTTCGATTCCCGACATGGGTACAATGTGTGAAGCCCATTTCTGGTGTCCCCCGCCGTGATATTGCTGGAATATTGCGAAAAGCGGCGTTAAACCATACTCACTCACTCGCTCAGTTCATTTAAGGTAAATGCCCACTTCACAAGCCTTTACTTGACATGCACGTCATGTTGTCATGACAAGAAGTAAAGTAACACCAAGTTTGATCTTTGTCTTTTTTCTCTCTTTGGAATCATAATACGCTGATTTATTTAGTATTCCAAATTTAGTGCCCTTAGCAATGAAATTGGGACAAAATTGTTTTATTGTTCAAAATATGATTGTTTTAATGTTCATGTTTTGAATTGGGAAATTTTCAATTCAAATTGGGGATTTTAACTATCATTTGCTACAGACGTAGGGCTGAATATCGGCCACAGAGCAGGTCAAGATAAATCCCTGTAATATGCCAGAATGACCTACTGAGCACCCTTTCCACAATGTACACTGAACTTGTGTTTGCAATACAATTCCTCCTGTAATATTTTTATGCTCAGTGCATCACTTAAGTGAAGTGATTGACAATATGATCAGTATTTTGTTGATGGATACAATGTGAGCTATCATAACTGTAGTTTGGAAATAACGATTGGTACGCCCCAGTCTAAATCATCATTCAATTCACTCCCTTGTTATTTTGCTGCTTTACATCCACAAGGAGCTAGTTTTAATTTCTTTGATTCTTATAAACTACATTTAGTCTGTGCCTTGTGGGAAAGCCAACTTGTGGCTGTTTCATCAGGTGGGTAGGCTCGCTGGCTTGGTTAATGCATGTCATAGCATCCTAAATGCATTGATCGATGCTCATAATGTCAGGACCAGACGTCATGTGGCTGGAATATTGTTGTGTGTGGCTGTAAACAACAAACACTCACTAGGGTAGCTTAGACATTTAAAATTTGCTTATCATGCCAAACAGCTACGTCTGATTTCCCAATGGGTTTCAATGTGTGAATCCCATGATCTGCATCCCCTATTGTCCTGTGGCTGGATATTCCTAAACATGGCACAAAACCTTACTGATTCTAATGCTCCTATCCACAGAGACTTCCAAGCTGAATGGTGAACCTGACCGGAGACGCAGCAAGAGCCGGGAACACAGCTGGGAGAGATCCAGTCCATCCATGCCAAGACGTGGCAATAGGGTGGGTAGTAGATTCTATTCTCCGCCTCTTTAGTTTGTAGCAGGAGACACACTTGCATCACCGTATTGAGGAAATGTTATTCAAGTGTGACCAGGCATCGGTGTTTAAAGCCCAGTTCCAGTCCAGGTTTGGAAAATGTAAGTGAGCCATGTGGTTGCAGTGGGAAACACCTTAGTTGTTTCAGCAACCCATGATGTCCGGGTTAGAATTGGTATTTGGCAAATCATGCTTGTTAGAGCAGTCAAACGGGATTGGGCGGTCAGACTCGCCGACTTGGTTGATGCATCGGTGCTCATGATGTTAATCATTGGATTGTCTGGTCCAGACTCCCATCAGTTACAGACTGCTGCCACATCGCTGGCATGTTGCTGAGTGTGGCGTTAACAAAAAGGAAAGTTGTTGCAGGACTGGCCTGTCATGCTGAAGTCCTGGGTTCAATGCCCCACATAGGTACAATGTGTGTGTAGCGCCTTCCGGGAGTCCATGCATAATATGGCTGGAACTCGTACTGCTGAAAGCATCCTTAAACCTAACTCTGTCTCTGGATGTGCCATGTGTGAATTTGAAACATAATCTCCGTGGTAATTAGGGTGTTCAATTTATTTATTAAAATTTGAATATTAAGAAAAGAGAAGTGGTGGATTGACTTCAGTGAAACTTGCAAGGAATTAAATTAACTCTCATCCACTCTCTTGAAGAGCATTAAAATGAGTTAATGTACTGTATTGATATTTGTTGAAATGAATTTTAAATATGAAATATTAAATGTGTTTTTTTCACGATTGGTTGGTTATTCTATGATATTTGTTTACAGGACGTCTTTGATTCTGATGAGTCCCCAGCCAAGTCTAAAGCCAAAGTGAAAAAAGAAAAAACGTATCCTTAAGCACTAAATGGACATTGTTTTCATCATGTTGATAAAAGCATAAAACGATAAAACTCGTAAGATATAAGAATAGTTACACATATGCTGGAAGGTAAAACAATGACAACCGTTATCCTGATAATGTGAATTTTTTGTATGTTTCTTTAAATGTATTCGTACCGTAGTTGCACCACTTTGTTGTACCAGGATCAGCTGATCAAAGGTTTCAAATCCAAGAGTTGCTGTAACTATGATCCTTGGTATATCAGCCCCATAAGCACGCTCTTGGGTTTCACAAAAATAGTCAAAATCACTTCCTACTCTCGCCAACATGAGGTTGGTGCTCTGTGATAGTCAGAGACTATTGAGACAATTCCGGAACCCAACTCATTCTGGGCAGGGTCATATCCCTGAGGCGTGCGAGAAATGGGTTCAAATCAAAGTTCGCACCATACCCGTGTTCATCAACTTTCACCAAAATAGTAAATGTCAAAAACCTGTTACGCTTCAAGCTATTCTTCCATATCTTGCTAATATTATTGAATTATTGTTCAAAGTGGCATTAAACTGTACTCACAATTTCATTCTCCATGTGAAGATCTTCAGCAACCCATACTTGCCGTAAGAGGCGACTTTGCTTGTTGTAACAGGTGACTAACGGGATCGGGTGGTCAGGTTTGCTGACTTGGTTGATGCATGTCATCGTATCCCATGCTCATGATGTCAATCACTGGATTGTCTGGCCGAGACATGGATTATGTACAGACCACTGACATATAGCTTGAGTGTGGCATTAAACATCTAACAAACAGATGGACAAAGATCACTATTTCATTCACTCTAGATTCTTCATTGTTCTTGTATGTTTCCTTAATTCTCTCAGTTCATCTTCCAAGAAGAAATGACCTGTGATAACAGACGAGCAGAACCAAGACTCGTCGTAACAAGTTTTGTATATCTTGTACATATATACACACAAAGTATTTTATTTTTGTGTACAGACATTTCCTCTTGAGACAAGTATACCTAATTTTCTATCATCAATTGTGCCTTCATGTTTACATAGATGAAGAAAACACAGTATTAGCGAGACTGTCACAGTAGTGTGAATCTCACGACAGCAGATCAAACAGTCATTTGTCAATATAGCCATTGACTTAGATTAATTGTTACATAGTGTCACGACTTGGCTAGGTTGGTACTGCAATACTTAGTATTGGAGGAATTTGTTGTCACATGTTTCATGTCACTTTGTTTTGAGAATGGCCTGTTTGTCCGTGCACTATTTCTGATTGAGATTTGGTTGTTTCAGAATGACAAAAAATTTGGGGTGTCACAATATGCTTCGAGATGCATCTGTGAATCGTGACAACCCTTACAAATAAACTGTGAAGGATATTGGATTGCAAGATACAAATGTACTTTGACCTGAAAGAGGCCAGCTGACTTGTTCTAAGCTTTCCTGTGTTGAGCTGTAAAAGTGCTGACGCGGCATTAAACAATACTGCCCTATTCTACATGGTTGTTGATATATGCAGTCCAGGTTGTTGTGGAGTTCGGGGCAGAGAGGTGACCTGGATTCCATGAGATGTTTGCAAAGTCTGGATTAAATATTTAAGAAATGGCAATGAATGTCGAATGATGCTATAGGTGGACATTCAAATATTATCGGTAATTAATCTTAGCTGCATGCTCACGTCAGACCATGCTTTTGAATTGGTTGGGTTTTTTAACTACAACTGACAATGTGTTTTCAAGATCAATGTAAAGAAAGTTTGTTAAAATTGTGTACATAGCAAGTTTAAGAAACATCAGAAAAGGAACTTGTAGATTCAGTGGTAGTCTTTTATGTATTGAAAATATTTTAAAAAAATAATTAAGTGATACACCAAGCAACATTGATGACAATATTAGCAATTTCGATATGTTATACAGACACATATCTATTAATATGTGATATTCTGTTTATTCAGAAGTTAATGCCCATTGGCATAAAACTCTCATTTCCAAGAAAACATGTAAATATGAGACAAATTATTGGTACATCAAGATGCAAGTCCAGGCAAAACTTGCAACCTTTGCTTCAGGAGGAGGCTAAGGTAATGGCAGCATTTTAGACGAATTTATTACCATGTGCCAATCTGTAATCATCTTATTAGACATTGTTATGGGTACAAGTGGACAAAGAGGATTGAAATTTCAAGAAAGATTACTCCTAAACACAAACTGTTTATATGACTATAATTTGTCTTGGTTACAGTAAATGCACGAGTTTTATTTGCAAGAATTCATTAAATTCATGGAACTCAATGAATTACTCACTGCATTTGTTGTGTGTTGGATTCATACTTTCATTTTCATGATATTACATATTATAGAAACATCCCATTTTGATCATTGAAGAGTGACAGTGGACTAAATGCCTATCTGGTTGAACCATATGTCGTTGTGTTGTAATAACGTGAAAGGATCATCTGTGGTTTTAGTGGGACATATACATTTGTGAGTTGACTGGCATGCGTTGTCAGTAACATTTAGCCATAGAGTTCACTGTACATTGGGGAAGTAGATGGTGCTCTCACTTATCACAAAGAGAGTTCGGTTCCATTCCCATAACCATGATTTGATGTGGTTCAGATTAACTGCCAAACTTTAGTTGTAGAATTGCTGAAAACCGAAACATGATGGCCTTGTTCTTATAATGCTGTAAAGAAGCCATTGTTGGCATGGAGTCAAGATTCATAAACATTGTAGGGTTTGACTTTATTAGTTCGATCCAGCTAAAGCATTTTACTGTTTTACAAGATGCTGTTTTGAGTGGTATATGATTGCAATGATCATTAAAAAATAGCCAGTAAAGCATTCTTATACATGGTTGACCAAGTGTGCTTTGGCAACACAATTTGCTCTGCTGTGTTGTGTCCTTTAGAGATGTCAGGATCTGCTTAAGATTTGAATCCCAGATTCAGCCAGATAAGGTTCCTACTTTGTCAGCTCCATTCCTATGCTTGATGTGGTTAATACCAGTAGCTTAGTGAGCATCACTTCGTCCCTTTCTCCAATATAAAGCTGTATGTTCATTGTTACTGAAATATGTTTCAACTCAACGCCCCAACTCACTCTGTAGATAGCCAATGGCTAGCCAAGCGGAGATGCTAGCATCAGTATTGTGGACAGCCAGTTATTGTGTACACTGGTCAGTACGTATGTAATACCTTGAGTCACAAGCTCCCCCCATCTATGCTATATGAACACCACTTCTTGCCATGGTCTGCCCCTCAGGGAGATGCCACACCTCAACATGTCTCCATCCTTAAACACAGGTTTGTTATATTTTGTCAAAGGATGCTTTGATGAATGGAAAACAGGGAACACATTTGTGAGTAGACCTAAGATGGGTATCCATTTTGAAGTGTTTTGTCTATCCCTGAAAAAAAGTGTTTTTTCTGTTTCTGCAATATTAGATTGACATTTACTTCTTCAGTAATAGCTGGTTATGTCTCTGAAACCTCAATCATAAATTACTGTTATGGTTGTTATGTTTGTCCATGTAATTGATTATGGTCGATTTGTCCATTTCTGTAACAAGGTTGATATGCGTTTTATTGTTAAACATTGAATTGGTCGTAATGTGAATAATAATTCTGGTGTACATTAGACATTGAGGAGATGTAAAGCAGTAGGTGGTGTATCATTCAAGTATGCCTACCTCTTTTTGTGATGGGGTAGCCTAGTGGTTAAAGCGTTCTCTCGTCATGCCAAAAACCCGGGTTCGATTCCCCACATGGGTACAATGTGTGAAGCCCATTTGTGGTGCCCCCCGCCGTGATATTGCTGGAATATTGCTAAAAGCGGCGTAAAACCATACTCACTCACTCTTTCTGTATAAAAGGATCTAATGACGCTGCCTTACGGTAGTATGATGTAAAGCTATTGGTGCACATGATGTCAATGGTAAAAGGTTTAAAAAAAATTTCATACTTCATTTCCGATAGGGGTGGTAAGGTAGCTTTGTGGTTCAGGCTTTTGTTCATCCAACAAAGACAGGGTCAGTTCCCCATTTGGGTCTGTATGTGACATGTTACAGGGCTAGCTCACAGCTTGTGATTTTTTTCTTTTGGTGTTCTTGAACGATCCTTTAAAGTTTATTCCTCTTTTGACATGACCCAAGAAACTGGTTGGGGCATAGGTGGCCCACTTGTTTGGGCTCTGCAATTCCCTCAATCTCCTTAAATCGGATCTTAAAACTCACTACCACTTAACAAAGATCTGAGGACATCCTGTTGCGCAACAGAATGACATTTCAACCAACCAATCAATCTTTTGGCATGGAAGAATTCTAGTTTTTTGGTTGGAATCCTAGATTTTGATGCTTGGTTTGTCAGAACCAAACCTGTTTGGGTTTCTCCAAAGTGGTAAGCTTCCAAGACATGTCAGTTTGGGATTCCCTCTTTCATAGAGCTGACATGCTGTAAAATATTTAAACAATGTTCAAAGTTTCAGTAAACTCAATTCTCTTAATCACTCATTCTAAGACTGGTCTTTGACAGGGTCACTTTCTCTCATCATGATGTATCTATTTAGGTTTAGGTGAAATCTCTAACTTTATGGAAAGGATTCATTCAAGGATGACTGTTTTATCATTTCATTGACAGTTATGAATTTTTACGTCTTTATCAAGTTATCTTTTCATTGACATTATTATATCTTCATACAGAATACCTCATGAACATTTCATATGTATGTTTAGTTAATTCTCTTGAAGAAATATCATTTTTTACTTTGATAAGTGTATCCTATGTGTTATTTTATTGTCAGGATGGGAGGTATCCACAGTGCTATGATCACTGTCAAACTAGTAACACTTATCACCGAACAATGTGCCATATAATGTTTTGATGAGACAGAAAGAGGGGGATGTTATACAGTTTTTAGAAATGTTAGAGCTGAATAGATAAATTGAATAGAAAAATGAATTATTGACTTAAAAAGACAGGAAATTATATTTCTTGATTTATTGTTTACATAATTCAAGTACACTGCCAATTGTTCTTGAAATATTCAATAATTTGAACTGTACGAAGTTCACTCCTATTTCTTCTATTGCTTACAATTTACAGACTGTTTCCATTTTGTTTTTCAAGTTGCATTTTCAGTCAGTTTTCAATACATATTTCTGTTTTAACCTTGTCTAGGTGCAGTGAAAACCTGAAACTTACATTAGAACTTGGTGAATGTGTGTGAATAATATGAATGCTCATCAGTTGGTTTGTAAGACTTTGTGAAGTCGTTCCGGATATTTTTGTTGACCTGCTTTGACATGGGTATGTGTCAAGTACTTAAGACACAGTGAACAAGCAATATTAAGAAGGCGAAATATACACCTGGAAAATAATTAAGCACTATTTATTTCCATATCAATAGACATGCATTTTTTAAGAATGTATCCTGCATTTAATTTTGACAAAACACATTGACTTTTGTGTTTATGGTCACTGTATGGTTACTGTAATTGATTATGTTATTTCATGTTTGGTAACAGCAAAGTGTCTTTCAGTGCTACCTCTGTATCTTTCTATTACATGTATATGATGTGAACTTGTATTTGCAACCATGTGGAGAAAACGGTATTCTTGTACCACCTTTTCTTCAGGAAGCAGTGGTATGTTAGATAATTATTAAAGTTATATCAATGTCATGTGTACTTATTACCAAAATAACTACGATCCAAAATTTAGGGATATATGAAGATATATATGTTTAATTTTTCTAGGTGTATATTTGATATGTCATTCATCTCAGGAACCATTGAAGGGAAGGTAATGACATTATTTACACTCTGTTAATTCAAAGAAGTGAACTTAGTGGATTTGAAGACTTCCGAAATTTATCAATATTATTACATGTCAGTTACCAATTGAAAAAAGTCATTGGTTACTTGTGAACAAAAAATGTGTTTTAGATTTTGATAATATTGTGACAGTAATAGGAAGTCTTCAGTTACAAGATACCCTATTTGGTTCCTTGAGCTTCAGTGCCAGTGATGGCAGGAGTAATGCAGCTCAGCTGTTTGAGAGTGTTGAACCCTCACATGTGAGGGGTGCTTGTACTGTCTGTCAGCTGTCCAAGTAATGTCATTTGTACATTGCTTCAGAAACACCTATACTACTCAATGTGTTCATACATTTTATGAATTGTAATTAAACTTTGTACAGAAGTTGATTTGTCTGTTTTCTGTTAAGATATGCATGAAGTTATGAAAGTTCCTGGGTTAGACCCTTGCCAGTGTTTGTGGGATAAAAGTCAAGAAGCTGCACCACTTTGGACTTCCCTCACCTATTAAGACCAGACTTTATAATACTTGGTATGTAATCTGTCAACTCAAAAAATTCAAATGTGAAACAAATATTGCTGACGAAAGGTGACTTCGCACAACTATATTTTGCCGATTTATTTTTACAAACATGAGTTTGCATGTATGAACACTGAGCAAAACAGTTTGCAAACTAGTTTGTAAAGTTTGACAATCTTGACGAGAAAAAGACTTGGTCTATTTTTAGAAATGTTTTGCCAAACATTTTAGTGTTTTCGAACTTAATTTTGACTTGTGAATGGTTGTCAAACATATTGGTTGACAACATTCTATCTGTGTAGATAACACATGATGCTACAAAGTGGCATCAACATTTAAGAGAATAGAAAGGGGCGACTTAAGTAACACATATTTGTCTCATGTAAACATAAGTTGTCAAACCATTTGAAGTTTGCCTGGTCTTGAAGCCGCCTTCAGAGAAAATTTAATCTTTCCTCCAACACCAAGCAGCTGATAAGACATAAACAGGCAGACACCACAGGAATCTGAAGATCTGATTAGAATAAGGAAATAAAAACATATCTTTCTTTTAACTGTCAAACTTCTCATATAAAATACATAAATAGACTTTGTCATTTGAATGTGAACTTCAGATTTCTGTGTTGAAACTCCATACAAACCATTGTCAACTGACATTCAATGTTTCAAATATGAATATAGTTTTATTTCATTACACAGTACACAGCTTTTTATAAGTATATTGAATTTTCAGAATACTGATAGACACTAAATTACATTTCAGCTGAGAAAATCTACATCCTTGAATAAGTGCTTAAAACCTCAGATTTGATTGCACTGAAACAATCTTATTTTCTTTAAGATAGATCACTTTATGGACAGTTTCAAAGTTATTAAGGTAAGCTGATATGCAGCATCAGAATATAACACCACTTTGGGTGGGAAATTCTTTGATGTGTTGATACATGTGATGTATTCCTCATGTGCATTTCCGTGTATCGAAGAACAGCACCAGTATCCTGCAAGGACATGATGGGTACAGTGAGTGAGTGAGTGAGTGAGTGAATAACATGAAGCACTGCAGTCAGTTATGTTCCAGCTCATGTATATCATGGCATCCTTGAATTAGTGTGACCAGACCATTGTGTGGCAAAGAAACAATTCACACCATGACCTGCTGTCGGCCAAGCTGCCAGGCCTGACTACCTGGTCCTCTTTAGCTGACAAGCATGGGATATGGAGACAACTGTTTACCTATTTCTTAAATCGCCCACCTTTCCTCAGGGACATTAAGCCCTGAAGCTGACCTGGCAATTTGTGTTGTCCAGAGACACCTGGCCCTGGTCTAAAACTAACAAGCTCACCTGTACTGGAGGCTTTCTGCCCTGTTTGCAGTTGAACTAGAAACATGCTCACCTGTTATGGTTGCTGCCATGCCTGCAGTTGATAGCAACAAGCTCACCTGTTCTCACGGTTGCTGCCATGCCTGCAGTTGATAGCAACAAGCTCACCTGTTCTCACGGTTGCTGCCATGCTTGCAGTTGACCTTGTAACAAGCTCACCTCTGCTCAATGCCCTGCCCTGCCTGCAGTTGATTTAGCAACAAGCTCACCTGCACTGACCTGCTTGCTTGTCCTCGAGGGTACTGCCCTGACCTTCCTGCAGTTGATATAGCAACAAGCTCACCTGTTCTCAACAGTGCTGCGCTGACCTGCTTGCAGTTGACCTTGCAACATAGATGTAACTCCTTGCTCTCAAGGACACTGCCCTGAACTCCAGTTCACCCAGCATTATAGCTCACCTGTCCTCAGGTATCCTGATCTGAGCTGAAATAAACTTGGCGATATCTGTGGCCAGCTCTGGTTTGTGCTCCTGACTGGCCCGGTTACTGTTGTGGTGGAGGTCAATGTTCATCATGGGGGCAGTGGATCCAGCTCGCATCATCTGGGCCTCTAAGTGGAGCTCCAGGGTCACATTCTAAACAAACAGTGGATCATGTCAAGAAGGTTCTGAGACCACAGACCGCCTCCATGGTCTCGTGGTATAGCGTCTGCCAGGAGGGCGGAAGGCCAGTGGTTCGATCCCCGGTCGCGTCATACCAAAAGACGTTAAAAGATGATACGTGTTACCCTTCTTGGAGCTCGGCATTAAGGGGCTAAAACAAGGACTGGACGGCTCGGAGTCAGTATACTGTGTCTGAGTGGGGTGTTCATTCGGCATGGTATCTCAGTGGGCTATCACTATAAATCAGGATCAGTCAGGACTAGTACAAGCACACGCACACACACACACACACACACACACACACACGAGGTGTAAGAGGTGTACATCTTCATGCAAGCTAATTGATAAGGGATAGTGACCCAGTGGTCTAAGGTAACTGCAAAGAGTTGTGTCCCTTGTCTGCCAGGATGCGCTTATTGCTGGTTTCCAAATTAGCCCCGATTATGGCCCGTGTGTTCTGTCGGCTCCAGCATACACATACGTCACTCTAGTATATGGTAAACATCTATCACACATTAAACACTGCCCATGCACCGTTGTATGACAATGAATAAATGGCACACATTATTCAACAACAGACTATGAGGGAAGTAAAACTGCTTTGGTGTCCCCTTACACCACACTTGTATTTGATACGGGTTTTACTGTTGTGTTTTGGACCTGAAGTTTGCACCTAAGAAGATCCTTGTAAAATGGGTCTTCATCAACCCATGGTTGTCGTGTGAGGCGACTAGCGGGATAAGAGTGTCAGGCTCGCTGACTTGGTTGATGCATGTCATCGTATCCCAAATGCGTGGATTAATGTTCATGATATCAATCACTGGATTGTCTGGTCCAGACTTGATTATTGACAGACCGCCGTCATATAGCTGGAATATTGCATCTTCCCATAGCAAGAGAGTTAACTGGCTATAAAAGTCCAGTTTACGTGGAAACTGGCCTTCAAAAGTCAGTTAACTCTCTTGTTTCGGGAAGATTGGAATATTGCTGAGTGTGGCGTAAAACAAACAGGGCTGTGTTACGGCGATTTTTTTCAGTCTGACGTTTTGATAACGTTTGTAAATTGTTTGGTCACATTTCATGGTGTGAATCTTCTTTTTGACCGGCAGTTTACGTTGACAACATAGATGTTGTTTCTTATCACCGATCCATAATGTTTAGAAAATCGGCATGAGAAACAATAACTATATTTATGTCTCCTGTGATCATCCAGCTATGTGACGTGTGAAAAAAATAAAATTTAAGAAAAAAATCCCTGTGGTTCATGAAAACCGCTGCTGCAGTCATGAAGTGGTTGCACGTCACGAACATAGCCCTGAGTTACTGTTCTATTACGTACTTGTGTGTGATTAGCATGTATCTCATTCGTTTCACACACATGCATTGTCAGGCTCAGATTATCGGGTGTAAACGAACTGTACACAAATCACCAAACCATTACCGGCCCCTGATAAGATGGGCCACCATGCCACTATCTTACACAGCCTTGGAAAGCCAAGCAGGCAGACAGTCGTAGTACCGTATTCACCGTAAAAGCGATTGCGAACAAACTTAGTTCAAACGTCGAGGAAACTAAACCTTTTTTGATAAATGCTCCTGGGAAATGATATGACATTTCTACACTGCTATGTTTTCTGCAAAGACATCTGTAACATACACATCAAAATAAGGAATGTTGTTTAAATGTGCGGGCCTTGTAGGGTGGGGGTGGGGGTGGGGGTGGGGGGTAGCATAGTGGTTAAAGTGTTCTCTCGTCACGCTGAAGGCCCGGGTTCAATTCCCCGAATGGGTACAATGTGTGAAGCCCATATCTGGTGTTCCTCGCTGTGGTATGCTTGAATATTGCTTAAAGCGGCGTAAAATCCAACTCACTCATTCACCTTAGTGTTCGGTCAACCTAGGACGTTGATCATGCTTTCAGCCACTAGTTTACCTGACCCATATTACAAGCCGCCGTGACATATACTGCCGGGCAAAAGAAAGTATACACTTGACAATTTGATTGAACCAAACAATTATAAACGTTACTAGGCTGAAAACAGTCGCATTAGTGAGATACTCATTGATAAATGCATGTAATATCGCCTGTTACCCGAATCAAACACATCACCATCGAATAACAATTTCTTGTTTTAGCATCTTTAGCCACCATCAGACGTGGGTGTATGCTTTCTTTTGTCCGGTAGTTTAGTTGGCATATTGCATTGGCTAAAACAACAAACTCTGCGGGTTTATAAGCAGGCATACGGTACCGGTCACCAGTTGTTATGGGAGCCGTGATATGTTATAATCCCTATGTGCGACATGAACTTGATATACGTCCAACTACCAAGAATGACATATTGATAAACCAGGCGCTCCACACAGCAGAATAATACAGTTACTGACTTAACCAATGCATAGAATGTTGTCGACGGTACTGACGGATAAACTACCAGCTCAACAGTAGCGAATAGTGATATAGTCGCAGGGATTATTACTGCCAGAATGTAGTCGACCTGAATGAACACGAAGGACATTGTATACGAGAGTGGGATATCCACTGTATTGCAGTCTTTGAGTGGGATCTTGCTATAGAGGGAATTTCACCCGAGTTTCTTTTGATATTAAATATATCAACACGAGTTTATAAAAGGCTTAGCTATTTTGGTTTATAACAAAGCTTCTGTTTATCATCCTAAATTATTCTTCCAACTTCTGCAGCTTGTAACCAGTGCCTTGAGTGTAAAAGGTGCTAACCAGCGTCAGTGGCAGAGGGATTTAATAGTCACGGATTTCAGTCATTGTGACGTCATGGTAACGATGACGTCACAATAGTCTGCAAAGCATAGTGATGCAATTTCATTGTAGCGATATCTCCCAAGGCTCGCTAAATACAATGTTTATTCCTAATACAGGATATTTACCACCCCCAAACACACAAGCGTGATAACCTCTTTATCATATAATGTCATTCTTTAATTCTGTGCTTCAAAATCGCTTTCCTCTCTCTCACAAACATTACCGAAACATTGCGAGTTTTCCTGGAATGCGCGCATTAATATTTATTACGTCACAGGGTAAGTGATGTGTCAGTCGGACAGGGACAGTAGCCAATATAGTTCCAACTGAAATCTCTTTCTTATACCGTGGCGAAGCAACATATGCGCAAAACAACAATTGTTCTTAATTGCCTTTCGCGGCAATCCATCGGTCTGTCCGCTAGAGTAACTGCCCTTTGTCATAGGGTAGCTACTCTAATCCTAGTCTATGAGACGTCACGGCCACGGTCAGACGTTGTTGACAGTCGGTCTGTCCTATCATAACGTTAAGAAGTGTAGTCAGATGTACACACAGCGACAAAACCAAACAAGGTAACAATTCAAGCATATTTCGGCCAAATCCAACTATTTTAATTTGTGGAGAAAGGTTCAAGCCGAGAGGTCTACAAGTACAGATATGGCTACTGATCCCGCTTGGCTTGGCCTGGAGCCCTCGCAAAATTGTGTCGAAGTTTATATCTCCAAAGTTGCCCAAACTTATAAAATGCCTTAGCTACGTTACAGTTAGACACTGATTTTCAGTATATTAGACTGTTCTTTTGATAATGAAAGCAAATATCTCTGTAGTTTATCCAGATTCCCGATGGTGACGTCGTGTCTAGTGTGACGTCATTCCGACACTGTTGTCTCGCGACGTGATGTTTGTTTGTATAGTTTGTTTGTTTATTGTTTAACGCCGCACTCAGCAATATTCCAGCTATATCACGGCGGTCTGTAAATAATCACGTCTGGACCAGACAATCCAGTGATTGACATCATAAGCATCGATCTACGCAATTGGGATACGACGACAAGCATCAACCAAGTCAGCAAGCAAGACCACCCGATCCCGTTAGTCGCCTCTTACGACAAGCATCAACCAAGTCAGCAAGCAAGACCACCCGATCCCGTTAGTCGGGTGGTCTTGCTTGCTGACTTGGTTGATGATTGTCATCGTATCCCAATTGACGATATATGACCCTTGGGCACATATGATTTTAATTAACCCCGATAGTAGATGTTTGCCCTCGTAGGTAATAAATACAGAATACTACTTTCATTTTCGTTAGATACCATTTTTTACGAAACGAGTGGACTTTCTATGGCATCTGACCGAGCGAAAGCCTATATTTAGGCACTGGTATTTAATTTACGACAGCTTGCAGCGGAGCAAACGACTACCATTGTCGGAGTAAGACTGCTGAATTGGCAGAACTACCACTCATCTTTCTTTGGCAATTAATACTCAAGTTTTATTGATATTAAACTAACATTTTGCAGGTTTCACAAAGAACACAGCATGTACAGTTGCCATCACTTTGAGTTATCAAGTGGTTGTCTGTTACACTTATAATGTTTTCACACGGCAATACATTTTCATATCTCTTAGTTATATAGGGCGATGGGGTAGCCTAGTGGTTAAAGCGTTCGCTCGTCACCCCGAGGACCCGGTTTCGATTCCCGACATGGGTACAATGTGTGAAGCCCATCTTTGATGTTCCCGTTGTGATATTGCTGAAACATTGCTGAAGGCGGCGTAAAACCATACTCACTCACTCTTAGTTCGACCCAGTTTTTCCAGCGTTCGAAACCAGTTCTAATTGTCTATACTTCATTGGTTTCGCTGGTGTGGCACAGGATCAAATGACTAATATGTCTCTTTGTGGACACAGTATTATCACTTGATGACAACTAAAGGTGTTATATGTACATGCTGTATTCTTCCCTGCAAAATGTTGGTTTAACATCAATAAAATTTGTATGTTTATAAATACTCCAAGACAAAACTTCTTCACACATATTCAAAACAAAATGTACTATAAACAAGGGTTAAAGGCACAGTCTCCTGGTCGCACAATGTTATATTGACGGTACCTGATGGAACTGCTTGTTAACAGCAGTATTGGCCACAGTGAATGAGTGAGTGAGTATGGTTTTACGCCGCTTTTAGCAATATTCCAGCAATATCACGGCGGGGGACACCAGAAATGGGCTTCACACATTGTACCCATGTCGGGAACCAAACCCGGATCTTCGCAGTGACGAGCGAACGCTTTAACCACTAGGCTACCCGACCGCCCCTATTGGCCACAGTGATTAACTCAGATCTCACAACACAGATAACCTTGTGTGAACCGCTGAGCGTGTTTACCACGTGCACCTAAATGTTCAGTGAAGCCTACTGTGATCTACTCACCGATGAACGACTTAACTTAGATCTACACTGATCAACCTTGATTGAATATGCTTATAGTAGTTATAACCCTTGTCCGAATACTGTTCGTTCTTGACCTTATATTGCCGTGCCTGTGGGATTCAGCACAGCCGTAAACTCCAAGATCGGCATCACTATAGTCTTTCCTCTTACATCACGCTTACTCGTGAATTAGGGGCGGTCGGGTAGCCTAGTGGTTAAAGCGTTCGCTCGACACGCCGAAGACCCGGGTTCGATTCCCGACATGGGTACAATGCCCATTTCTGGTGTCCCCCGCCGTGATATTGCTGGAATATTGCTAAAAGCGGCGTAAAACCATACTCACTCACTACTCGTTTAATAGGTAAAATACTGTTCAAAGCGCCGTTCTTGACCACCTTTGACCAACTATTAATGTTGATTGACTATTAACGAGTAATGACATTGATTCGCTATTGATGAGAAAGAATTCCGTGTATGGAGAAAGAACTATACAAAATTGCGAAACGGTTTAGATAAGCACTCAACATGGCTTACATTTGCATTACCTATTTTAGTATATAATACTGTGCTTACCCAGCATTGGTCTACATTAACAAGGGGCAAATGTGTAGCAATTGGCTATGCAGAGTTGCGTCGCTTTGGGCTTGCCAGGATTCGATGATCAAACCCGCCGTTATATACACCCTTGGTTATAACAGTCACGTCAAATCCTGACACTTAATATGATATTACTGAAAAATTTATTTTCGGGCGTACACCCCACTCACTCACAGTTTAGGTCAGTTTCTGCTATGGCTTACCTTGGTCTCAATACTGAAGGTTTTGCTCAAATATTCCGTCAACTTGCTGAGGAACTCCTTTTGAATAGACTTGGTATGGACGTTTGTTCTCATTACCATGGCAACAGCCGACATATTGCTAGTTGACGTCGAACACTGGTTTGCGGCTCCGGGAGGGAAGGGAATTGTAAACTGGATGATTCACACACCGGGCGCCAGATCACGCCGTTGACCTCCGTGACAACGATGCAAACAGAAAGAATGTCGTCAACGTCAACCACGAGATATGTCGCAGTGATTGATTGATATTGATATATTTAACAACTATAATGTCGTGGTCGTGTTTGATTAGTACATAGAAGTCTGTCACCTTAAAATAAATCCGAACGTAAATATTGCCTTGAGACCCAGCTGATTCTCTCCTTCAGAAATGAGCTTTATAATCTCGTTTGTATTGAACAGATCCGAGCCTCATTGGAATTTTCGTTGCGTGAGTAGCTAAAGAAACTTAAGGAGTTTATAGAGTCATTTCGTCTTATCGGAAATTAGCAATGTCATAGGAATTGCTGTGATTTTAGTTCTTCACTAAATACACTTATTCCACAATCATGAAAGATCACCCCAACCGCTGATTATTGATCTGTTAAATCCGAAAATCTCTCACCATGAAGTAACGGTACTTGTCTTGTATACAGGTGGTATCCCATTCAACGGTACACCACGACCAGGCTGTTCTACTTCACCCGTGTTCTGACACGGAGGGGCATAAACCGCCTGGGTCTTTAGATGTGTCACGTGACAAGAAAGCCTGCACGAACGTCTCGTGTCATGTAGATCACATAGGTAAACTTGGAGTAGCCAGGAACGCTGCTACCTGAGACGGGCCTTGCACCTGTTCGTTACAGGGTACATGTGGGGAGCGTCTCAATATTTTGAAATCAATTTTGCCAGTTTGTTAACGTCACTGTAGGGTTTAATTTAAAATATGACAATCAATGACCACTTGCTCATTTACAAGATATGTTGTTGCTATATGGTTGCTAAATTCTTTTAAGCCGCAGTCAGCAATATTTCAGCTATACACGGCGGATTGGAAATACTAGAGTGAGTGAGTCGGGTTTATCGCTGTTTTGAAAAGTATTCCAGTTGTGTCATGGCGGATGCAGGTCACTAACGTTTACCACGGACCACTCACTCACCCAGCCACTCACTCACTTACTCACCCACCCAGTCACTCACTCACTCAAACCAACCAACCAAACAACGATGGGTATGGCGATGAAAACCCTATAAACATAGTCGGGACGAACCGGGATTCGAACTTACAATCATAGGTTTCTGGCGTGCCAAAGTGACTCTGCACTGCGTATTGCTGCGCCTTAGACGACTGGGCCACCCGTTCTGCCTGCACAGATTCGAATATGGATTAGTTCACTTCACCAGTGGTTTCATGGGAATTCCCACGAGGTAGTTGTGTTATTTGAAGAAGTTCAAAATACATACTGCTGCTCGTTGTTTCTTTCTGAATGTGAAGCATTATTCACCCGTTTGTGAAGCATTACACACCCGTTTCGAGCATTATTCACCCACAGTGAAGCATTATTCACCCGCCCTTGTAGCATTGTATATCCGTTTGTGAAGCATTATTCACCTGCCCTTGCAGCATTGTATATCCGTTTGTGAAGCATTATTCACCTGCCCTTGCAGCATTGTATATCCGTTTGTGAAGCATTATTCTCCCGCCAGCGAAACATTATTCACCCGCCCATGAAGCATTGTGTATCCGTTTGTGAAACATTATTCTCCCGCCAGCGAAACATTATTCACCCGCCAAGAAGCATTGTGTATCCGTTTGTGAAGCATTATTCTCCCGTCAGTGAAGCATTAATCTTTCGTTCGTGAAGCATTATTCGCCCTCTCGTGAAACAATAATCATTCGTTTTTGAAACATTATTCGCCCTCTCGTGAAACAATAATCATTCGTTTGTGAAACATTATTCAACCGCCAGTGAAACATTACTCACTCGTTCATGCAGCAATATTCACCCGCATTATTTGCCCTTTCATGAAGCATTATTTTCCCATTCGTGAAACACCATCCACCCGCCAGTGAAAAAATATTCATCCGTTCGTGAAGAATTCTTAACCTATTCGGGAAGCATCATTCATCCGTCCGTGAAGCATTATTTACCCGTTCGTGAAGTACGATTCATCCGTCCGTGAAGCATTATTCACCCGCCCTTGTAACATTGTGTATCCGTTCCTGAAGCATTATTCACCCGCCTGTGAAGCATTATTCACCTGTTCATGAATCTGTACAGTGTATTTCTCTCACATGTCCAACGTTTACATCAAACAATTATTATTTTATCGTAAAGCACATTCACCGATAATTCGATAATATACCGCCGAGAGGGACCCTCGACCTTTTTTAAAATAACCCTTCACACTCACAAAATATTTATGTCAATTCAAGAAGCGTCCCCGACCCCCTGTCGAGGGTAGCTATGCACCAACTATGACTTTTTTTATTAATCAATATCAAGTATGCCTCCCCACCTTGATCTAACCGCCACCATTGTCTTTGAAGAGTTGGTAGCACCAAAGCAAATCAAAGGCAAGTGCTTCAGTGAGTTTTGTTTTAGTATTGCAGTTATTTCATGGTGTGTCAGCTTGATGTGGTAATTGTTATGTTCTTTGATGCATTGATAACATGTTTTTTAATCCATAAATTGTTCTGGTCGCTTCAAGCTGAAACAATGTTACATTTGAACTCACTCATGCTCTACCAACTGCTGGGGCAGTGGGGTAGTCTAGTGGTTAAAGCGTTCGCTCGCCACGCCGAAGACCCGGGATCGAATCCCCACATGGGTACAATGTGTGAAGCCCATTTCTGGTGTCCCCCGCCGTTATAGTGCTGGAATATTGCTAAAAGCGGCATAAAACCATATTTACTCTACAAACTTTTAAACGTCAGTCAAAGGCATCTTACCATCGCGGTCAACAATATGAATGAGTGAGTGAGTGAGTGAGTGGGTGAACTTGGTTTAAACCCGGCCCGACAGTGGTCTGCTTACGGCCCATAGCACCAGGTGCAAGAAACCTATGATCTTATCCTGCATTTGGTTTAACTCCGCTTTGGGCAGTATTTCAGTTCACGGTCAGATTGATGTGGGAGGTCAACCGGAAGTAATCACTTCTGAATCAGGGTGAATATGGGATTCGAACCTCCGATTTGGGGATTTGGGCACGGTTAAGGGTTAGGGACGCAACATGCATAGCGAATTGCAGGGCCTTAGACGACAGGGCCACCAGTGATTTATACGTTTGTATTCGATAAGATAAAATCGTTTCCCTCATTAAATTCTCGAAATCAAATAACAGAAAATGATACGAGCCTGGAAGTTACTTAATATTAAATAAATACGGTTGCTGGATTTCTGTTTGGTTTTCAAGCTGAAATATTTGAGATTGATACGAACTTGTATAATGAACTGACCTTGTATAAGTTCAACCTTTTTATTAATATATCATAAAAATGTAAAGTTGAATACAATCACAATGCAAAGAAAAGAAAAGCAAAATCTAAACATTTGGATAAAAGTTGGCTGTTCAGGAATCGGAAAAATCAACTGGGATCACCAAGGCAACAGAAATGTAGAATATAGCTTGAGACGTGATGTTACGTGGAATAAAGAGGAGAATCCGTTTCCCCTTCTCAAAGTTATAAAAATATCTAATAAATCAGTGTTCGGCGTAGATCAGGTCCTATGTCAGATTGCAAGCATAGCGCTTCGACTGTCGCCAATCATACTTGTAGTCACAAAGGTCAGAACCCCTCGATGCCTTGCAACGAAGAAGCGAAACAAAAGTAATATTTTATCATACCTCTATTTATCAGCCACTTATTCTAGCCAATCTGTTTAAACATGTCGAGCTCAAGACACTATTAGCATTCGATACATTAACAAAGCATGGCATCAATGCATCAGTAAAAATCGTTTGGATGAGTGAGTGTGTGAGTGGAGTTTATTAACGTCGGTTTAAACACTTTTCAGTTATATCACGGCGTATCAGCTTGACGCGGGATGAAAGCCCAAAGTTATATAGTTCCCAAATGTCTACCAATATGAGGAAACCCACGATCGCGGTTGTGGTGGTGACAAACGGGGACTCCTTATGAAGATTCTGCTACGACCAAGGGACGTGCTTCCAGCTAGATATGTTCCATAGTATTTGTGACCAGTGAAGATTCCGGGGTAGAATAGGTCTTCAGCAACCCATGCTTGCCGTGAAAGGTGACTATGCTTGTCGTAAAAGGCGACTAACGGGATCGGGTGGTCAGGCTCGCTGACTTGGTTGATGCATGTCATCGATCCCCATTGCGTAGATCGATGCTCATGATATTATTCACTGGATTGTCTGGTCCAGACTCGATTATTTACAGACCGCCGTCATATAGCTGGAATATTGCTGAGTGCGGCGTTAAACAACCAACCAACCAACCAACCAACCATAGTATTTGTTTGTTTAACGCCGCACTCAGCAGCAATATTCCAGCTATATGACGGTGGTCTGTAAATTATCGAGTCTGGACCTAACAATCCAGTGATTGACATCATGGGCATCGATCCACGCAATTGGGATACGATGACATGCATCAAACCAGGTCAGCGAACCTGACCACCCGATCCCGTTAGTCGCCTTTTACGACAAGCATAGTCGCCTTTCACGGCAAGCATGGGTTGCTGAAGACCTACTCTACCCCGGATCTTCACGGGTCTGTTCCATAGTGAATACGGGCGGTGGGGTAGCCTGGTGGTTAAAGCGTTCGCTCGTCACGCCGAAGGCCCGGTTTGAATCCCCACATGGGTACAATGTGTGAAGCCCATTTCTGGTGTCCCCCGCAGTGATATTGCTGGAATATTGCTAAAAGCGGCGTAAAGCAATACTCAATCAATCAAACATCGTGAATACCGGTGCAGACAGCACGCGTGAATCTTATAAATGTAGTAGGGGACACGGTTGGCCCAGTCGTCTTTGGCGCCGCGATTCGCTGTGCAGAGTTGCGTCCCCTGGGCACGCCAGAAACCTTTGATTGTGGGTTCGAATCCCGGATCGCCCCGATTGTTTCTAGGTTTGTCAGCACCATACTCGTGGGTTTCACCGTAGTGGTAAACGTCTGAGACCTGCATCATTTCTGGCTTTCCTCCCACATTAAGCTGAAACACCGCGATATAATCGGAATACTGTTAAAAGCGGCGTAAAACCAAACTCACTCACTCACTATAAATGTAGTACATGCTATACTTCACATAATGACTAAAAACTGGATAATTACTGAGTTTAAACTATAGAGTTGAATGATTTTACAGACGCCTCATCATTGCCATGTACCCAAAACAATGTGCAACTTGTTGTTTCTTAGCTTGCGGGAAATCCTTGTATAATAGTAGGTATCGTCAGTTTGTACACTTACTTACTTATATTGGAGATTTTACGTGCGCTTTCCGGCTGTAAGCGTATGTCGCACACAGTGTTTGTACACAGTTGGGGCATGATACACTTGTATATGGCAAGTCGTTATTATCAAAGGCACTGCGCCAACACCATGCAAGTATCATCCGGCAACCATATCAATATAGAAACAAACCCACATCACACACTGGTTGTATTGTCAGTTTGCACCTTGCACTGTTGTGTGGATGTGTCCGATTGGTTTTTCGAGTCGTGAAAACGGAAGAGCATTGTGGAGGAGATGCATGGTGAATGGTATGGAAGAAACTTGAGAACCCGACACGGGCTGTGGAGATCGTGTTGATGTGGACCACGTGTTGTCTACAAACGTCACGAGGTGAACTCACCGCCGAGGATAATAGAATTCATCTGAAATTCAGAGTTCAAATTATATCAATACATGACATAAAATAAATTAAATGTTTCTCGGGCACATTTGTCTCAAAGAGCAAGTGATGCTGAAGGAACACTCTTTACATTTTCCCCACCAAGAATGCCAACAAACACATCCTTTAATACAATGTCAGTGTATTTATAGATAACAGAGTATACTTTATTTGAAGTATTTTGAGTATTTTGATAAATGTATTTTTTATTAGCAATAAAAATGACTGACGCGCGATATTTAAAATGACGCACCAATGACCGAGAAATCTTTTCTTCTTCAGCCTTGTATTATTCATCATTTTTAAAATGACAACGGGCATATATATAATAGTCTACCCGGAGCTACCGATTTCCACGTCAATGAATGTTGTAAGTGTGGACAAAGCCTCACTGCTCCCATCATTCATTCACAGACAATCTTTCCGGAGTTGGTTATTCTCTACTTGCTTAGGTCTTCAGCAACCCATGTTTGTCGTAAGATGCGACTAACGGGATCGGGTGGTCAGGCTTGCTGACTTGTTTGATGCATGTCATCGTATCCCAATTGCGTGGATCGATGCTCATGATGTCAATGACTAGATTGTCAGGTCCTGACTCGATTATTTACAGACCGCCGTCATAGAGCTGGAATACTGCTGAGCTCGGCGTTAAACAACAAACAAACAAACAAAACGGGTTTAGGGAGACACTCACATGGACGATGTAGACATAACACATGGACATGAGGATTATCACTGTCGGGTAGAAGAAATACAGCGCCGTGCTCACATAGTCCTGAAAACATCATTGACATTTCATCAGCCACTGAACCCGCGGTAAGGGATAACATACCGCTAATATATAAACATCTTCAAAATCCATCCAGACCCTAACCAAAAAGTATCATCGAAAAACCTTAATTTTCTGACTGAATTCATGAAATGAGGTTCAACTTCCACTGTATGATGTACGCTGCCAAACACTTAGAACTATCTTCCCGTAAATGTTCTGTTAACGTCTCTGGAAGCTGTATTGACACCTAATATTAATGTAACTTATTTGCGTGATATATTAATCACTCCTGTACAAAAGTGAGTGAGTGAGTGAGTGAATTGTGTATTACCACACTTTCAATAATATTTCAGTTATATGTCAGAAATCCAAAAGTGATTCTGGTCTTACTATTTTGGTAAAACACGAACACGGTTATGGTGCCGACAAACCAAGAATCACAATTAAGGCGAATCTGGACCTACGATCACAGCATTCTGGTTTGAATAAGGGACGCAACTCTTCATAGCGATACGCGTCGCTTCTGACGACTGTTCACCCCTGGTCTCAACTACAGGATTTGTTTGAAAATCAAAAGGATTGTTACCCAGATTTTGTCCATGGCAATGGCGATGACAAGGTACTGGAACATCTGTTGGGTGAAGAACCGCCACATCCAGAGGAAGAGCCAGGTGGCCGAGGAGTGGAGAAGAGTCGTCTGCACGGTCTGGTCAAATTTGAAATGGGGACTATATTTTTAGAGTATTTATAGAATGATCATCACAAGAGCTGTTGTACCTCGTGTTCCAATATTACCGGTAAATATCAGGCCAAAACGACATTTCTTTGTTTCTCGGCACTTGATGCCTTTTTTTCTGAAATATGTTAAAAGGACGTCGTAATTATTACTTAACAGACACGAGAAACCACCTAGCACGGAATGGCATTAGAGTTGTCTACCTTTGCACAAGTGACACAAGTTTTACCATGAAAACCGTACGCTGAGAGAAAGAGAGAGAGCGTGTGTGTGTGTGTGTGTTTTAAATGCTTAAATATCAAAGGACCTTGTGAGAGAGAGAGTGCGTATGTGCGTGTGCGTGCGTGCGTGCGTGCATGAACTGCCTATATACCAAAGGACCTTGTGTCCATACCTTACTGACAAATGCCTATTATCGGATAACGTTGCGTAGTGAGCAGTAATAATAACAACAGTAAATTACAGAGCCTCCTAGTCCTAATAAGGCTTAAATAAGGCTGTAATACTGCCAACGGAATCTACAAATCATAACCCACATAAGGCGTAATCTTCATAATCTTAAACATTTCAGAAGATAAAGTAACAGAAAAGTGAAATGAACCATAATGTACAAATGACGTTTCCGATTTTGTTCAATTAATGTATGAAAAAATGACACTAGGGGATACAAAGGCCCGGTGATATGCGACGCCAGAACGTATACGTATTGTCCTGGGCCCCGTTCCTCAAAGCGATCTTCACGCTAAGATGATCGTAAGCCTATGTTTAAGTTGGGTCTTACGATCACCTCAGCGCTAAGATCGCTTTGAGGAACGGGGCCCTGTGTTGCAGCTGCATGCCAGATTTCGATGACAGGGTTCCAGACCCTTGGGCTCGAAGCAGAAAAAAATTGTCGTGAGTTTAACCACTGTGGATGTCACTCAGCAATCATCTTCCCGAGGCAAGGGAGTTATCTGACTTTAAAAGTCCAGTTTCCACCTTTGCCGAACTAGGCTGGAATTCCTGGGCTCGACCGTAGCGCCACCAGTGGCTATTACGAGTTAAGTCCCTTCTATGCCTCTCCTATGGACCAATCAGATTCCACCTCTCGTGTCACTTGCGTTTGCTTCAAACAAAATGGCGGCGCCCAGTCAAGATGATCTGATGGACAATCAAGATCTATATTGTGAGAAAACGGGTCTTACATCGCGAAATGCATCAAATCACGTGAGCACCTTGATTAAAAAGTTGAAAAGATTTGGAAAATATCTGTTGACAACGAGTTGGCGGTGCACATGCTGTGCAAATCCTGCAATTGACCGAAATCTGCATGACAGTTTACGAACCGGATTTCGATTTCGGTGCGCGATTTTGTTTGGACTATGCATAGACTCGTTAGTCAAGCCAAAATCTAACTCCATAATACCAAGGGTGTAAACTGGACTTTTATAGTCAGTTAACTCTCTTGCCTCGGGAAGATACTCAGCAGTAATCCAGCTACAACACCGCGGTCTGAAAATAATCAAGTCTGGACCAGACAATCCAGTAACTGACATGAGCGTCGAGCGTCGATACGATGACATGCATCAACCAAGTCAGCGACCCGTGAAGATATACGGGGTAGAATAGGTCTTCAGCAACCCATGCCTGCCGTAAAAGGCGACTGACTATGCTTGTTATAATCGGCGACTAATGCGATCGGGTGTTCAGGCTCGCTGACTTGGTTGATGCATGTCATCGTATCCTAATTGCGTGGATCGATGCTCATAATGCCAATCGCTGGATTGTCTGGTCAAGACACGATTATTTACAGACCGCCGTCATATAGCTGGATTATTGCTGAGTGCGGCGTTAAATAACAAACAAACAAATAAACAATACCACAATTCAACCTTACCGTCAGCTGTGGATCATGGAATGGCTTCTCCAGGAATCGCTCAAGGTGCATAATGAAATAGGCGAGGAATCCATAGGACAGAACAACCAATAATACATATAAGAAAATGTTGAAAACAATCACACAATTTCTTGGGGCCTGTACATATAAACCATTTCCAATAGACACATCGTTTGTCCTTCGGCTGCCGTAATGTCTTACAACATACACAGCAACGCCCACGCACAGGACGACACCCCCAAGCATGTCGCAAACGCTGTTGTGAGTTGTTCCATATAAACCGTGAAAGGAGCTGAATATTGGACGACCAGCCTGGCTGCGATACACGACACCAGCAAAACTGACCAGCCATGTTCGGAGCTCGAACAAAAACGCTCCCATTCGTCGATGACGTAAGTTGTCAGACGACACCATCTTCCCTACGACGATGCTGACGACGGCGTGAGTGGCGCTGATGATGTTGGGGGAGATGAAGGAAAACATGCTGCTGAAGTTGGTCATGTAGTTGAACACTTCCGTTGATGGCCTGATAATGTAATGGTTTGTCTGGTCCAAAACTAGCAGCCTTATCGTCAGCGGATGGAAGGGCGAGAAGACACTAGGATCATCAATGGCTGCTTCTTTGACTAAACTGGTATTGTGAAGTGTCTGATATAAAATTATATCCATTATAATGTAATACACAGCGATCACAGAACACACAAACAGAATCACAGCATTCTCTTCGCGGAAGTAATGGAAGCAAGGCGCCATTTCAAACTCACGCCTGTCTTTGATATGATAAATCTCCGCTAAAAAATCACTTGTTCATTAATTAGGCATACACAATTCAATAACAGATCGGGTAGTTGAAGTTCAAGGTCAGGGTCACTTGGAGGATGCAATAGTGTTGTTGTTTGTTTATGTTTTCATGATGATACTGTCATTTGCATGACTGTATCCACATAATATTTCCCACACGACTGATAATACTAAAGAGGCAAGTAAAACCACGAAGTTGTTGATATTTGGTACGTGACTTCCCTCGCTTCCATGGCTGTTCCTGCTTGTTTTCGAAAAAAAACCTGGAAAAGAACAAAATATAGGAAATACATCAGGAACATTACGAGATAACTATACACATGTAATGTCTCAATAAAAGGGGTATCCCCTGGGGTTTACCAGGTATAATTGGCCCCAGTAGCCTATACTTGTCTTGAATGAATAGGGCGGTGAGGCTCGATGACTTGCCTCATTGCGTAACTTCGTACCCCGACGTCGTTGGACGTTGCACTCAATAGCAATTATTGGTTTACATGGTCCAGGCTCGATTATATACGGTGGCACGGGTGGCCCAGTCGTCTAAGGCGCCGCGATTCGCTGTGCAGAGTTGCGTCCCTTAGGCACGCCAGAAACCTATGATTGTGGGTTCTAATCCCGGTTCGCCCCGATTATGTTTCTAGGTTTGTCAGCACCATTCCCGTGCTCGTGGGTTTCACCGAAGTCGTAAACGTCTGAGACCTGCATGACTTCGGGCTTTCCTCCCACAATAAGCTGTCACGCCGTGATATAACTGGAATAATGTTAAAAGCGGCGTTAAACCCAACTCACTCACTCACTCACTAGATCATATACAGGCTTCCGTCAAATATCTGGAACATACTGGCTGTGGCGTTACACAACAATCAAAAGAAATAAATGAAAGTGTGATACATTTGGTTAAGTGGCAGTATATACAGAGGTTATCACGCCAGTGTGTTTGGGGATGGTAAATATCCTGTATTAGGAATAAATATTGTATTCAGCGAGCCTAAGAAAGGAACCTTTAAAAAATATGTTTTTGGTTTTGATGTTCCATGAACGCGAAACACTCCGCGCGAATACAACAACTTATGTCCCAACATTCGTTGGGTTCCGGCCTATTTTCTATAGTGACGAGTGACCGCGGAAACCAGGGGAGTCCCAGCAAAGACAGAAGGCGACACCCATGGGAGGTAACTCCAGTATGCTTGGGTGACTAAGGATGATTAATTGGTCGGGTACTGAAATAACACCTCGAGTAAGGTTACACACGAGCTGAAAGTTGTTGTAGTTTACTTGTTGATTCCAAAGTCTAACTGTACTATCTGAAGACAGATATACTCACTTCAGTTGTGAACGCACTCAACAAATCACTCCCTGATCTGTCAATGACAATGTCTCCTCTCGCCGGACAGCTCGTAAACTATGTCTATATTTAGATTGACGGGCGTTTTGCGACAGCCGCACAGCCCTTTTGTAAACATGGGTATTTGAACATTTACAATCTAAATTGTGTCACTGCGTTTTCGTATACGTTATTTATATGGGTGCCTCGTCTGAAAAAAAGTGTTGTACACAGTTCTAGAATACCGTATTTCTTCTTGTATTTCGCGCATGCCGCTAAAACAGCATCAATTAGAGGAAATACGGTACTTGCACTTGCTGACCTGACACATGGTGCTTCTGGTGTGTGTGTGTGTGTGTGTGCGTGTGCGTGTGCGTGTGTAAAGTAAACTTGTATATACCGCAAGCCATCGACTCCATGTTATCACTTCATACCGAGAACAGTACACGATCCTTTGCATATAGGAATATGCAATTAACATTTTCAACGTTACATGTATCTCCTACGCACGCGCAGAATGCCCGTTGTTACAAGCAAGAAATGGTTATTCGATGGTGATGTTGATACGGGTATCACAGTTGTGATATGGACCTTGAGTTTGCAGTGTTTCGACCACTGTTTTCAGCCTAGAATATTTTGATAAAGTTGTAATATTTTGGTCAAATCCAATTGTCATATATCATTTTTGCATATTGTCCACATAGTGTATGTATTTGGTTATATGTAGACCAAGCCATAAGTTTACAAATAATACATGTTTATATCAAAGTAAATAATCACTGCCCACCGTAGTCGTTGGGCTGGGACGAGTCCAAATTTACTACCCGTGTACGCATCCCCCTATTACCCGACCCTACCCGGGTACCCACTGTAGGTCTCAGGAGATGTCTCAAAATGTCCGATTGGGAGCAAAACGTATTTAGATGCATGTATTAAACAATCTGGTCATTCATACACAGAAGTTGAATTAAGTTATATCTTTATTCAACCACATGAAAAATCAGATGGGTGCACAGTCAGAAAGAAATGCGAACATTAGTGACTTGTAGTGTAACCATAGAGTTCTAGATATTTTTTGTCATTAAACGATATATCACGTGACTCACCACGGGTCCGGGTAGTCCTGTGGGTCCCCGAGTCCTACTCAGTACCCACCCGACCCGGGTACCCGAGCTACCTGTCCCAGCCCTAGTTGTCATCAACTGTGTTTTGTTTTGTTTGTTGTTAAAAGCCGCATTCGGCAATATTCCAGCTATATGACGGCGGCCTGTAAATAATCGAGCCTGGACCAGACAATCCAGGGATTAATATCATGAGCATCGATCCACGCAATTAGGATACGATGACATGCATCAACCAAGTCAGCGAGCTTGACCACCCGATACCGTCAGTCGCCAAGCATAGTCGCCTTTCACGGCAAGCATGGGTTCTAACCTGGATCTTCACGGGTTAGGGGGACTACTGAAAGGTGTTGACTCACATTGAATGCACTTCACAATACCTTTTTTGACTTCATCCCGGCAGAGGAGTGTGTAACATTGCTATTCTGTCCCACGCACTGCACATGGACACGATGCAGTGATTTCCCAGAAAGCTTCTGAGAACTTTTGGAAAAGGACTTCACATGGTATACATCTTCACAGGTCTAGTCATCTACAACAATGCTACATTCTATACTAAACTGCCGGTCACAAAAAAGCATACACCCATATTTGATGATGGCTAACTAACAAGTAATGGTGATGTATTTGATACGGGTATCGTAGTCGTGTTTCGGACCTTAAGTTTGCAGTGTTTTGGCGACTGGTGTCATTCCTAGTGAAGTTTTTATAACGTTTATTATGTTTTGGTCAAATCCAGTGTTCAAGTGTATACTTTCTTTGCCCGGCAGTGTAGTTTGCATGTGCGTATATCTGCATTTATGATAAAGTGCTTTATAACGGTTATATTGTAGGCCTGACTGCTTCAGGGTTTTACTTTGTCATCTTTATTACATTATACGACGAACGACCGCCTCCGTGGTCTGGTGGTAGAGCGTCCGCCCGGGGAGCGAAAGGTCCGGGGTTCTATCCCCGGCCGCGTCATACCAAAAGACATTAAAAAATGATACTTGTTGTTACCCTGTTTGACGTTCGGCATCAAGGGGCTAAAACAAGGACTGGGCGGCTCGGAGTCAGTATCGTGTGTCTGAGTGGGGTATTCATGTTAAACTGCGGCATGGTATCTCAGTGTGCTAGCACTATAAATCGGCCGGACTAGTACAAGCAGCCACACACACACACACACACACACACACGTTCATGCACGTCGCTATATAAGTGCAATAATCTTGGACGCGACGTTAAACCCCATTTTACCTCACCTTATACGACGAACACTGAAGCTTCTGTTGTCTGTTTCCGGCTAGACGCACTCCTGCTATAAGAGTTTCATCCTGAAAGTTTGAACGGCGAAGGAATTCTGGGCGTCAGTATAGAAAATAATGTTGATCAACTTCCACTTTACGCGTTACCAGAACAGCTCCCCACGTCACGACGATCCACGGAGCTGTGCTCCCTATTAGTACTACAGTGACTACGGTTATAACGAAGACGCTTATAACGAACTGACGGATATAACGAACTTACTTTTTAGTCCCGACTATTTGCTGTAGTTAGGCTGTATATATGCTTATAACGAACTACGGTTATAACGAACTAACAACAGTAGTCCCTTTGAGTTCGTTATAACCGTAGTTTACTGTAATTCATTAAGTGATACTCTAAAAAAACACTAACTATATGTTAGTCGTCTCCAACACCATACCGGGTAACACTTGATAATTCATCTTTTTTAAACTTTATTTTTGAAAGATGGAAAGCTCTACATCGCTTCCTACTTCTCACTTCCGAAATCTGTTTTGAACGATGGAAACTTGAAGTTTCAACGCCGCTTCCATCCTCTTACTTCCGTACACCGTTGTCGAAAGATGGAAAGCTCAAAAGCTTTACAGCGGGTATGTCTTCCCACTTTTGTAAACATGGTTTTGGGGATTTCTGCCAATTTTCAACTTTATTTTGCATTGCTTTGAAAAGAAAGATTACGAAGGCGATTGTTTCGCTTTTTTACTCTCATCTTTTTAAAATGAGAAAGATGAAGGTTTACTACATACATTCTTTTACCACAGGTTTTGCTCTAAACTGGTTCTGGTTCTGCTTTGGTGTGCGCTGGTCAGCTTAGGACTTTCAGCCAACATCCCAGCGTCCCCCCAAAATAATCAGATTCTTGACACATTGTATTTATGTGAGCGCATCGCCTGCAATGTCTTTCCGTCCTTATAAAGTGGCTAAACCATACTTCTGGCAAGTTTCCAGTATTAATACACTCTGCACACAAAAAACTCGCAAAAGTGATATTAGACATACACTATATTTAATATATCATATAAATCAACAGGTGGTAATCGATTATTTAAAATTGACACACATCATTCTCATTGACCCAGGTTTCATAAGGCACACATGTAGATTTTCAAGGTTATGGTCGTCTGTGTTCATTATTTTGTATGGCCACCATTTGAGTCCAAAACTGACTGGCATCGTCCCATTAAAGCAGTCAGATTCCTATTTGTGGCCTGGGGAATGTTCACCCACTCTGCCTGCAGTGCTTGTGCCAACTGTCGGAGGTTCTGTGGTTGTTGCTGAGGTGCTCGCAGTAGCTGATCAAGTGCATACCATAAATGTTCGATTGGGTTTAAATCTGGAGACCTGGAGGGCCACGGCAGGACTTGTTGTGATTCCTGAAAAAAGGCTGTTGTCAGTCTTGTCGTGTTGCCTTGTTGGAAAATGACGTTCGCTTGTTGCATAATGGGAAGGACGTATATATTGTCGAAGAATATTATCTGTATATCGTTGTGCTGAACTTGCACCTTGAAGTCTGTTCTATCAGTGTAGGAGATGGCTGCCCACATCATCACACTACCACCGCCATATCTGTCCACTTACTGTCAGCATATGTTCGTTCCCTGCGACGCCTCCATTTCAGCTATGGCCTTGACATCAGTGTCGTCGCAGATGACGAGCCGGTCGAGCCGGCAGGCCCGTCTATGGGTCACACAATATCACATGCTTTTCCATAGACTTCGATAATAACGTTATGTTTGTTTTTAAGTTACTAGTAATTAATTACATGTACATGTATGCACAGTATGAACCGCCTGGCCTTAAAATTACAATAGGGGGCGGTCGGGTAACCTAGTGGTTAAAGCGTTCGCTCGTCACGCTGAAGACCCGGGTTCGATTCCCGTAAAACCACACCCACTCACTAATACTACAACAAAAACAAGATTTTGAAACACCAGTTGCTTTTCCGGGCACAGGAAGCTAAACACGCTAACCCCAGCCCCGCACCAACTATTTATGTGAGCCCTGATTTGAAGGTTGTATGAAGAGTCATGACAAATACACGTTATTCCGTGGGTCGTGTGTGTGTGTGTGTGTGTGTTCTTCTTTCTATATGAGATTAAACTACTAGTACATGCATGCCCAATATCGGTGCATGCCCAATATCTTAGTTTTTATTGAACTAAACACGTGTTTTAAGTTAACTAGTTGTATTTAGTTAAGTGCAAAAAGTTATGTGTACGCAGAAATTAAACAACAAATGTTTTGATATGCCCCCCAGGACAAGCAATGCGTCATTACCCACGCATCACTGAGTATCTGGTGATGTTGCATCAAGGTCACTCGTTCGTATATTCCAAACAATAGCGAATTCCGCAGTGTCACTGTCAGGGAAATAACTGCGCCGTACTCTTGTGGTAGATTTCGTCACAAGACCCAAGAAAACGTAATTGTGTATCTTTGCCCCATGCCGGTTTATTGTCATATAAATTAGGCTAGTTGAGTTATTATCTGTGAGGAAGCCACAAATTGACACAAGTCGTTTACCTTTTACCATTGGCCCGTGAAGATCCGGGGTAGAATAGCTATTCAGCAACCCATGCTTGCCGTAAAAGGCGACTATGCTTGTCATAAGAGGCATAGGCGACTACGGGATCGGGTGGTCCAGCTCGCAGACTTGGTTAATACATGTCATCGATCCCAATTGCGTGGATCGATGCTCATGATATCAATCACTGGATTGTCTGGTCCAGACTCGATTATTTACAGACCGCCGTCATATAGCTGGAATATTGCTGAGTGCGGCGTTAAACAACAAACAAACAAACAAATGATATCAGCATAAGCGAAGCATGCATGTTAATTTATTTCCAGCAAAGAATTTGCAGACATTTCTAGAAACCCAATACATCGTTAACAATCACGTCCCGGTGATAGTCTGCACGCACCCCATCCGTGAAGATCCGGGTTAGAATAGGTTTTCAGCAACCAATGCTTGCCGTAAAAGGCGACTATACATATGCTTGTCGTAAGAGGCGACTAACGACATAGGGTGGTATACGCACCCTTATGTACATCACATTGCATAATTCTTCCCTGGCTTGTATGCCTTATACGGTCCTCTGTCAGCTGTTAAACATTGTGTCTAGAAACACGCGAAGTGCGTGAGTGAGTTGGGTTTAACGCCGCTTTTAACAGTATTCCAGTTATATTGCGGCGTGTCAGCTTAATGTTGGACCCATCAAGCTTACGCGCTTTGACATCCCTGAAATATTCTCCCAATTGCATGGATCGATGCTCATGATGTCGATGGCTTCTCTGGTCCAGACTCGATTATAGATAGGCCGCCGCCTTACAGATGGAATATTGCTGAGTGCGGCGTTAAACAACAAACAATCAAACAGCTTCTGTATTCAGAACGACGTTTCTCAACAGGCGCTTGTACCTTTGATTGGTAAAAAGTTGATAAATGTGTGAAAAGCATCACTGGTGTCGCAACGTAATAATACTAAAATCGCCTTCGTGGTCTAGTTGATAGAGCGTCTGCCGGGGGTGCGGAAGGTCGTTGGTTCGATCCCCTGGCCGCGTTATACTTATTGTTACTCTGCCTTGGCTCAGTATTAAGGTGATAAAACAAGCACTGGTCGTCTCGGAGTCAGAATACTGTGTCTGAGTGGGATATTCTTGTTAAACTGCGGCGTGGTATATTAGTGGGCTGGCACCAAAACACCGAAATTAGTCCGTAATAGTACAAGCACACGCACATGGATACGCACACACACATGCATGTTGCTACATATGTGCAATAATCTTGAACGCGACGTTAAACCCCATAAACCTCACCTAACTTAAACCAAGGTAAAACCTAACTCACTCACTCACTCCCGATTATCAACCGAATGAGTTGGTCCTTCAGCGTGTTCCGCCCTAACATCATGCCACGGCTGACTGTTAATGGAAATCAGGTCCATAACAGGAGACGGGATCCCCGCAGGTCCAGTTTCGTGCTGGACCCCACAATCCACGTCCTGGTCTTCCTCCGTCGAGGCACCTCCTGGTTCCGCTTCTAAAATTGTAGGTCTATTCTTTCTAAGCGCTGTGTCCAGCTTTCGCCAAAGTTCAGCTTGTCCTGTCTCATCGTCAGTCCATGGGAGACACACGACCCTGTTCCACATGTTCTGGAGAAAGAAGGGAAGTCTATGTATTGGAATGTTGTCCTTGATGATGACAAATATCTTATGACTGAGTTTTTCAAGGGACCTCAGCGCCACCATCTGAAACTCGAACTCACAGTATGAAGACTCCAGGTAGGTTTCGGTGATAACGAACAAAGATGCTCGACTCGCATACAGTTTCTCAACAACCTCTTCCCTGATGTAATTCCCCGGGAGGAAATCCCGATCGTAGAACGCAAGCTTGAAACCGAGCTCTGTCTCAAGCTTTGCCACAAGGGTCAGTATCAGCCATTCTGTTTCATGATGACTATAGCAAACAAACAAATCGTACCTTATACCATCAGTTGGTTCAATTAGAGGGACATACACACCCCATTTCATTTTCATTTTGAGCCAAATGTATTTCAGAGTCCATCGATTTCTGTAACAAAGGGACACAAAAAGCAATCCAACGATGAGTGGAACAGTGATACAGATGACAATTATCATCAACATTGGACCCATGCACGTCAGTTCCATTTCTCCCAGCGCGTCGTTAAGTAACCGTGTATTAAAGATGGAGCCATTGGGCATTTTGCAATTATAACCATCTTCATTATCAAGACTCACTTTCGTTGATGTTATCCATTTCACAAACTCGAGCTCATTGCAACCACATGACAATAAATTGCCTTTAAGGTGTAGTTTGAAGGTCCCGTTCATGGCCAAACTTTCAAGTTGTTCCCTGACTGGATGCCCAATAACTTTGATGTCGTTGTAGGACAAGTCGAGTTCACGAAGGATCGGTAGCTTCAACCACGTCATAGGTATGGCGGTTAACTTGTTTCGTGACAGGTTTATAGAAGAGAGACGCTGGTTACACGTGAAAAGGTCTTCAGGAAGATTTTTCAAATTGTTCTGTGCCATGGAAATGGATATTAGACTTTTTAGAGGAGCTAAGAGTGTGTGATCCTTTACATCCTGAAAACCAACATCCAGATGTGAATTGTCAAGTCTCAGCTCTATCAGGTTAGTGAACGTTTTGAAAAGTTTCATATTGATTCTGTAGCAGTTGGATTGAGACATGTTCAGGTAAAGAAGGGACTCCAGTCCTTCAATTTGACTTCTACAGTTGAAAGGGTTGCTGGATATGTCCAGGATTCTCAATCCTTTGGCTCCGACGACTTTATAACTTCCGGAAATTTCAGAGGATCCAGTGTAGGAATGACTGAAGTTAGCAAAATATAACATATTTGGAATTACAAATGTCTGTTCTGTATGTATGCTACTTTTGTTTGAATTGAAACTTTTGACTTTATCCGTGATGTACCGTTTAGATGATCTCCTCTGAGACGAAAAATCCAGATATGTAAGATGAGGTACTTTTCCAAGAGCTGTTAGAAGAGCCTTTGTGCTCTGTGAACTGTTCAGAGCGTTATTTCGAAGAGACAATGTTGTCAGACAAGGTGATAAGATTTTGCTTATAAACGTTGGTTCGATGTAAACTATACTGTCGTTGGATAAATCTAGATCCTTGATGCAGGGGAAAAGGTGAGAACTGGTAAACGTCATACGCGTATCAATTTGCTTGAGGCTTCCTAATCCCAGATAACGTAGTTGGTGTTTAGAAAGGGCTCCAAATACCATATTCATATTCAAATTAATGTTGTGGTTAAAGTCAGCATACAAAAGCCAGGTGAACCCTGAGAATGAGTCGTTTTGAATTGTTTGCAAGTTGCAGTATGACATATTTAAACCTTTCAAAGGACCTGTAATGTACAGAAACGTGTCATTATATAGAGCTTTAGTGAAACATGATTTCCCCTCTTTCCCAAAGGCCAGGTATTGTAAAGATGTTAGTGATTTGAAACCAGGCCCCAGTGCGATGTTTTCATATCCATCCAGTGTAAGGTTCCTCAGCCTCTTCAGCATTGATAAAGCTCTGTCGGGATACTCGGCATTGTTGGCTGGTGAAGTGCCCATGTTGCCGTGCAGGTAGAGGGTTAGGAGACTTTCTAAAGGTCTGAAGACAAACTCTGGGAAGAACTCAGATGATGACAGGTAGTTGAAACTAAGATCCAGTATCTGTAAGTTGGAAGTATTCACGAAAGCACCGATGTCAAAACTGTTGATAATGTTGTTCCTTAACACCAGGACACGAAGTTCAGTGTGTGGCACAGGGAAAGAGGCATTTGAAATACGACTGATACTGTTGTGACTCAGATCAAGGGTATGGCATCTTGAAATTGGGGGAACTGACCGCAGACCTCTATGGCTCATATTGCAAAAATTTGATTCAGCACTTATCTCAACAGCCGATGGGACAGTGGTGTTCACTTGAGTAGAAGTCTTTATGTCATATGATTGGTGAAATGGGCTCTTCCTGGACGTTCTCTTGTTGGGTGTTGGTCTTGATGATTGTCGATGGCCGCCATCTTGTCTACCTGTCATAAATACGCGACCAGTATCAGCCCAAAAAGTTGAACTAGGAGTCTTACCCTGCTTCTTCAGTGGAGGCCGATCAGTGAATCCATTTCTTGTGTTTTGTGTGTTTGATCTGTCAGTGGCCTCCATCCTTTTCTCGTGTGATATCCTCATACTGTTCCTGGTAAGCTCCAATATAGAAGGGAGTCCAGGGCCGTCGTCTTCCCTTGGTCCGGTCCCTCTGTTCTTTGTCCACGCTTTTATGGTATTCCTCGCATACTTTCTTTGTGAGGCTACATGAAGGTTAGTGTCTTCGATTCTTTTCAGGGGATGCTGTGCCACAGCACCATTGCTTGAGAGCGCTATGAGGGTTACTGTCAGGAAGAGAACCAGCATCCACACTGATGCCATATTCCTCCAAAGGAATTCTTGCTGCAAAACAAAGCATTGGATCAGTTGTTTTTATTTAAAAAATAAACGTTTCGCGGTCGTTGTTTATCGTACAATAACACACTGCAGATAGAATAAACCATGAGGGGCCCAGTAACTCTGCAGCGTTTTATTGTATGATAAACAACCTTTATTTCGTATGCGAGATATCAACATCACGTACAGCCTCTTTAAGGATGTAAATAAAAAGGACACGATTTCAAAATAGTTACCTGTATTTAAATAATGAAGACCGCGCCAATGTCGGAAGAATCCCATTTATGAACAGGGGGTTAAGTTTGGTATTTCCTGCATATTCTCACAATGTCACGTCGATTATCTGCACCTTTTCTCCCAGTACCGATTGTAATATCCCCCTCTCATTTTATAGGGTGCGATCGTTCGGCCATTAATAGCCGGGGTGGAATAGGTCTTCAGCAACCCATGCTTACCGTAAAAGGCGACTGTGCTTGTCGTAAGAGGCGACTAACGGAATCGGGTGGTCGAGCTCGCAGACTTGGTTGATGCATGTCATCAGTCCCAATTGCATGGATTGATGCTCATGATATCAATCACCGGATTGTCTGATCCAGACTCGATTATTGGGAGACCGCCGTCATATAGCTGGAATATTTCCGAGTGCGGCGTTAAACAACAAACAAAAAGCGTTTTACGGCAAGCATGGGTTGCTGAATCTCCGGATGTTCACGGGTCAGATATGGTTGATAAATCGCAATAAAGCAGTGTAGCCCAATACTCGCTCACTCATAATGTCAATAAATAAAAACAAAACTCTTCCATTACCACAAGAAATCTCTGCTAAACGCGGTTGTACAAATTCGACTGTATAATGAGCATGTGTTTATGAATCAATATCAAATAGAGATGATACCAGTGCACGCGAAAAGGTGGCACCTGTCACAAACACGGGCAAAGGCAAGTCAATTGTTCAGCTGAAAAAACCCACACGGGAACATATGGTATAAGTCAAAATTCCTCCCGTTTTTACCGAATATATAAACTCGGTTGGAACCCGTCGAATAAGCGCGGTAGACACTTCAGGACACAGGTCTCCCTTTCATTGTTGGGATATTGTGTTCTAACACCTTTTTGGGCGGTCGGGTAGCCTAGTGGTTAAAGCGTTCGCTCGTCACGCTGAAGACCCGGGTTCGAATCCCGACATGGGTACAATGTGTGAAGCCCATTTCTGGTGTCCCCCGCCGTGATATTGCTGGAATATTGCTAAAAGCGGCGTAAAACCAAACTCACTCACTCACTCACTCTAACACCTTTTATGAATTGAGGGTTTTTCGTTAAAAATAAAAACAATTTATAACATAATGGGAATGTTAAAACACATATAACAAAATGAATTATCACAGACAGTTCCAAACAAAATTAGAAATGCAGGAATTGTCTTTCCAATTACTCATAACACCCATGTCCCCACAGACTTTCAACAGAACTTATTACAAATTGGCCACGGCGGCATGGAATGGCCGACGTGGGATAAACGCGACCCGTGCTCAAGGACTGATGTACCCAAATCAGATCACTGCCTCTTAGATGTAAAACCCATTTGTCGTGTCTCGCCGCCATGATATCCCGGGTCATTGTTAAAAGTAGCGATACACTCTATTTTCTCACTCGATTGTGCGCATGATTGTACTACCAAATGCAATACAATTGAGACATTGTGTTCGTTAATGAAAATCGAACATATTTATATCTCAATGGAGCATGAAAGATATATGATTTTGCATTACCTATTTAGAAGCTGCACATGAAATATGATAATCTTCTAGGAATGCGTAGCTGATCAGGTTAAGATACAAATTCCTGTGATTAAAACGTACCTTCTGAAGATATATATGAATCAGTTGGGGAAGAGAATGTAGCCAAGAGACATCCCACACAGTGACACTGAGGTACTTGCCATATGTTGGTCAGGATGGTGATGGGGATTTCACTTCAACGCATGGATGAATACCCTCCTTTTTTTCCTCTCATCCGGGTGGGAAGAATGTAGGTGAATCCCCAAGCTTTCCCGGGGACCATCTCATCACCCTTCCAATCCTTATTTCATATCTGGTGGATTAATGGCAATCTCTTTAAAATCAGATCCTTCACTCAGATACGATACCCGTCTGCGCGGATAGAAGGTCGCGTCAAAATAATGGATGCGTGGATTCTTGAGCCACGTATCAGCTTTCTGAAACTACTTGTCTTCATTTCATTACCCATACCCTTAACATGCTTACCCTTTGCGAGAACACCTGGTGTCATCACTGATTTTCAGATATCTCTTCATATCATTCTCACCGCTAATTTGCCCTTTCCACCCGTGTAGATCCGGGGTAGAACAGGGCCCACTTGCACAAAGCGATCTTAGTGCTAAGACTATCGTAAGCCTATGTTAAAGTATGGGAGTTACGATCATCTTAGCGCTAAGATCGCTTTGTGCAAGTGGGCCCAGGTCTTCAGCAACCCATGCTTATCGTAAAAGACGACTATGCTTGTCGTAAAAGGCGACTAACGGATCGGGTGGTCAGGCTCGCTGACTTGGTTGATGCATATTAACGTATCCCAGTTGCGTGGATCGATGCTCATGATGTCAACCACTGGATCGTCTTGTCCAAACTTATTTATTTACAGACCGCCGTCATATAGCTGGAATATTGCTGACTGCGGCGTTAAACAACGTACAAACAAACAAACTTTACAACCAATGGTATATGTTGATCTTCAGTTGATCATCGAGAACGGTTGTATAGCATTTACTAATAAATATATTTTCCACCTGGATTCGGCAATTTCGACAGCAGCAAAAAGAAAACCAACACAGAACACCAGGATACCCTCCGTAGCATTATCCTTATATGATTTTGGTTTTCAATATTCCAGCTGTATGACAGGCCAGGCCTGTAACAACTTTTCCTTTTGTTAATGCTGTCATGATATGTCGAAGGTATCCTACCGGAAAAAAAGATCTGATTGTAACGAGACCGCCTCCGTGGTCTAGTGAAAGAGCGTCCTCCCGGGGAGCGGAAGGTCCGGGGTTCGATCCCCGGTCGCGTCATACCAAAATACGTTAAAAGTTGGTACTTGTTGTTACCATGTCTGGCGCCCGGCATTAAGGAGTTAAAATAATGACTAGTCGGCTCGGAGTCAGTATGCTGTGTCTGAGTGGGGTATTAATGTTAAACTGCGGCATGGCATATCAGTGTGCTAGCACTATAAATCGGCATCAGTCCGGACTGGTACAAGCAGCCACACACACACACACACACACACACACACACACACACACACACGTTGCTATATAAGTGCAATAATCGTGGACGCGACGTTCAACCCCACTTCACCTCACCTCGCCGCTTAGACAAACGCTTAGTTTCTGAAAATATATTATTTTGCGAGAAACAAACAACTCAATTTTAATTGAAAAGGAGCCCATGTCAGAAGTGAAATTCAGAACCTGTGGAAAATCTAGACTTGCTTTACCTAGGGCTTCACAGAAAGGGCTGGGAGGAAGGGAAAATAATATGGTTCAGGTACTGTGAGACTCGTGCCCTCTTGTTGAAAGCTGGAGATTAGAAGCATTCGTAAAATGCCTCTGAAATGTCAACTTAAGCCACTTTTAGGCTTGAAATAGTTGCCACGATGACGGGACTTGGAGTGGGGTTAAGTGGTTGGGTGAGTGAGTGATTTGGGTTTTATTCCTCTTTGAACAGTTTATGCATTTCAATTATTACACCAGCTTCATGTAGTAGATGAGGGTGAGTGGAGTGAGGTGGAGTGGTGTGGAGAGGAGTGGAGTGGAGTGGAGTGGAGTGAAGTGGAGTTAATAGCACGGCGGCTGGTAAATAGTGTGGAACAGGCAAAACAGTGACTGAAATTTCAAGCGGAGGTCCAAGCCATTAGGGGTACTATGACACACAATCAAACAGTTAAACGTGTATGAAATACGTGTCTTCTGGCAAGCGGTGTTATAACTAAAATACAGGTACTGTTCAAAGCGGTGTAAAACCCTATTAAGTTACTCAATCACCAACCATCCTACTCAATCTCTCACTCACTCATCCATCATAACCTTTCTCGGTGATTCGTTCACGCTGGAAGACCAGGCCTGTTTTCATGGAAGCTATTTAAATTCTTCAAGTGGTAAGATGGCATTTAGGGGGCATTTTATGAATGCTTCTAATGTCTTGTGACCACCAAGGAGTCAAGTATATCGAGCATGTTACGATTGTATAATATTATCCATTTTGGAAATAAATAAATTACACGTAGACCTTTTTTCAGTCTCGTAAAATGCACATTTCAAACATTAATTCCAATATGACAATTATTTCTTTAACAACTTTAAACATCAACAAAGAAAAATCAATTTTCGTCTCTGTTTTGATCGGACATTTGGAGTTTCACGTTTTGCACGTGCTCGCATAGCCATCGTGCACTGACGAAGAACAGCTTTTCTCATGTTTCTGACAAATTCCCCGCGTAGTAGAAATCTGAAATACAGATCTCAACAGTTTCCAAACCAAAATCTGCAACTCAGGGAAAACTAAAGAGGTAAGAACAGAAAATTTAGTTTCAATTGCCATAACTATATTTGTTTGTTTGTTTTCGTTACGTAATTAGCAGATCGCACGGCCATACTTTTTCCGAACGTTCCTGTGATTTAGGGGTTTAAGATTTGATCTGTTGTATCGCCGCTGTGGTACTCCACGAGGACCAACTTCTTCTGGAAGGTGACAGTGCCTGATTTGAATCTCCTAGTTTTTCAAATATGCAAGGTTTGTTTGTTGTTGTTTAACGCCGCCCTCGTTCAATACCCCTCCTTTTTGACGCCAGTTTGTTTATGATCTAGTCTGTGCCAGACCTCATTAGCATCAATTTACCCAGTTGGGATTCGATGACATACATCAACCAAGTCAGTGAGGCTGACCGACCTATCCCGTTGGTCACCTCTTATGACAATCATGCCATGATTCATGGGTTGCTGAAGATTAATCCAAACCCAGAATAGGTCTTTAGCAACCCATGCTTGCTGTAAAAGGTGACTATTCTTGTCGTAAAAGGCAACTAACGGGATCGGGTGTTCAGGCTCGCTGACTTGGTTGATGCATGTCATTGATCCCAATTGCGTGGATCGATGCTCATGATATCAATCACTGGATTGTTTGGTCCAGACTCGATTATTTACAGACCGCCATCATATAGCTGGAATATATCTTCTAGAACCAATATGTCATGTCTTCATTCTATCTTCTTGTGGTTGAAATAACACCATGGGTGGATGCAGTGACCCAGATGTCCAAGACCCTGCAATTTACTTGGCAAGGTTGCGTCCCTTAGGCACGCAAGAAACCTTGAATCAAGGGTTCAAGTCTAAATTCCGAGCTGATTATCTGCTGTATGTTATTGTTTTTTTCTGTGTGGCCCAGTCATCTCAGCGCAATTCGCCATGTTGAGTTGCGTTCCTTGGAAATGCCAGAACCTATGATTGTTGGTTTGAAATCTGTTTTGCCCCAATTATGTTTCTAGGTTTGTAAGCACAATACCCATGCTAATAGGTTTCAACAAAGTGGTAAATCAGTAGCATGGAGAATCTTAATGGACATAAATCCTAATACTTATCACATTGCAGAAAATCTGCAGCATTTCCTTTCAAGGATGCTCAAATCTTATTTTAGTGTGGGAGGCCACTGTACTGAGTTGCCTCCCTTAGATGCCAGGATCACATGGCTTTGAGTTTGAATCTTGTACAATGAACAAAGCCAATGGTGAATCATTCACTCAGTGGTTAGTTGCTGTGCAATATCAAAGTGAAAATTGAACTATGACACAATATCATTCATAGCTGATTTATGTTAGCTGGAATGGTGTGTGTATAGATCGATAATAATTGATAGATAATTTTGTTTGGAGAAGTTAATTACAAGGTTGATGTCTCATTAAGCCATGAAGAATTACCTCATGATTCAGTACTTCATTCAGACACATGGAGATAAATAGTGCATTCCTTATAGAATATATATCTATTTCATCTGTCGAACCACGCTTGTTGAAAAACTAGCTGGTCATACAAGGAAAGAGTGTCAGTCCTTATCAGTTCCCCCACATGAGAGATCCATGAAGATCTGGGGTAGAATAGGTCTTCAGCAACACATACTTGCCGTAAAAGGCGACTATGCTGTCGTAAGAGGCGACTAACGGGATGGGGTGGTCAGGCTTGCTGACTTTGTTGATGCAGACCTATTCTACCCCAGATCTTCACGGGCCAGCCACAGATAAGTACTGTCCAAAACAGTGTTAAACCAAACCCACTCACTCTCCCATTTGAACTGAATTGACATATGGAATAATGCCAACAGTATGGCCAAGGACTTTCAGACATTTACATCACCCACATGTAATTAATATTCTATAATAACAAACTCACAGACAAGGCCTCATTATTATAGAATATTAGTTACATGGTTCTGTGCGTCACCCTCACATAAGACTAGAACAAATGTAGGAATGATGGAAATGAGTGCAAATTACCTTTGCAAAACAGTCCTATTGAAATGTGTAAAATTTGTCAAATTGTTCAATGAGATCAAAACTCTATTATTGCATTTGGGTGGTCGGTTGCCTAGTGGTTAAAGCGTTCGCTCGTCACACCGAAGACCCGGGTTCGAATCCCAACATGGGTACAATGTGTGAAGCCCATTTCTGGTGTCCCCCGCCGTGATATTGCTGGAATATTGCTAAAAGCGGCGTAAAACCAAACTCACTCACTCACTATTATTGCATTTAAACATTGAACCATATTTTGTAAAAGTAGTTCCATTACAGTCTAAATGATGAAATTTTGCACACATGTACATAATACTGCTTATGTGTTTCTATTGCCATACTATTTATATATTTAATGTTAAAAGCCTTTTTATTATAAAAAGCATTGCCTTTAAATCTGTATTATTTTTCATG